TTTTTCAACAATTTTTCCAAAAATTGGCATATTTCCGGTGCGGAAAGTACTTTTTCCCCCTTTCTACTCATCCTGTACCGTGGAAGCATCCTTGCACCCAGCTCTATACTATAATAAGCGTGAAAAAGGACTTATTTGCGTGCATGAATTAATGTCTTGGTGAAATTCCAAGTCCCATATTTATATTTGTTGTGAAGTTCCCCCAAATGACATCACCCGATCACTTTGTGAATCACAGCGCCACCTCGAAAAATTGGTCCGAAGCACGCCATATTCAAAGTATAGGCATATATTTTAGCGGAATTTCGGCGGAATTTCTTGCAGGATTCCTGCAGGAAAATCCGGTACAAATCCGCCATTTATGGTCCTTTTCGTCCATGCAGGAATTTCGGCGGAATTTCTTGCAGGATTCCTGCAGGAAAATCCGGTACAAATCCGCCATTTATGGTCCTTTTCGTCCATGCAGGAATTTCGGCGGAATTTCTTGCAGGATTCCTGCAAGAAAATCCGGCACAAATCCGGCATTTAAGGTCCTTTTGGCCATTGCTGGAATTTTGGTGGAAGTTCTCGCAAGATTCCTGCAAGAAAATCCGGCACAAATCCGGCATTTAAGGTCCTTTTGGCCATTGCTGGAATTTCAACGGATCATCTTGCGTGATTCCGGCAAGTAAATCCGGTAAAATTCCGCCATTGTCCCTGCGGAATTGAAACGCGGTTTTCCTCTATAATTCCGCCGAGAAATCCCGAGACCCAAAACCTCCGGGAATAATAATAAATAGCGGAATCATCCGGTGAAAATATTGCGGAATTCTGCGTATTATTCCGCCAAAATTTCTATCAAAATTTCCGCTATCCGTGCCGACAAACAGCGGATTTTTGGTGGAAGGTTCCGCTGCGGAAAACAGCGGAGATAGAGGAAGATCCGGCACGAATCCCGCACGATTCCTATAGGACTGTTTTTACTGGGTAGCATTTTCACTGTGCAACAATAGGATCAGGGATAAATTTGTAATTTTCATACAATAGCGTCCAGCAGTGTTGCTGAACAAGTATCGCTTTCTGTTGTCCCGAAAATGTAAGAAAAATGCTACCAAACCTCGGGGGTCGTCAAATGAATGGAAGCCACACACACTGGTCCATTGAAAGTGTATCATAAAAGTCTATTATTTATCAAAAGTTACGCACCATTTCCTTGGCAAATTGAGAGAGAATGAGAAAGATTGAAAAACAGTGGGAATTTGATAGCATGCAAAATCATATTTTGCTTGATTCATCTTGTGCCGTCGCAAATTGGCAACTAATCACTCCTTAAGTTGATATTTATTAAATTTCCCAGCCACGCCAAGTAGCCAGATCGCGCTGATCGTTCTGCAATTCAGGAGTATCAAGAAGATATTTTAATTCACGCCACGCATTCATTAAATCCCTGAAGATGATCTCATATCATTTATCATGAGAGTGTCGCCGTTTGCCGCAAGGAAGGATGATCGTGTGAACATAAAGAAGCCCAGCAATCTGTTAATTTGTCCTGACATGCAAGCAAAATAATCAAGATCCACAAGTTGCAGCACAGCTCAGAATTTCTTCATTAAACACATAAATTTCATCTTTGCAATAAAAATTTATTGGAATTTCTCTTTCGCCGGAATGTATTTGATCCTCCCCATTTAGAAGTCAATATTTCAAATTTATTGGGTGAGAATTATCACAGTTTTCTCTTTTTTGATCCTGCAACAGAAATCGTGCCGGACCTCCCAAATCAATGGCGCAGGACATAAATTACAGAAGGTCCGTCCATAGCGAATTTAATTGCTTCATCTCAGCGAAAGTGAAAAACTCACAAAAAGTATCCTTTTATTGAAATTAGCGGCACTGAAGAAAGAGCCTTTTGTTGCAATGAATAGAAATATGTCCAAATATTAAAATCTCCTTAGCATTTAGAAGAGTTTTCAGGAGGATTTTTTGACTAAATATTTTCGATATGGTGCATAAAATGGTTCATTGTCCCGCGAACGCCGCGCAGCATCATGAGAAGAATTCGAGAATCAATAATGTTCGTTAAGTGTCTGCAACTTCAGAAGACTGGCAATTTGGTGTACCTATATTGGCCCCGGCTTTTTCGGTGCTCCTCTGAGACGGTTGATCAGCTCAATTTCGCGTATCAGTAGAGATCAGTGAGAGCCACACAAAATTGAACACATTCGAAACAATTATTTCCAATTAAAATGTCATTCCGTCACGTGAGCTCGGGTGGAAGGCACTCACTCCACTTCGATTGCAATGGAATTGTTGAAATTATAAAGAACAAAAGAAATGGTAATTTTAGTTAATCTCCCGCTCGATTGCCAATACGCCTGAGACCACTAGAGTTACTTTCCTGATAGTGTGGCATTTAGAATGATCCACAAGAAGGGAGATTGAGCACTGGGGATCTCTCTGAATGAACGCCACCAGAGACGAGCCTTCGAGCAGTCGACAAGCACGATTAAAGACATGAACGCGATGTGAAGTTATTTTCTACCTCAGCCAAACTTGCCATACAGTCTTCACTGGGTTTAGCCGAAAAAATCGTGCGAAACTCACAAGGAGAAAACACAGTAAAGCGGATGTGATTGGGTAATTTGGAGCATTTACTTTTATATCCGATTGAATGGATGCTTGTTAAGAATGCTGGGAGATTTTTTAGCAAGAAACTCCCTTCACGCCTTGACCCTTAGAATGCTGTGGAATTTTAGAATAATCACCATCAGCATTTGCCTGGAAATCAGAGGAAAATATTTAGCTCATGCCGCAATAACACCATAAATCGCCTGCATCAAATTATCTCCCAATCTTTGGATTAGCAGACAAAATAGACACTCTAATGAAGCGCGCGATCAGAGAGGCTGGAGTAAATTGGCCTCGAATCTCTTGGCCTGTCGACTGATAAACCAGACGAGAAAAAATCAATTCCAAAAGTGTATCAGTGGCCAATTAGAATAATAAAGTAACGTCCGCTCAAAACTCAAAAACATAGAGAAGAAGGGTATTTCGTGTCAGATGTACACACTGTTGCGAATAGTTGCTAATTTGATAGTCGCATTAAATAATAAGGCCTAACATGACAGGCAAACAAAATAAAATATACAAATTAGTCCACTTTTTCTCCTCATCTCATTATCCCTCTGCCCATCGTCTTTCAATCAGGCGAACGCATAGGGAATTGCCTATTTCTGCATCCCCGAAGAAAAAAAGAAAACATCCTGAGAGTGCTTCTTACAAACTAGAGCCACGCGCATGAAACTTTCGTGTTAAAGTTTGCACTTTGGCAAAAAAAGACATGACTTAGTAAAGGCAGTGAATTATTGGTGTGCAAAAAATCGGACACACGCGTTTAACATCTCGGGGAATCGTATGGTGTGTGGCATAAAAATAAAGGTAATATTCACTCTCACTTTTGCCACTTTTGTACATAATGAAGATCGTCCTTTATTCTCAGACTGCAATCTTGCAATTGCATTTGCACAAGGCAAATGTGATAACCACACGAAATGCATTCAGTGAATATTCGCGCCTTTTGCGGCGCTAATAAGGATTTTTCTCAATATATACATATAATTGACTGTTTTCTTTCATTTCAACACTCACTCCGAAATTGTAAATACTGGGGATTTTGACAAAAACTGTGCATGTTTAACCAGAGAATTTTATTTACTGTCTCATTCAGAACGATCTCTGGCGAGAGATTTTCAAAATAGCATAATTTGAGATTATTATGTTTCGTGTGAGTGTTGAAAATTCATTAAATTGCAACCATTTATGTTTTTGCATAACTGAGTGATGTTGCTAATATGACATGGATTTATTTTGCATTCAAGTGTGGAGACTGAAAAAAAGGCCAAACCACCTCATTATATATAATATAATATAGTGAATCTATCTTTTTGAATTTACCGGCTCTTCTACTAGTTTTCTGCAACTTCTCCGCATACATTTTGGCGAGTCTATAATTATTTCATTCCTATACCCTAATTTTTCACCAAAGATCAGTAACTGCGGCCATATCCTGTGGTAATTTTGCCAATTTTCATTAGTTCCACATAAATTAAGCGTTTTTCCTTTGCTAATGCAGACATTAAGACAATCATTTTCACTTACTTGACCAAATATTTCCTTCCGACTCTCCTAAACTATCACTTCGGTCCAGGGAATATTGATTGCCAATATCAGATTTCATCTAACACATCCCGACAAAGTGCCGAAACGTCCGAAGGACTCGACTCGTCATGTGGGAGTTCTCGTTAGAGTTTGCTAATTGACTGTAAGACAAAAGGGCAAAAAAGGCGTCTCGATATATGGTCAATTCGACCACAGTGAAGCTGAAGTGGCGCCAAAGTCTTCCTCGTATGGAGAATCAGTGGGATTTCCTGAAGCAAATTTTGCACATTATCTTCTTAAAGGATATTAGGAGGATGACTCGGTGAAAAATTTAACAAATAAAAACACATGGGCGCATTCAGTTTCCTGTTACTCATCTCATCTCATTTCGCTATCAGTGTTGGGCGAATTTTTTACATTTTTACATTTACACGATTCTTTACATGGTAAAAAATGTTTTCTTTACACACTTTATTTTTAACATGTAAAGAAAAAATGTAAAATATGAAAATTGAGTTCAATTTTTCGAATGGAACATTCGTTTATATTGGGAATTTACTTCAGGCGTTTTTCCATGAAGCCAAAATCATTAAGAGTTTTGTGAATTTTACCCTCGTTTAGGTAATTAAGACCAAAATGTGCAGACAGGTTTCTCGGATATATGGGTCTTAGGCAAAAATTTAATCTCGTGCAATCCTGGAAGTCTCATGCCAAGATATTTGCTAAACATGGGGTTTTCCCGCTGTGCATTCTGGATATGAATATAAGCAACCCTCACATTGCCCTTTTCGTTAGTCGTGGTTCGAAAGTTTATGGATTGTGTTCTCTCATTCATTCTTGACGAAAGTTGTAACTCCGTGAATATGTCGGGGCGAAAAACTTCTGAAAAATATCAGAAGTTCAGATTTGAATTAGTGATTGAAGAAGGACAATACCTGGCATTGTGCTTAATTTGCAAAAAGACATTAAAAAATACCACGGAACAAAGGTTAAAGACCCACAGAGCAAAATGTGCAATGGTGAACTCGAAGGATGCTGTTACAAAGTCAACTGAGCCACCAATTTCTGATCAAGCGGAATCTCCTGGACCCAGCTCTCAAACGTCACAGAATGCGTCCCCTGCTACTGTTGCGTGTGATATTTCATCACAAGCTGCATCTTCGTCATCGTCAACCGTTCAAGCCTTGAAACGAAAAGGAGAGTCATTACAAGGAGGACCAAGGAGAAAGGATCAAAAGATGGATAACTTCGTTGACTCCATTTCCAAAAATGAGATCGGTAAGATCACCATGTCGATTGCCAGATTTGTTTTTCAAGCAAATCTGCCGCTATCAGTGGTTGAGCATCCGGCATTTGTGGAAATGTGGCGCAATGCAAGGCCATCATACGCAAAGCACATCCCAACACGGAAGATGATTTCCACGACTCTACTCGATCAAGTGTATGAGGAAAACATCGAGTCTTCCTCAAATGCTTGTGGGAGTGAGTCGGTTTTGCTAATTGATTCCTGGAAAAACTCTTCCAATATGAAAGTATTGGCCTTTCTTCTTCAAACCACTGAAGATAAAGCCGTGTTTTTAGATGCATATAATGTTTCTACTGACTCAGAGACCGGAGACTTCCTGATGAGAAAGGTGCAATTGGCGAAAAAGACAGCTTTAGAAAAATACAAATGCACTATATATTGCGTGGTGTCTGATAATGCCAGTAATATGGTGAGAATGGGAAAAGATGTTGCTCATGACATGTTGCATTTTACTTGCAATGCACATTCTGCTAATTTACTTGGAAAAGATCTGATGGAAACAAACAAAACCCTCGCTGAAAATGTGATGAAGATCTTGAAAGAGTTTAAGAACTCTGGATTGGAAGCGAAAGTCGTGGAAAAGGGAGGACAAAGGATAAAACTCATATGTGGAACAAGGTGGTGCTCTTACCGAGATTCGTACAAATGCCTCATTGATAATCTGCAATATATGAAAACTATTTGCGCAGAAGAGAAACAAATGCGGCAGGACGTTGTTACTCTTTTGTATAATTCAGATTTCATTCAGGAAGTCAATAAGTACATACGTATTTTCGATCCTGTTTGCGAGACAATTAATCTGTGCCAAAAGAGTGATTTTTCATTAGCAGAAGCAGCTGACTTGTGGTTGGGATTGAAAACGAAGTTTCCACCTGAATATGAAAAAATTTGGAAACCACTATTGAAAAAGAGAAAGGCGAAAGTCTTGAATGCGCAGATGCTCACTGCCCATTTTCTACATCCTTGGTTAAAGAAGGAAGCCCTGAATTCAGAACAAATGAAGATAGTTGATTCCTATCTTGTAAAAACTCTTGTGAAAACATCGGATGGATTGCAAAGCCTGGTAGATTACAAGGAGAAAAGAGGGCTGTTCGGAACTCTGTTTGAGAACGAAGTGGGGAACCCTAGCGGGGCATTGCTCTTCTGGAAAACAAGCAAAACACAACATCCGACCCTCGCAAAACTTGCCATTAGGCTTCTCAAAATCCCAGCGAGTACTGGCCAAATTGAGAGGGCATTCTCTCAATGGGGAATTGTGCATTCTCAAAGGCGAAATCGCCTTAATTTTGAAAGATCCAAGAAATTATTACATATTTATTATGCGGCTAAATTGGACCAAATGTTGATAAGATCACCAAATCAAGAAATCAGCGAAATTCAATCGGAGGACACGGACGAGTTGGACTGCGAATCAAATTTGGACCTGTTTGAAGATCTTTAAGAAAAATAAGCATAAATGTTAATAATGTAATTATAGTTATAAAGTAAGTTAATAAAGTATATTTATAATCAAGAACATGTTATATTTTGATGATGAGTCTTGCACCAAAACAACGAAATGAAGCAATCGGCATGAAAATCGTCTTCTCTTGCCCAAAATCCAAGAATGAAGTTTAAAAATGCGATCCGACATTCTATGGGCCTGTCTATTGCTGGATGGACTTTCTTCTTCCTTGCTGGAGTTCCTCGATGGTTAGGTAATCGGCAGCAAAGTACCTCGCAAAGAATACAAAAATATACGTTCAGTTAGCAAATTTTCTTGAAAAATTAGAGTAAACTTCGATATTCCATCAAACAAATGTATTGGAACATCAGTTTTTGATTATAACTTACCTACTCAATTATGCCAACAATTTGCAGATTTTCCTGAGTTTTCACTGTTGTTTACAATTTTGTGACTTCTCGCGTATGTGACAAAAAGTATTTTCTGCAATTCCACGGGACGTTTCAGTAGTTTTTAAACTTCAGAAAAGAATTTTTACATTTTACTTGACATTTTACATTTTACTTTACATTTTACATTTTTTACACATTCTTTACATGTAAAATGTAAAGAGGTATTTTTTACCATGTAAAGGCACAACACATTTCGCTATATTTCCCAGTTCTCTGAGCCTTGAACGCCGCATTGATTACGCCCCAACATTGCCATGGCATTGTTTACACACGTGTAGAGATGAACAACATGTAGAAAATAAATACGATAGATTTTTTCCCAAGATGCAATCGTCGCAATGATAACCCGCAGAGCAATTTTACATACTTGTTTAGCACATGAATGTAAAAATACACTTGTAATACAACTCAATTGATGAGTAAAGCGTCGCATGTTAAAAAGCAGAAATTCCAAGTTATAGTTTTGAAAATAGAAGAGTATCAATTTATGTGTGTGAAATTCCCAGTCAGACTTCTTTTCTCTAACTCAAGACGATCACATTTAACACCAATAAAAATGTTCCTGGGTTCGTGAGATTTGTCACGGTCAGAAGTGCTATCCCGAAATTCTCCAGGTAAGTTTATTTGATGTGAAATAAAATATTCATTAAATTCGAATAAAACAAATTTTTCCGATCTTGCGATCTTATCACAACTCGATGACACGATCGTTTATAAAAACAACCTACGAAGATCAACACTGTCTCTCGTGGAAAGATATATCAAGTTGCGAGAAGGTAGCTCGTGATGATAAGACGCCAGGTAGAGCGCCTTTTAATGGTAATTCGGGAGATGGTAAAGACGAAGAAGTCCTTCGATATGTCCTTGCCTTTATCATCTTGTTTATATCAATTCCCTCTTGTTCGCCAGCCACTTTTATGGAGAATCACCTGCTGCGATAGGAATTATATCCTTTTCAGAGGACAACAGTGGTCAGAGAGGGACATCATTTTTTTTCTCTTCACCGAAGAGAAATTTATTATTCAAATAATATTTAAATGACTATTGAATGAGGGAAGTTTCAGCCATTTCGATCGGAAGTGGTGAGCATTTATGTAAATTTCTGTTCTTCACCTTCACTTTCATTCACGAGATTGTCTTCCATGAGGACTCTGCATCCTTATGGATGCGTGGAGCACAAAAACACCACAACACACCGCCTCAAACGTGACACCTTCAGTAAGTTGGAAGTAGAAATTATTTCCGAGAGACTGTTTATCGCGGGAGAATCACACAAATATAGAAAATTCTCATGGGAAATTTATGATAAAAATCCCCTAATGAATTATATACACGTAAGTGCACATATAGTGTTGATACAGGGTTTTGTAACGTTTGCAAAAAGCTATTTTTATGGAAATGTTTTCAATAAGGCACGTTTATTGAGACTTGTTGCGTCTACTCTGACGCGATTCTCATCTCCACTTTGCGGCATGCAATGAGACTCATTGCATCGTGTCTTAGTTGTTAAGTAGCTCTGGCTGTGTCAACAGCAAATCAGCCAATTCAATAACCATCAAGAATATCAGGAAATTCAGTTAGAATCACAAAATTTCCTCGGGTGCTCATCGAATTTGCGCGGTGATGTGACAAAGTGTGTTGAAAGTGAGTCTGAAAGCGTGAACTTTGCGTGAAGAAATGCATTCCATAAGCTCAAAGGTGCGTTTGTGAGTGCTTTGAATTAATTTGAAGGCCGTGGTGTGAGATAGTGTTGAATTAAAAAGCCACACTAGAGCTATATTTCCAGGAATTATAAATCTCAAATTACGCATTCGCTCTCTCTATCGGATATTGATCAATGTGTGAGAGACGCGGAGTTGTCGCAAATTGTTTACATGAATCTCTTAATATTGTTCAGCAGGTGATTCTTGTGTGGAGTTTCCTCTTGTTGTCGGCACGAGCTCAACAAGTGCTAACGACGCCCTGTGCGGATGTCTTTGAGTATGAGAGCATTTCGTCAAATAACGAGCAGTGGAACGGCGTGTTACACTTGAGGACCAATGTTATGCTTCACGGAGTGTTCATTGATGTTATCTTGGACTCGAGGGCGCACAGTCTGGGCGCCAACTACAGATTCAGCATCACCACATTGGACAACACGGAGTACAGACTCGACGACAGGACATACAAATTGCGTCCCAGTGAGCAAACGGATGTGAGATTCTATGTGCGCTACAATTCATATCACGCCCCAAAAGTCATATCGGTCAGACTCAATGGACAGCGAATCTGTCCTGATCACGTCACAACAACTGAACCCATTCAGACAGTTCGGTCAGTTCAGAAGTCATCTGCTGATATCGCAAGGGACACAGCGCTGTACTACGAAGTTGTAGGATCGACAAATCAAAACTCTGGTTCGCGCACTTCCAACAAAGATCAACCCGTGACGAGCAGAGGTATTTTCCAGAGTGACGCAATCTTTTCATCCGATAGTAATTACGCTCCTAATCAACTAAGCACCATAAGATCCACAAACTCTCACACATCCAGCAGCACACCTTACTACACCCCAACATCTCTGACCAGTAACGATCAGCCACTGAGACGAGACGCAAGACCAGTGATCGCGAATTCTGGCCGCGATGACATTAATTACGAATCCGGAAGATCGGTGACAACCAGACCTGTGACCAATCAAGAGAGCACCACGCGGCGGATCCTCTTCAACCACCACAACGACGAGTATCCCTACAATCAAGTCATCACGACCACGACGGAGAGTTACAGGACTACGCGCTATCGAGACGATCGCCTGAGAGCCGCCAACGCCAGGACAACCACCAGGAGTCCCTACTTCCAGGGCGATCTGTCCAAGTTCAATCCAACCGAGCGGGATTCCGCACCGCGCCTGTCGTTCGACACGTGCGGCGAAGTGGCGCGCAAATCAAACGCATTAATTGTGTCCGGGGAGGAGTCATATCGTGGTCAGTTCCCCTGGCACGCGGCGCTGTACATATCATCGGGGCCCGAGCTGAAGTATACCTGTGGCGGGAGTCTCATTAACCGGGTAAATTTATGCACAAACAAGGGGTCACTCAATCCCACCGCGAATGCCACATCTCCGCCATATAATATTAACATATGTTGTGCCGCTCTTTCACAGCGAACCATCCTCACGGCAGCCCATTGTGTGGCACTGAAAGACTCCACGCGACCCATGCAAGCCTCCCAATTACTCATATATCTGGGCAAATACAGCCTTCTGCAGTGGAATGGTCCTGAAGAAGATGTCAAGGTGTCCGAGATCATCATTCACCCCAACTATGAGAATGAGAAATTCTACTCGGACCTGGCGATTGTGAAGCTGAAGACGGAGGCCCGCTTCAGCGAGTACGTCCGGCCGGTGTGTCTGTGGCCCTTCAACAAAGAGCTGCGCTCGATTGTCAATAAAATCGGCACAGTTCCCGGCTTTGGCTACAACGAGCACGGCATTGTGGATGACAAATTGTCGCATGTTAATATGCCCGTCGTCACACATGAAACCTGCATTTGGTCCAACAGGGACTTCTTCAGTCGTCTCACATCAAATGTTACCTACTGCGCGGGATTCAATAACGGTAAGTGATGAAATAAAAGTCGCGAAATTCAGCTGAATATTCTTCTCTCTCCTTGCCAGGATCCTCAGTGTGCAATGGAGATAGTGGCGGAGGAATGGTGTTCAAGGAGAACAACAAGTGGTACATCAGAGGCATTGTCTCAGTGAGTATCGCTCTTCAGAATCACTTCCTCTGCGATCCGGATCACTATGCGATCTTCACGGATGTGGCGCAATTCACTGACTGGATAAGGGATCATATGTAATCATAGTAATATGAAATTAAAGTAACTGACTCCACAGCTCTTCTCCTTCTCCTTTTTGCGACCGCGTTTAAGGAGTTAATGAAGTGCAATACCTTTTATGAACGTTTCCTCAGTCTGGTAATTCAATACTCTGCAGTTTTTCTTTTTGCCATCAAATGCTTTTTTCTTCTTCTTCAACTTCCCCCGGTTAATTAAGCGTCAAGTGGAGAGACTGGTGGAGGAAAAAACAATCCTCGCAGAGAAAAAAGTGTTTTTGGCAAAGGAGGAAGCGAATTGTGAGTCCTCAGAGGCGTATCAGCATTTTATCATTATTATAAGTGAAATGTTTTTTTCACTCCTCTTCCTGCCCTCGCGCTGCAGTTTGCATTGTTAAATCGGTTTTGCATATCTACACAATCGAACACCGGTCATCTTCAAAAACAGGAGTTTAGCGTGCAAGGTGGGCCGTTAATACAGTGGTCAACTCGGTCTTGATGCCTGTTATAACTCCGCTCGGGACGCATTTCACCCTCGTTCGCGGCTGCATTAAATCAAAACCAATTAATCATGTTTTGGAGTCACTTTCCCGGCCTAATGAATACGGCCACTTAAGCACATCGAGGTGACGAAAGGCACAGCGACAGAAAAGGATACTAATTGCTGGGCATTCTGTAATGGGGAGAGAAGTGAAAATTGATTGGCAATTGGAAGTCAACAGTTTTTCTTTTGCAGTGGAAATTTCTTCGCTATTTCAGGCGCAACAAAATTAATTTACATATCTCTAAAGGCTGTGGAGTAATTTATGGTTGTTTTTGCCTCGTTGATTCGTTATGCATTCAACATACAATGAATTTTTTCGGGCAAGCTGAGTCACTTAGGCCACAGAGAGGACAAACACCTTCTCTTTCCGCGATGGGCAAAAGTTCTTGACCTGCAATAACGTTGCACTCAAAGTATTCTAAATATTTACCCCTCGCCGAGATCTCGTCGAGATACGATGTAATTGTTGTACACACTTCTGGGTAGAAAAAAGGTGCGTATAAATTATCAGTTTGTTTTCATTTTACTTTTACCCCATCAGCGCAAGTGAATGTTTTTACTTTTGGTCTACGAGGGCATTTGAGGCACCTGTACAGGGGGGGCCCACCTTAACAGTTATGCATTAATCCAAAATGCAATGGCAAAAAGGAGATATGGGAGGTGATACGGAAATCTCACTGAAATAAATCCATCCAAACGGAACGCGAGGACATCGTCCAGCAAATTCTGGCGGGAGATTGTTATCTTGCAAGAAACGGATAGACTCTCAAGGTGCTTTCATAGACTCTCTCTTCCGGCAACTCACGCCGCAGGATTTACTCGAGAGGCTGTCGCAAAAATTATCATCACATGTCGCACATAAAAACTCAGACATACTGACAAATGGAATAAAGACGAGGCCCTGTGGAAAAAGTATGCAAAACAATAGAGGACGGGTGCTCGCTGTCACTGGAGACGATAAAAAGGACCCAATAAAATGCTAAATATACGACCCTCCTGGTCATCATGACGCAGAATTGGACAAAAAAGAGAAGCTCCAAAAGTAGATCTCTTTGACTTCAAATAAAGTCAAATACATATAATGAAAATATCATATTTTCACTGCCTCTTCTCAAATGCTCAAATATTCCATTCCTTGAGTGATATTCAATTGTTCCACGATCGCGAGGGCAGAAATTAGGCAAATCTTATTCAATTGGGCGCAGAACATAAAGATGCCATCAGCAAAAACAGGTGTTTGCGTGTCGTTGAGACCAAAAGAGACTCTCTGTTCCAGCCAATAACCTGAATAACTCGCCCAAAACAAATGCACCGTCTCCTCTGGAGGTTCCACTTTTGTGCCATCCGCCAATAGATGAGGGCACTCCGTGTAATATTGATGACTGTCTGTCGGACCAATTTAGTGGCTATCAAGGCAACAAAGGACCTGCGCGCTTCTCTTTCAATTGGGAATTTTCATTTTCAACCCCCAAATTTACCTTTCATCTCCTCCTGGATAATTCCATTCTTCAAATGCTGAAAATCATGAGCGAAAGTGAATTTTGACCAATAATCATGAGCTCAGGGCCATGCAAAAGACACGACAGTGTGTAAATATTTATAATTTGCATATCATTAACGTGATTATGATATTCTTCTTGTTGAAAAGACACGTAAATATAAGAATTTATGCTTCTTGCTCTTGTCTAATCTCTCTGATTTTGGTCTGTTTCTTCTCAAATCTCCAGTCAATATTGAAAAATAACATTGTGTGTAATTCAGACATAATTTATAATCATTTCATCAAATCTTGATATTGATTTCCCAATTTCTGACCATTTCGGAAATTGATCAATTATATTTTTAATAGAGGAATTTTTAGAAACAAACATTCAAAAACATATCGTGCACTTCCCAATTTTTTTCTATCCTTAATTACTCAAGTGGAAAGGTCAATTCTTATTTGAGAAATCAGTGGAGAAATGCGAACAAGACAAGCATATTCCATGAGAATTTCGTGAGGAATATCGCATTGCTCACCTGTGATAATCTTGTGTGAAAAAATTAGTCGCATCTCAGGAGAAATAGAAGCGCAATAAAAGATCCAAAAAATTCAGGTATCTTTTCTGCAGATAGACGAGAGAGAGATCGGACAAAAAATAACGACGATGCGGCAGACTGAAAAAAGTGGACCTGCTATTTGAGAATTTCTTTACCTGGCGCAATGTGGTGAGGAGAACAAAAGGATTCGGTTTCTCCCAAGGAGACAAGGGCGAAGACCACAAAGAAGAGCGATAACACAATTTCACCTACATAATGCAATATAATTTCTTGTATAATTTTTAAATATCAATAGCAGTTACAAAGTGTTTCGTCGAAAAACATTTCATTTCAACATAATTTATTTCAAATAACAAACTAGAGTTGAGCAACACTATTCTTAGGGATTCCATTCTTGTCATGGCGAGCGAATATAAAATAATATAATTATGGCAATAAATAGACGCGATTGATAGTTAACTAACGTACGAATAACAATTTGAATGGCAACAGGGATGATGTTTTGATTTGGCCAGACTTAATACTGATGCGGATGTCACGGACGCCCGGGATGTTTCACTGGAGCAGTTCCCACAAGGCTGTGATGTACGTCTGGGCCATTTGCAGTGTCTCGTGCTTCGAGAGCTGTCGATCATTGCCCAGCGATGGCAAATACTGTCGCAGCCGGTCGAAGGCTGAGTTTAGTGTCCTCATGCGCTTTCGCTCACGTGCATTCGCCGCCAGACGCCTCTTGCGCTTCACCACCGGTGACACTTGCTTCCCACGTCTCTTCTTGCCGCCATCCACACCGTCCGTGCTGCTTGGGTAGTCCGTCACGTCAAACAGCGCCTCGTCACCACTGTCCTCGGTGAGGAGCTCCTGCTCAATGGCCAGAGGTGATTCATCCAACACCGCCACGACCAGATTCTCGCCGCCGCTCTTCTTCGCGCCCTCATCAGCGGTGTCTTTCGTGACCGAAATAATCGCGGGCTGGTGCTTTCGATAATTTCGCCGCTTCCCTTTCGTGAGCGAATCAATTGGCGGCGCGGTTTTGCATGGGAGGCCAAATTGAGGTGGCGGATTTAAATCAATATACTCCGGACTGGACGATCTCATGCTGCCCGGACTTGGCGTGTGCCACCCATCCGAGAACGAGCCGTCATAGCCGTGTGGCACGAGGGGCAGGTAGTTCTGCAGATATGGCTGCCCCAGGTATCCCTCGCCCATCTGATCCACCTCCATCAGCTCGCCCTTGCACGGGATGTAGTAGTAGCGATAGACTTCTGAAGTCATCCCTCGAGTCACTTCCACTTTATTCACACGAAAAGAAGAGAAACTCACGAACGGCACACAAACAATTCCTCAGCGAGAACCAGAGTTCGTCTGAGCGATGCCGAGCCGGTGGGACGTTTTTATACCGCTCACCTGGCCAGCGAGGAGGGGAACAACACGTGCCGCTCGACCAATCACCGCTCACCGGCTCAATCCACACAATTCCACCAAACATACCTATGTACATATGCACATTCTCTCCCCGGCTCATACATTATGTGGCGTTTTTATGCACGGCGCAGTCAATTCCAACGGAGGATGTCTTCCTTTTTGCATGAACACCTTCCGTTGCATCGAGTTACCCTGGCGAAACTTCTTGCGCACAATTTTCGGCAGGTTCTCACCTTCTCCGCCGTTGAAATCTTTCCCCCAACGAGTGAGATGGACGAACTTTTGTTGTTCTAAACTCTCCCAAGTCTTATAGTTATGCATATGAGCTTCTCTATTTACTCACATTATTCATCAGAACCGGCGTGGAAATTAAATCAACACTCTTCGACTCGTGCCACTTCTTTTGTATCTATTCAAGCAGGGGAAAGAATCTTTCCCTGCAATTGTGTTTGTGTAGGTCAAACTGTAGAATGTTTCTTATAAATGTCGCGATGTTGGAATTATGCTTCATTGCTGCTTTTCACTTTGATATGTGTTTATAACTTCAGCCACTTCAACGTAATGTAATAACTTCCTTAGTTTATTAATTAAATTAATCCTTGAAAGAGGAATTGAATTGTTCTCCACATTGGCAATCTAAATATAAGCCGAAGAAGCTATTAAAATTTTTTTAGCAGACTTTCTTGCCTCTTTCCTCGAACGCCAAATCAATTTATTGTATCGTCAGAAATTAAATGAGATAAAATTCGAATTATAACTTTCATAGTCGCCCATTTTATTATTTTTTTTTCACCTTCGACAACAGATGGGAGCTTCTGTTGCTTTTTTATTCAATTATGAGAAAAAAGTATCCTTGGATGCATCTCAAGGATTCAGTGGAGGGAAAACACATGCGGGATATCTATTGAATCGACTTTTTCATCCCTTTTCTCTGGATCGGAGCTTGTGCGAGTGTCCGGAAATGAAGATGATGTTTTAACTGGAGAATATTTATCATTTGCCGGCAGAGGAGAGAAAAATTCGTGGTGGAAAGTATCCCTGTAAGCCTGTATTTTTATTCAATTAGATTAATTTAATTATAGCGCGAACAGTAACCCTTGCATTAGCGACAGACTCGCGGGTGAATGCTGGAGAAGTCTGGATCTCGGTGCCCTTTTATACCTGTGCTTCCTCTCTAAATTTATCATTCACCCGGCAGAAGCTGAACCGTCGTCTTGTGCGATGGGTATAATTTGTTATTGGAATGATTATAATATGCACATAAAAGAGGAAGGCTCCATCTGTTTCGGCTGTTTTGGGGGACAAAATATATGGCACCATATGTATGAATAACAAACTAGCGGAATTGCATTGTTCGCCACTTTATGGATGCAAAATTATTGCAAGGACATTCATCGATTTTGGAGTGACAAGTATATTAATAAAAGAGGATTGCTCCTATTCAATAAAGTAGTCTTTTTTCTGCATAAATTTCTTTCTCGCTCTCTCTCTGCATTGCCTGGAAATTCAGCCAAATGTTGCACGGTGGATTGCGACAAAAAGCATTTGGATTTTCACCGGAGGAACAGCCACCTCTCTCTCGGGCTCTTCGGGCATGAATGAAGGAACACGTGCATAAATGGCGTGTGCCAGATGGTCCCCCGAACACGAATTAATGGTTATATCGGGAGGTATAGCTAAAGCTCACAACGTATAATAAATGTTTTACACCAAAGCATCCCTCCAAATTCTAATTTCAATTTTTCATGAAAAACTTCCACCCCTTTGTGCGCATTCCTTCATCCTCGTCTGGGCGGTTACATTTAGGATGTAACGGACATTTGACGCTAGAGAAGGACAAAATTCGCAGTTAACACACATTCTCAGGTCATCAAAGCCAAGAAGTTTCACATTTTTTCTCCGTTTTTCACCATAATTGGAGATTTTCTTGTGTCCAGTAATCCGATACACTTTCATGTCGGAGCCACAGCGTGTTCTGTTGTGGTACTTACACGGCTGATTAGCGTACGAGGATCGGTTTTTTGGTTGAGAATTTTTGGGAGCAAGTATATTCGGTCATTTAATATATCACGCCCTTACTAAATATGTCAGTCGGGTAATCATCTATCGAAAATTAGTTGGTGGTCCAATGCGATATTTCTTTCATATACCCATCGTTTTTTATTTCTTCTTCCCTGTGCTGCGCAAGGCAAATCCATGCGGACCTCCTCAATGAAATTTTCATAACACCCAAAATATCGCGATGATTAAATATCGAATGCCTGGTGGAAAGGGGTTTTTTTCTTTCTTTCTTTTGAGAGATAGACAATAAAAAACACAAAATCCTGAGAAAATCGTTTATCATTTTATTTCTAGCCTTTCTGTTTTCTTTTCTTTTCGGCGATTTCTCTCTCCTCTTTTTTATTAACGGTATAAAGGGTGCAAATTGCGTGGAGACCTGAGCTGAGGAGAATGGAGAAGAAAACAGTCCATATAATCTACAAGTTGCAACAATAGAAAATGCCTGTGATGTGGTTGATACTTGAAAAATAATTGCTGTTTTTGTTGCGGAAGCCGCCCAACAATAACCAAAACACATTCTCAAGCCAACAAGAGAGAGTCTCTAAAACTGAAGGAGCTCTTATATAATTGAGATCATTATTTTTTTCGTTCAGTCATGGCGCAACAAAAGGATAAAACACCTCTTCTCTATGCTGAGAGACTGTGTTGTGTGAGAAAGAGGTGGCGAGAATTGGCAACCCTTATTATAGTCCGATCTTTGCTATTTCACACTGGAATTCTGTATCATTTTCCCGACGCCGCTTAGCCTTCTAATCTCATTATAACGCCATGGGCGGTGATGATCTTGATGGCCAGGTTGGCAAATTGTTGTCACCTCTGCACGAATCTGGCCAGAGCTCGAAGCGGCATCATTAATTTGTACATATAGCGCAACACAGCATAAACATAAACATATGTGTAAAACAATAAAGAGATCTTGACGGAAGATTCTCTTTCTACCTGAACTCGCGAACGCCCTCGCCAGTCCAAAATTGTTCTTTGATCTTTGACATCCGAGAGTCAGCGGAGTTCATGCGCACACGGCATTTGTGGAAATGAAGATGTTGATTTTTATAAATGCTAGAGTCCCTGAAATCGACCCCTTTCTAATTAGCCGACGAATCCATAAATTACGGTCAAAAAGATCCCTCGCCGAAAGAGTTTTTCAGAAACATATGAATTTTTATTAATAATTTATTTCCCCATCATCGTATTATTTGTGTCTTTATTGGAGGTGTGTCAGCGATTAGCTGAATTTACATGTTTTCTATGATTTGTTTTGTGTTGTGGCCTTTATTACCCAAAATAATAACAATATGTGAGGTTTGAAGAGATGCACCATTCATCATTTGGGAGGATGGCAAATATTTCAATAACGAAATTCTATTGTGTACCAAATATTTCGAGAGCAGTCAATAATTTATATCAGGTTGTAATCTTGAGAAATAATTCTACAGACCCAAATTATTGCTGTGTCCTTCCAGTGAGTCCTTTCCTGTCCCATTTCACTGGCAAATGAAAAGATATATTCCTTTGTCCGACATTGAGGACAATTTGTGGTTTGGCACAACAAAGGATCGTGTGTGTCGTGAGAGATGATTTCTCAAGTGCATGATTACCACAGGGTGCTCAGGAGCCCGCCTTCCAACGCGCACTCATCGATTTTAGCCGAGAAACCGCGCGCCGCACTCCAATTCAAACTGCACTTTCGCGCAGCTTTCGAACATGCCAACTCGAACTGGTCGAAAAAGCTGCCACGAATTGCGAATCCCACCCAAAAGAGCGAGACAACGGGCGGCTGAGTGAGTGGGACAGCTGATGTTTTTCTGTGTCGCCATTATTATTTGGGAAAAGCCAGAGAATTCGAGACAAGTTTGTAAAATCCGCGAGAATTGGCATCATCGGTGAAGTAAATGCAATAAACGCGACGGTAATGCGTGCAGTGGATTCTGTGTGAGCATTTTGAGTGATAATATTGCCCGCAGCAGTGATAGCGTTCGCGCGAGAGTGGATCTGCAGGAGACGAATTGATTGTGCGTTTAGAGAAAAAGTTTCCACGGGAAATTCTGCCTTTGTGTGACACTCGCCACCAGCTAATTTCCAATCACCACCAGCGGCAACAATATGGGAACTCGAGATGATGAATACGACTACCTATTCAAAGGTACGACGGCCAGGAGAGGCGTGAGAAGATCCCCCCGAAAAGTGGATGACTAATGTGTCAAAATGCCCCCCGCTTCTGCGTTCGCTCAGTTTTGTGTGTGGCAGCCCGAGAAAAAATGGCAAAGTCCGTGACCTTCCCTGCCAGCGAGTCACAACTCTTTCTCATCTGGCTGTGGGAATCACCTTTCTTCTCGGAATTTCACGCCACTTCACTTGGTGACACCGTGCATTCCTTCGTCTTTCTCTCTCTCTCGCGCCCCAGTCCAGAGATCCATTCCCGGAACCATTGTTGCTCACACAAAGAAGTCCAGATCATTCGCCTCTGCAGCATTCTCAACTGACTGAAATCGGCGGAAGTGAGCGACGCCTTCCATCTTCCACGCAGATTATTGATTCTGGAGTGTCCTCGCGGAATTAATCAGCTGTTTTTGCCCAATGATGACTCAGAGGTGATGTCTTATCGCCTCAAGTGAGTCGTGGCCGCCCCTCTGGCACTGGAGACGTGCTTCCCCCGCTGCCAATTAATCAGACACCCTTCTTGGGTCACGAGAAACCATCCGAGAGACACACAATTGCCTCAGGAATCTCACTCGATTCTTATTCGAGTTCATATTCGAGGGCGGGCCAATTGGACAAAAGTGGAACATTTTCCTTCGTTTTTCACACTCAAAACTCCCTTGTTTGTTATCAATCGATTTGTTTGTTTTCAATGGCAATATCGCATTAAAGCACAAAACATTGTAGTAAATAACTTTCCAGGCATTGCGCCTTAGAAATTGTCCGCCTTCTGGCACTTATGCTTTGGCCGTCGAATTTGGGCGGAAAAAGTGCCACAAGACACTTTTTATGCGTGCGTAACTGCAAAATTCTCATGATTGTCAGCACCAGCACATATATCTAATCTACTGGCGAGTGGCCCCTTAACATAGTTCTTGGCCGCGCGCGAAGGTGTTGGGAAATTTGTCATCATTGATCAAGACTCGTAAGTGTCAAGAGGAAAAGACACACCTCGGGTGGAAAAAAGTGTGGCCACATTCCAGAGTCTCCTCTCAATGGTTGATTTCATGAAGCGACCCCATTGATTAGCCATTGCAGCACTCAATTAGCCAGCTCAATTTGCTGGCGCTTTGAAAAACGCCTCTCGGAAGTGCGAACTTCTCAATGGCGAAGAGTTTTTTTCGTGGATTGATGCGCGCGTCAAATTGAAGATTGTGTGGAATCTATAAATTCTTCGTCACTTTGACGCGCATGCAACTATCTAATCAGGCTAATTGAGCGAATGCTGTTAGATAAAAGATTGCTGAAAACTTTCAATATACACATTTTGGCCCACGAAATTTCAACGATGGCAGAAGAAAAATCGATACAACGCTGTCGTGAGCACGAATAACGCCTGAAGAATGTCCATGAGTTGACAGAAAATTAGCAGCAAATTATGGCAAAATAGCCAGAAATATATCATATTGGAGTGAAAATGCTTAATTGGCTGACATTTGTTTCTCTTCTTCTCTTTTGCAGTTGTTCTCATTGGAGATTCCGGCGTGGGGAAGAGTAATCTGTTATCGCGATTCACTAGAAATGAATTCAATCTGGAATCGAAATCAACAATAGGTGTAGAGTTTGCTACAAGGAGTATAGAGGTAAGACACCACACAATAGGTCATGTTGTGACTCAACAAACGCTTCTCAATTGTAATGAGTCGAATGACATGTTAATCAAGTTCACTGTGATGATTAAGAGCATTGCCAATGTGTGTGGCGGCTTTGAAGAATTAATGAACAGTGGAAAAATTCTGGACATAGAATATAGTAATAATATACATAATTGGAGGCATTGTTTTAAATTTGCGTGCATGAATCACGGCTCTTGTGACCTTGATAAGTTTGATAAAGTTATAAATGTGTTTCTTAGTAGAGTGAATGCGGGTATCTCAACGACAAAGAATCAATCTCTCACTGATAAGATCTCTCTCTCTCTCTCTCAAAGTCCTTCACACACAGTGAATTCAGTGTGTTTCGCACAAGAGAAACTATAAATAAATTACAATTAGATTAGTGCAGAAGAAGTCAGAGATAAGAAAGAAGGCAGGAATGATGAATAAATAATGAAATTTGGCTCTCTCACCTTGATTTACTTATCACCATATCTCAGGAGTTAACCTTTGTCTTGCTATTGAAATGTTGTAACAAACTATATTTGAAATAACAAACAACAACCCTAAACTTTGCCAAATGATTGCCTTTGGCTTCTTGATATAACTCCTAATCTTGGTGTTCTAAAACACTCAATGCTTTATCGGATTACATTTCTCACTGTACTTTTTTGTTGTGTTGTTGAAAATACATTCCGATATGAAGTACATCAGCTTTACATAACAGGCGAAGATTGTGGAGAGAAAGAAAGAGAGAGATTTTTTTTATTATTCCACCAAGTTTGAACTTTAATATTGATTCCCGGGCACAAGAGTGTCTGCAGAAGGCGAGAAATGTAACTGATGTGTATGTAAATGTCTGAGAATCCCGACTGCATAATGCATTAAGTAAATTGCGTGCTGTGTTGGGATCCTCTCTGTCTCTTGTGTGTGTGGTGTGGGAAAGGAGAATAGTAGTTAACCTATTGGCCCAGTTTTGGGGACTCTATGTCAAGTTTAAAATACAGAAAGTCTGTAATGGTGTCTCTGTTTCTTCCGTTTGCAGGTCGATGGGAAGACGATAAAAGCTCAAATTTGGGATACGGCCGGTCAGGAGCGATACAGAGCCATAACATCGGCTTACTATCGTGGTGCTGTCGGTGCGCTGCTGGTGTACGACATTGCCAAGCACTTGACGTATGAGAATGTGGAGAGATGGCTGCGGGAGTTGCGCGATCATGCCGATCAAAATATAGTTATAATGCTGGTGGGGAATAAGAGTGACTTGAGACACTTGCGGGCTGTTCCGACGGACGAGGCGAAGACCTTTGCCGAGCGTAATGGATTGAGCTTCATTGAGACGTCTGCATTGGACTCGACAAATGTAGAAACAGCATTCCAGAATATACTCACAGGTTTGTCAATTCTCAGGCGCGGACGCGCGCGCTTAGCTTTTTGGCTCTTTTTCCCACCCTTTTTGTTAACTGTGTTGGCTTTCTGTCCCTTGCAGAGATCTATCGGATTGTGTCTCAAAAGCAAATACGAGATCCACCCGAAGGGGATGTCATTCGACCAACAAATGTGGAGTCTATAGATGTAAAACCCACTGTCTCTGCTGATTCTGTGCGCAAGCAATGCTGCCAGTGACCGCCTAATAGTAGTGATGGAAAGAGCGCTTCAATCATTTTTCTTAGTTCAGGTACATTTCTTCACAATTTCTCTCCTATTTGCCATCAATTTGTCACTCACAATTGTTCTCTCTTCTTCTTTTCCAGAATTATTTGCATAAGTTTAATGAAGAAAGGAAATACATACAGAGGAATATTGTCTAATTAATGAATAATTGCATTGAAAGAGAGAAAAAAAGGACCCATATTTAATTTGATGAGAAAAAAAATTGATCAAGATGAGAAAAAAATACCAGTTCATGAAAAAAAATGAAAGAAGTAAAATCATTTCCGTAGAATGATTAACGAAATATGTCCATGTAAAAAATGTCTTTAAAATTGCATTAAAGTAATATATATTAAAAGAATAATCACTAAAAATATATTGACTAATTAATAAATAAGACATTTATCTGATAATTTACACGCACGCTGCAAAATTCCTTCTTTTGATATCAAAAAAACAAAGAAAAAGAGAAACAATCCCGCTTTCACAGTATGAATCTGCATGTAGAACAAATTCTTTTAACACTGCAAATTCCCTGTAAATTCCAATTTGTTAAGCCTGTAAAACAGTTGTTTATTTCCTTTTAAAATAATGGGAATTTTGTTGACTTTGCTATGATTTTCCAGTAGTGCTGTGGAGAAGATTTAGAGTTAGCGAGAGAGAAAGAGAGAAAAAGGAGGTTTTGCGGCATATTTTCCACCACAGATTGAAGAAGAAAAAATAAAGAATCCATCATTGAAGCAATTCCTTAAAATTCTCGTGATTTGATGTTAAATAGCAATTTTGAAGAGAAAAAGAATTGATAAAAAAAATACCCCGACAGATTGTCCACAACGAAAGTTTGCGTTTATCAATTTACACAGATGGATTTCTTGCGAATCATCTTCAAAGGTTCACAACTTTTGACGGAGGAAATTGTGTGGAGGAATTATCACTGGTAAAAAAAAGAGAAGAGAAGAAGAAAAAACACTGAAGAAAGTGATTTTATGAAAGTTTTTTCGAGCGTAATAATGTAGGTAGACAAATTAAAATTTTTCATTAAGAATTTCCCTTTGTTTTCACACACCGCAAAAAATATCTGCAGAATTCCATTGTATGAAGAAGAATAAAATGCAATTGGCAACAACACAAGAAAAAAATCGTTCTCTCCAATTGACATGATGCAAAGTTATATATGAAATAGTTGAATTTGATGATAAAAAAAACATGTGTAATTGCTGACTGTAAATTTGCTTTAGATGAGCGAGAGAGAAAGAGAGAGAAGAAAAGATGATAAAATGAATTTAAAGTCTAATCAGTTTTCTTATGTAATAAAAAGGATGAATTTCACTGAAGAATTATTACTTTGTACAGAAAATGTTTCATTTCCTTTTGCTTCTCAGTTGACAAAAAAAGGTAAAAAATTAGCGAGAGAAAGAGAGAAAAAGTGAAATAATATCATAACACTTTCCTGTCCACTCTTGAACAGGTGAAGTTTAATGTTGGGATAGCATTGAGATATAATTTTAATAATTTGTATTGATTATACATTTTAAATTCCTTTTTTCGATTATAAGGAGTAATAAAATATTTTGAAAGAATGCAACGGATTTCTTTCGGCTGGCGTTCGTCGTTTTTTTCCGGTGGTGAGTTTAGGAACAGTTTTTTCAGCCACTCCAAAGTGTAAACAAACGCAGTTTTACGTGTCAGTATTGCAAAATTTGGGTTGTTTTTGTGAAAAATGGGCTCCATAGACAATCCTCTGCTCCAGTGTCACACAATTCGTGACTTGATGAACAAGATAAGCAGAATTCACAGTGAAATAATCGATCATGAAAATACGCGACCAAAGTGTGAAATTTGCTGGCAAAATCACACCGAATTCAACTCCATTAAATCCCAATTGCTGCTCATTGTGCACGAATCTTCACTGGCCAAGGAGGAACAGCCACGGCCGATCTTCGAGTACGTCCAGCTCGATGGGGGTTTGCAAATGCAGTCCGTGTGCACGGATGGGATCAAGGAGGAGCCAGAAGTGCTGATTTCGGATGCGTGCGAAGTGCGGAAAGAGGAGCAGGACGAGTGCAATTCCTGGGAAAGTGGTTCAGAGAACTGCGAAATGGTCAGAGAAGAGGATGCCCTGCGGAAGGGCGGCAAGAGAGGGCGGAAGGCTTGCCAATTCTGCCCCAAAACCTTCTATCATGCGTCCAGGCTTGCCGAACACACGGAAAGCCATTCTGAGCATAAACCGTTCAAGTGCAAAGTGTGCAATAAGGGATTTAAGACGTTTTACCTCTACACAACGCACCGGAAGAGTCACATGAAGAGCCAGGAGGAGAATTCCTCGCCACAGGATGTGGACAATGATCGACCGATGGATAGGAAGTGTTTTGAGTGTGCATTTTGTGGCAATGAATTCGCGACAAAGAGACAAATCACCAAACATTTAAGGATTCACGCAAAGGTTGAGGACGAAGGAAGCGAAAAGTGGCCAACTGTAGAGGATAGAGAGTGCAAAATATGCCAAAAGCGCTATAATACACTCAGAGGCCTGAAGAAGCACATGCGCTTCCATGAGAAGAATCCCAATGCAGAGCTGAAGTCGAATCCTGAGGAGACGCCATTTCCTTGTGACGTGTGTAAGAAGTTCTTCCGCAATGCATTCACGCTGGAGAGACACAAGGAGTTCCGTGACAGTGCAAAACTCCACTGTGATTCGTGCAATGAACACTTCTGTCGCTACACAGATCTTTACAGTCATCAGCGCAGTGTGCACAAGATCAACACGTCCTTCCAGTGCAATTTCTGCAGCGAGCAGTTCAGCAACTTCCGCCTCATCTACAAGCACCACAAGCTCAGACATCCGCAGGAATTGGCGCCCGCCAGTCCCTTCCTGTGCGAAATGTGTGGCATCTCGATGATGGACTCACGCGATCTCAATCGCCACGTGATGACTGTGCACGAGTCGAAGCGCCTGAAGTGCGACATGTGCCAGAAGACCTTCCGTACCGAGGCAGAAGTCGAGGAGCATCGTCGGATCCACATTCCGATCTCGCAGCTCCAGGATCTGTACGAGTGCGACGTGTGCCCGAAGAAGTTCCGCATGAAGCTCACGCTGATCAAGCACAAGCGTCTCCACGCTTCGGGGCAGATGACAGAGATGTTCTGCCAAGTGTGCGGAAAGCGCTTCATCAATGCCAATATGCTGCAGTTGCACATGCAGAAGCACGCCAATGAGGCGCCGAGACCCTTCAGGTGTGAATTGTGCGGGCGGTATTTCAAGAAAATCAAGTACTTGAATCAACATCGCAAGAATAATCACAACATCTTCACCGACATGATGCTAAATCCCAAGCCAAAGAAGAAACAAACGTAATCAGCAATCACCATTTGAGCCATTTGATGTGTGTCTGAGTAAGTGTGAAAAGTATTGTTGCCAATATAATTGTAGGATAAGGATAAATAAAGGACTTACGCAAAGTGATTTTATTATCGTTCAGACGATTGTGGCACTTTCAGCAATGGGATTTTCACCCATTGGCATGGCATTTTCCTCTCTTGCACTGCAGACACGAGGGAAGTTCCAAGGGAGCACTTTGCTACGATGTCCACAGAATCAATGTCTTCCGTCACAGCCGAATTCTCGCGGAATCTGCAATGATAATCGTTAATCTCCTCGTATGAAGTCATCTTCTCCAGCAGAGCAACTCACCTTTCCACACCATTCCAGGCGATCATGACACCATTGTCCGTGCAGTATCGCTTCTCCGGACGAAATGTCTCATATCCCAAGTTCGTCCCCAATTGAGACAATGCCTCAAAGATGAAATCATTGCACGCGACCCCGCCACCAAAGACAATACTCTTTTTGCCATTGGCATCGATCAATCCCTCCTCTTCGCAGTAGTGCATGGCTCGCTGAGTCCGATGGCAGATGTGCTTGGTGATGCCACGAAGAAAACCAGCACAGAAGTCCTCAAAGTGTGGCATCACATCTCCTGGATTCACCTGGAATTCCTTCTCTCCCGCCAGAATGCAGCGCCTTGCGGAGTTCTTCAGGCCAGCGAAGCTGAACTGACAATCTCTCATCTGCGCCAAGGGGAGTGGGAATGGGAAACTTTGGGGTGATTCAGATTTCCTAGCAGCTGCTTCAATTGCCGCTCCGCCAGAAAGTCGCCGATACTCAGGCAGGTTGTGAATGTTGAGCCGACGAGCGATTTTGTCCAGCGCCTCACCGGGAGCATCGTCAATAGTTTCGCCCAGCAAGAAGTACTCGGTGACGGACTTGACCAGTACCAGCTGGCAGTGACCGCCGGAAGCGAGGAGGCACAAGTAGGGAAAATCCACCCGAGAAGTCATCCTGGCAGTGAGAGCGTGCGCTTCCATGTGATGAATTGGGATAAGAGGTTTGCCATGACTTCTAGCCAGGTGCTTAGCATACCTCAAACCTACCAGAAGACTCAGTGGCAGTCCTGGACGATTTGTCACGGCAATTGCATCGACATCTCTAACCTCCATTCCGGACAATTTCACTGCCTTCTTCACCACTTCCTCAATATTCTCACGGTGCATGTCCTGTGCCAGAGGCGGAATAATACCTCCATACCTACAAAGAGCATGGACAGAAGTCAAAACAATGCGTATTCATGGCATTTATCACGCACTTTGTGTGCACACTCTGCTGAGAGTGCAGAGCTTCCCCGAGAACTCTTCCTTCGCCGTCCACAACAGCGGCTCCCGTGTCGTCACATGATGTCTCGATGCCTAGAATAGCAATATTTCTATGTCCACTAAACTTCCTCACCAACTTTGAAGGAAATCGCCGAGCAAACATTATGCAATGCGCGTGTTTTTGTGCCCTTTTCTCGTGTTTTGGGGTTGCCGGGAACTGACCGGCGAACTGTTCTTGCAGTGGTGAGTTTGAGAACAGTTCCTATAGTGACAGAATTTTTTCATCCAATTGGAGAATTGGAGTCAAAGAACTCTCTTGTTGTGAAAATGGGTACATTGGAAAACCCCGAAAATCCTCTTGTGCATTGTCACACCGTGAGGAATTTGCTGAACAGGCTTAATAGGATTCACAGCGAACTCGTGGATCATGAAAATACTATTCCAAAGTGTGAAATTTGTTGGCAAAATCACATCGAATTCAACTCAGTCAAAGCACAGTTGCTGCTTATTGTGCCAGAAATTGCCTTGGCCAAGGAGGAAGTGGCCACTCAGCCGACCTTCGAGTATGTCCAGCTTGAGGGCGGTGTGCAGGATCAATCACTTCCTGCTGCTGAGATCAAGAAGGAAGCTGAAGATTTCCCACTTCAAGATCAAGGAGATCCACCATGCAAAAGTGATGCAGAAAATGAGTGGAATTCGCCGGAGAGCAGTTCGGAGTCCTGTGAGATGGTGAAGGAGCTGGATGAGTTGCACAGTGCGAGGAAAAAGAGCAGAAAGAAGAAGATGGCTTGTCATTTTTGCTCCAAGACTTTCTACCATGGAAAGCGACTCACAGAACATATGGCGAGACACACAGGAGAAAAGCCATTCAAATGTGAGACTTGCGGAAAGACATTTAAGTCCTTGGATTACTACGCCAGCCACTGTAAGAGCCACGAAAAGGACGATAACGAGGAGAGCATGTCCAAGACAGAACTGGAGACTGCAAAGGAAGAGGAAGAAGTGGAAAAGAATCTCTTCACATGTGAGTTTTGTGGCGATGAATATCCTTCGAAGAAACAAATCCTTTCACACATGAAAACTCACGTCAGAGGAAAGGAGTCAAAGAGTGATAAGTCCAGCAAGGACGAGAAAGCGTGCAAAGAGTGCAGCAAGAAGTTCAACACATCCAGAGGCTTGAAGAAGCACATGAGATTCCACGAGCAGACAGCAAATCAGCCATCCGCAGAAGAAACTCCCTATCTTTGCGAGGTGTGCAAGAGATTCTTCCGCAATTCAGTCACACTGGAAAGGCACAAGGAAGTGCGCGATAATGCGAATCTCAACTGTGACACTTGCAGTGAGAAGTTCTGCCGCGCCACAGATCTGTACAATCATCAGCGGATTGTCCATAAGGTGAAGACAGCCTTCCAGTGTCGTCACTGCGATGAGCAATTCAGCAACTTCCGCCTCATCTACAGGCATCACAAGACGACTCATCCCAAGCTCACGGGCCCCACGAGGCCCTTTCTCTGCGAAATGTGCGGCCTGACGATGGTGGATTCGCGCGATCTCAACCGTCACATGATGATCCATCGTGGTCTGAAGCCGCACAAGTGCGACATGTGTGATAAGACGTTCCGCCTCCAAACGGAGGTTGAGCAGCACCGACGAGTGCACATCCCGATCGCTCAGCTGCAGGATCTGTACGCGTGCGACGTGTGCCCCAAGAAGTTCCGCATGAAACTCACGCTGTGGCGACACAAACGGATCCACACTGGCCAGATCACGGAGATGTTCTGCCAAGTGTGTCGGCGACGCTTTATAAATGCTCACAATCTCGAGATTCACATGCTAAAACACGCGAATGAGGCTCCAAGACCCTTCAAGTGCGACATTTGTGGCAAATACTTCAAGATACGCAAAGAGTATAATCTGCACATGAAGAGAAAACATGGTGTGTTTTCCTTGGAGAAGACCAGGATGAAGAAAAAGGCCTAAATTTGGCTGGATTTTGCCACGGAAATAAATTCAGTTAATATTTTGGAAATTGTGGATTTTGAATTGCAAAATTCTCTGGAATATGATTGGAATACTGGAATGTTTACATTTCGGCCGCATGACAGCTGTGATTTTCGGATTTCTGTTTTTGCCGTTCTGAAGTTTGGAACGAGAAATTGCTGTGCATTTTTGAGGATTCTCTAAGTAAAGTTTTGTAGAAGCACATCCTCTCAGGTAAACCTTGATGCCTTAAGTCTGAAGCCAGCGATATACAATAGAAAATGGGTATTTGCTCATCTTGCTTTGGAGGATCCTCAGAGGAGTTGATCGAGACTCCGAGTGTTGTGAGTTTCATTGATCACGTCATGATGTTTACAACTCTTACAACTGCCCACAGCAGAGATAACTAATTATTGCCGGTTTCAGGAAGCGCGTCGTCAACTGCAAATTGAAGCGGCCGAGAGAAGACGCCAGGAGAATGAGAGCAGAGGAATAAAAGACGTGGAGAAAGTGAGGAGACAGCAGATGTTGCAGGAAAAGAGGGACAATCAGCAGGCAGCGATGGGAGAACCTGTCCTGAAAGTACTGATAACAGTCCTAATCATCGCTCTTTATCGATCTCATGGCTTTTTCTGTATCTCTTCCAGTGGCAAGCTGACTAAACCTCAGCGAGAGAGGGAAACAAGTGCGCGCCCCCCCTCCAAGAACATCGGTTCATCACACAAGTTTTCACCCAACAAGAGTTGCTGTTGCAATATATTTTGTGATTCCCCTTTCTATTTATCATTGAACGCTTGAATTGTGAACGAAAAATACATTTTTGCCGTATACTCCGGATACCACTTGATTTTCGGAGCGTGAATTTGCATTTTGGTGGGCGCCCGCCAGATGCAATTTCGGCGCTGTCAGCGTGATTTTTTTGCGTGCTCGCTGGCTGTCAAAACACGGTGCTTGTGGTGGGCGAAAGAAGTCTTTTCGGACGTGGAATTAAGACACAAATTCACCTAGTTCAATCCCCTGTAATCGCTCAAAATGCTCTCCATTCCCCAAAGTGAAGGAAAGGTAAGCAGTTTCCGGTGGATCACACCTACTACGGTTTGCACGAGAAGCCGGAATTTGGTTTCTTTTTTGCCCTTTTGCACGCCCAAATCTCCTGACCTTCACCCGACCTTGCGCCGCAACATCCAACGAATCTCTCAAAGCATCCAAACAATCCCAAGCATAATTTTGAATCTATGATAGCTCACACAAATACGCTCGGTAAATGGTTTATTTGGCAAATAGAAAAAGTGCAGATGCTCTCCAGAGTTTTTCACCTTTTGCCACGAATATGTTTTTATATTTCTCATTCATTGCCGAGTTATTTGCGTGAATATCTAAATGAGTAGTAAATTTATAAGCAAATTTATCATTGTGTAGTGTGGAGTGAATCGAAAACAAACAATTGGACAATTATAATTAGCTTCAGGGCTGATGATTACGTATGCTGTCGTACTTAATAAAGTTGTGTACAATTTTGTTGTAAATGAATCTGTGAATATCTTTCTGATCGTCGTATTCTTAAGTTTATTGGCCTCCAAAACAGCCGGAACAGATCATAAACGGTGTAATCACTTTCAGACGTGACAGGTGAATCACACCCCTTCTTGATGGTCTAATAAAGTGCGGAGTTATTAAAACTTAACACATACACAGAGTTGAGACAGCAAGAATTTTGCAAAAGTGTAAAAATGCATGACATGCGATAATGATTGCGTATCTGTGAGACACAGGCTTGTAAAATATTTATTTTAATTCCTAGCCAGTGTGTGATAAGTGTAATCGACAGCTGATAAGTCTCATTTCTCCATTCACCAAATATAGTTCCACAGAGAGCGACTCTCGCAGTTGGCGCTTGTATTGGGGGGGAAAAAGATGATCACACAGTCAAATTTCCACTTTGCCACCAGTAAACCGTTTTTTCAGATAAATGAACAATTCCTCCAACATTTTCCAGTCAGTTTATTTCAAAACGTTGCCCAGCTGTGGCGGCTTCCATAAGTGCCCTCCGCACAACGCGCGCGCCTGTGTATTTTTTGTCTGTGGCTCGTGTCGTGGCCAAAATTAATAATATTAATTGAGGAGTCTCTGAAGAGACACATTCAAATTCGCCTTCAGTGCTCTGGCACAACGATAAGGAAGTGGCTTGTATTCTCTCCTCCAATTTGGACGCACTTGGAGAGACTTTCCGTTGCAAAAACCGTGATCGGACAGACACAAAAAAGGCAGTCGCTAATCTGAGAGAGAAGAGAGAGAGACTGCAAATTTGTGTGGTATTGAGCAATATTTGATATAACAATATAATAATGGGTGAACTGTCCAATCCGATAGATATTCTCTTGAATCGTGTAAGTACCAGATCAGGCAGTAGGCCTACACTCGCGATCACAAGTTTCAGATCATTTTCTCGCCTCTTATCGAGCATTTCCTCAGCACCTAATCAGTCTGCTCGATTTATCTCATTCCTCCAAATTCACATATATTTCTCACATAACTGTGACTGTGCTCTTTTTTTCTGTGTCTCTGGAGAGGGCCCGGGAAAAAAGCACACAGTCACCTCAACACAGCGCCATTCTGTTGGGCGATTTATTATTGCTAAGAGTGTCGATATTGTGAACCTTGAAGAGTGCAAAAAATGATGAAATTGTGAGAAATAAATGCAATAGTGAGGCGTAATTTAGAAACTCCCTCATCGTCAAGTAGTTACAAAGTTCTTCTGCTTAGAAGTGACCTTCGTCAAATCAATTTTCCAGACGAGAGAATATTCATTCATTCTCTTCATCTTGTGCAAGAAACAACAGATTGAACCTGACCCAGAACGCGCCGTAGAACTGCGGCCGCACTTTGGGCTCTCGTGGAAGATTTTGCATTGTGGAAAATTTTCACTATCTCGCCAAAATAATTATAGTGAATGCTTGAAAATATTGTCAAGTGAATTGGGTAAACAGAGAGTGTTGGCTAGAGTAAACAGTATAATCAGCTGAACTTATAGCGTAGTACACTGATGAGTTAGATAGATGCTCTCTGAGATACGCGCGCGCTAATCTAGCTAGGAACATAGACTTCCCATATTAATCTCTGAAGCGCAATGCAAATAGTGGCGCAACGTGACTTCCTCTTCTTCCATCCCTTTTTACAGTGACTCTCAGTTGAAGTAGGTCGCTTTATTTGATCACTTAAGCACTGAAATTTAATTAAATTCCTTAGAATTAGCATAACATCAACAACATCAATCAAATCTATTGAACTTTAAGACCGCCATTGATCTATTTTCATGCTAATTATCGATTTCCCATCTTAATTGTCCCACTTATGCAATTGCATTGACTTGCAATTCGCACTTGTTTTCCATCCCTCTCTATTTTTTTCGACAAGGCGTGAATTTTTTGGCATGGAGTGTATATTTCGAGCGCGCAATATTGAGAGAGAGTGACTCGCTCTATTAGTGAAACAATTGCTTATCAAGAATGTCTTCACAGTTCAAGCAAATATTAAACTTACAGAGACTTGATGCTCAAGTGATTTTCAATCTTTGATGAGTGTGTTTTTTGCCTCTCTCTCTCCCTCTCTGTAGGTCCGAGGTCATCAGCGGGCTCCGTCTGACTCGAAAGAGTTCCACGAGGTGACGAAACGCGATGCCCAGCGCGTGCTGGAGGATGATATTGAGAAGCTCCTGGAGACGTGCGATGAGGCGCAGAAGGCGCCGCTGCGGAGTGAAATGATGCGCTTCAGCAATCTCTTCGGGCGCTTCCTGGCCGAGGATGGGCCGTCGGTGGACTGGAATCGCATCGAGAAGCTGCCGGAGGACGCTGTGCAGGATTACAGCAGTCTTCAGGCGCCAGACGACAATCACATCCGCGATGAGCTGAACAAGCTGGTGGTGATCAAGCTGAATGGTGGCCTGGGCACGTCGATGGGCTGCCATGGGCCGAAGAGTGTGATTCCGGTGCGAAGCGACTTGACCTTCCTGGATTTGACGGTGCAGCAGATTGAGCATCTCAACAGGGTGTACAACTGCAGTGTGCCGCTGGTGCTAATGAACTCCTTCAACACGGACGAGGACACGGAGAAGGTGATTCGCAAGTACAAAGGATTCCAAGTGAAGATCTACACATTCAACCAGAGCTGCTTTCCGCGTGTCAGCCGTGAATCCCTGCTGCCCGTGGCGAAGAACTTCAACGTGAAGGACGACATGGAGGCATGGTATCCGCCCGGGCACGGTGACTTCTACGAGTCGTTCGCCAATTCGGGCCTCTTGAGGAAGTTCATCGACGAAGGTCGGGTGTATTGTTTCTTGTCCAATATTGACAATCTCGGCGCCACGGTGGATCTCAACATTCTCAATCGCCTCATCGGCGGCGGTGGCGAGAAGCCCATTGAGTTCGTGATGGAGGTGACAGACAAGACGAGGGCGGACGTGAAAGGTGGCACACTCATTCAGTACGAGAACAAACTCAGACTCCTGGAGATTGCGCAGGTGCCCAAGGAGCATGTCGATGACTTCAAATCCGTGAAGACGTTCAAGTTCTTCAACACCAACAACATCTGGGCCAAACTCGATGGTAAGCAATGATTCAGGGGTATAATATTTCACTGGCTTTGTGCGCTCCGCACTTGAGATAGCGAATTTACAGATATAATTTCCGTGTAATGCCAATACGTAAGATATCGCACCATAAATAGATTATTCGTGCTATTCGTGTGACATTAAATATAAATGGAAGACGGCTGATACGTAATATTGTGATAATTATTGGCCCCTTTTTGAGTTGCGAATATATTTATTAATACTCCCGCGACATGCTTCCCGTTTAGCATAAAATTTCCATTTGCTAATCTCCAGAAGATTTATTCATTGATAAAATGTCTTCAGCCGTCAATCAAATTTTCACTTATCTCAATTGGTGCACTGATTAATCGTGAAATTCCCCGAAAGAGTGATGAGAGAAAGGATTGATTGGTTTATTTTCCGCAGCAATCGAGCGAGTTCTGAAGGAGAACACCCTCAACATGGAGATAATCGTGAACAACAAGACACTGGACAACGGACTGCGAGTGATTCAGCTGGAGACTGCCGTTGGCGCTGCCATGAAGTGCTTCGAGGGAATTGGCATCAATGTGCCGCGATCGCGCTTCCTGCCTGTGAAGAAGACATCGGATCTGATGCTGGTCATGTCCAATCTCTACAGTTTGCGGCACGGTTCGCTGGTCATGTCGCCGCAGCGCATGTTCCCCACGACGCCACTTGTGAAACTGGGCGAAAACCACTTTGCGAAAGTGAAGGAGTTCCTCGGCAGATTCGCCAATATTCCCGATATCATCGAGCTGGATCATCTGACTGTGTCGGGCGATGTGACATTTGGCCGGGGCGTCTCACTCCGCGGCACAGTGATAATAATAGCCAATCATGGGGACCGAATTGATATTCCCGCTGGCGCCATCCTCGAGAACAAGATCGTGTCCGGCAATATGCGCATCCTGGATCACTAGGGGCGCTATCGTGGGTCACACGTGCAATGTAGTCGCCTTTTACCATACGTTTTATCTACTTTTATCTCCTCTCTACATGGTCAATCACTAGGGTGCAATGTTTTATAGGCGCGTTTTTGCAAGTACAAAATTTTATAATGACTCAATTGCTCCTAAGTAGAATATACGATTGTCATCGAATCTTTATCTGTGTTTTATCTCAATTTTCCATCGATTTTCCGCTGAACTTTCATCATCACATGTGTTCGTTGCATTTCAAAAATGGGCCCCACAAAGAGCGCCTAAAAGTAGGCAAAAGTGTTCGCATGCGGGATTTTCTGCGATGCGGTCAGCTGACATCTGTCAATCCATCAGCCGAGGAAAAAACTTTGAACTGCCCAAACATGTGTTTATTTGTGGTGAAGTACACCCGCACTAATTGCTAAATTGCCACCAATTGGCAATAAATGTCGTGCAGTTGCATTGTATGTTCAAATTGAGTGTTCTCCGTGTCCAAGAAAAGGTGAAAACGTGTCCATAAATCTAGTGAGTGTGCGTCTGGCTAACATGATTTCGGAAAATTCCTCTGGTGATTGCAGCAAAAAGCAAAAAACGGTAAGGAAATCCCATTTCTATTAGCATTCCACACTCTCTCGTAACACACTGGATAGCGTGAGGAGCAAGAGCCATTCGCAGGGAGATAAGTGATTTTACGTGCTCCCCAGAATCATTGAACTGCTCAATGTTTACCTAGAATTTTTCCATTCAACCATATGCTCTCAAGGTGATAATTGAGAACATGTTCTGATCTTTATCGCTCTTCGCACTGCTCGCCTTCCGATAAGGTCTCCTGAACGAGATGATATCCAATCTGAAAGTCTCTATGGCAAATTTTAGGACATTTTTCGCACAGAAACAGCAGAAAATAACATGTCCATATTGCAGAAGCTTAAGCTCGACAGGCAGACAGATCCCCAAATCTCAATTATGATAAGACATAGGCCTACTATCTAAGGCAAACAAGTGAAAATGGGCATTGCATAACACTCCAAAGTCTCCCCAAATGTTATCAATAGCGAATAGTAGCGAGAGATGGAAAATATTTAGCTATGCAAGTGTCAGAGAAATCATTGGTGGGAAATGAGGTCAACCGCATTATTTTGCCACTTGAAAATTGCTATCAGAAAATTGCTCTATTATCTGCTTTTCTGATTTTTATTCCCATTTTCCTTATCACTTCTCAAAACGCACATCATCTGTATGCGTAAGAAGTGGACAATTACAATTCACAGGGTGATTTAATCACAATCATTAACACTATTTCTCCTATAAATCTTGTATGAATTTGCCAGATTGGCCAGTTTGATGGAATAGAATTCAGGCCCAACGCTTTCTGGTTGTGAAAACCACTAAATTAATTGTTTATTTGTACAGAAACTGACTTGGTGCTCCGACAAATCAAATAACTAAATGTATTCTTGGAAATATAATGTGGAAATCATATTCACTTGAGGCCAGTCTAGATGCAGAATCACCCTGTGTGCCTTTCCATCTACGTCTTGCATGAGAACAGAAAGTTCTCTTAGAGATAGTACAAAGTCACGACAAAATTGATAAGATTGGCGATTGTGTGAACCTCACGGAATTCATGACATCTTCGCCAATTACCGGTTGAGTGTCGAAATGAATCTCGCCGATTGTGGGTGGGGGGAGGGAGTCTTCTACAGCCGCGGGAGGGAGGGGAGAGATGGCACTTTCGGATCTCTCGCAGAGCCACAGCGGCGGATGGGAAGCGGATGAGGAAGAGCAAATAAGATTGTGGGAAGTATGGGTGAGAGAAAGAGAAGAACTGGAGGGAAAATGAACATCTTGGAGAGGTTGACGTTCTCTGTGTGCGTGGCTGTGCTGCTGAAAGCGCGTCTCTGGCAGCACAAAACTCCACAATTCACATTTTCGGTTTTTAGTACGATTTCGTGGAGCCACGGGAATCGGCTTGATTACTGACGCGCGCGCGGCTTCTTGGGAGTTCAATTGTGCTCTGTTGCCCAAAGACACCCGCATTGCAACTGCGAAGGGCAGCGAAAAACATTCACTTTAAGTTAATATCAGTTAATTTGGCTAGTGTGTTCTCGTGCTATTTTACTCGTGTGCACTTTTTGCCCGCACTTTCTGGCCAGTGATAAAAACCTATTCAGCACTACGTGTAGTAACGATAAAAAAGGCATTTTGTTGTTGTGCCCGGGCTGTTTTTACTTGATATCGCAGCAGAAGATATAGAGGACAATATGATGAATAAGCGTCGACGAAATGTGAATTACAACAACAATGATTTGCTGTCAAACAACAATTACACCATTCAGAAATTCTGTCTGCAGCACAAAAATTGCTCGGGAACGTCAGAGGAGGTAATTAGATAGGAAGTGAATCATTGAGAAAATCAAGAGTGATAAAATTATGCAAATTATTCGATGCACTCGCGAGATCAATCATCCACTCTTGGCTCTGGGTTGTGTGTTACTTTCCCTCACTGGCGGCGCAGCATTTCAGTTTCTTTTAGATCTGTGCCCAGGAAGATGTTTCTGCGATGCGGAATCGGAGAAAAATGAAAGAAATTGCCCCGCAAACTGGTTGTTTACTCAATTTATGCTCTCAGCCATTGGAATCTATACTTGAGAAGAAGATTATGACGGAGTGGTTGAAGAGAAAGCTACAGTACTTGATGTGTTTTTCCTCTCTTTCACTTCTCTTCTCTCCTCTTTTCAGCGCCAATATCTTTTCCCCATAGCAAATCGCATATTATTTGTACTTTTTAACTTGATTGATTTCTTCAGTGAAACCACACTGCAAATATATACTATCTTTTTTGAATGTCACGTAAATACACACAGCGGTCCATTCTAGGTGTTTCTCTGCACTAAATCAACTCGCGTGTGTAAATGCTTTCAGATTTTGTACTGTTGATTTTATTACTCAACTTGTGGTGATGTTTTCGATAGTTTTTTTTCTTCCACCTTCTCTCGGCGAAGATGCGGATTTGCAAGAAGTTGAGACACACTTTTCCACAAAAAGTCTATTTGTAAACAAATGGAGAATCTACAAACTGATCAAATACAAACTAACAATTATTCCCACAGCTGCTGTCAATCGTCACGGAATAGTAATAATACGTTGAGATATTACACGCCGTGTGACTTGCGCCAAACACGACAACACATTGTGATTAATCCAGAGCGAAGGAGTGATAAGAGATCACTTCGATAGGTGGTCGCTGGAGGTAAAGAAGTGGTGCAAAAAGCACAGTGACTCGACACAAAGATAAGAGACATTTTTCTTGCAACACGATCGCAATCTAATCACCAACTCTCCTTCGGGCATTTGTCCTCTAAAACTCGAGTGCGGCGACCACAAGTGTGAAAATATCATCCACAATTCTCCAATGGGGGAGTGTGTGAGGAGATTGGGTGGGTGGGAAAAAAAAAAACTGGAGCAAATCTGATATAATTGAGACATTTGAAAAGCAACTCCATTCATAGAAAATAACATGATGGAGAAGTGTGGAGCCGAGCGAGACAGCGAGAGAGACGGAGAAGGAAAAGAGTGTGATATTGTGGTGAGGCTCTGTGGTGTGCTTTTCACCCGTCAGTACCTTCCGGATCACCTGCTCAAGTGGTCACACGATATTCAAGCGAAAACGCGGCGTCGAGTGTGGAAAATTTATCTGCTCGTGAGCGATTTCTGTCTACGTTCTCATTTGCCAAAGTGATAAAAGGCACATTCTATAGGGTTTGAAAATGTTCACAAATAGTGAATTAGTGAATGGTTCTCAGGTGAATTAATATTAATCTTTCATCTCACTCGCTCTCTCTCTCATCTCGTGACTCTTTCTCTGCTCCCGCGCGCGATCGCTCTTCATATGTTAAATCTTCAAACATTCCACAGAAAGTTCTTCAAACTCCATCTGAAACGTGATGAAGCTCTTCGGTGTGTCGATGTTCTTTCGTTGATTCAATTCTTTCAAGTATAAAGCGTGGTAAATTTCTCGCTATGCCAAAACTTCTCTCATTCTATCAATTTCCATTTTACTGCACGTCTTGATTGGCGTTAATCTCCAGTGCGGCGTCTGAAAATTCCTTCCAACTGTTGTACAATTCTTTGATAACCTAATGTCCTATGACTTCAGCATTTTTACTGGTGTATTTTTACATAAGAAAAAATTATGTATAACTTAATTTTCATGTGTATTCACAGTTCCAAGAAGTGTACTTTTCGCTGCGCATTACGTAAAATAAACTGCAAAAGAGTTTTCTTTGGCATTATCTTGTGGTTTCCATTTCACTATTATTATTTTCCTCAATTCAAGCTAATTATATTCTTTAATCGTCCAAGTTTCATATAAGAACTATAATAGCGTTTCAAAATTGTCAAGAATCACTGTGAAATTCTAAAACTATCATGTTTTGCTGCACTGACAACAAAAAGGCCAAGCCTTGCCTGGCAATTACTCCAAGTTTACTGTTAAAATATCTAGCGTGTTTACATAAAAAACATAAATTTTCCCCCCTCAAGTCGTTCAATGTCTCTCATTGAGATAATTGAGAGAGCAGAAAAAAGGAGGCACAAGATGTACAAACGCTAATTTCAACATTGATTCGGTTCACTTAATCTCAGTCCAGTGAATGATGACTTTTACTTTCATCACAAGTGTACAATATCGCGTCTTTTTTTCTCCTTTCTCATCCATATCTTGCTGAATATTCAGCAAGATGACACTGACAATGGGTGCCACGCATCTAATGGCCAGAGATCGTGAGCGAAAACTGTGAATAAAATTTACTGCGCGCGAATTTAAGTGACTTGCACACGGTGTTTCTTGGGGCAATTGAAGTGCCAATCATGGGATTATTTGGAGATTCGACCAATGGAGAGAATATTAAATTTATGAGGCTCTTCCTCTTCCCTTGGCACAGCGCAATCATGCCATACTCTTATCACAATGCCACAATCCACCACTCCCGCGCGAATAATGTGTCAGTCATCCTCTAAAGAGCTGAAACCCAATGATTTACTATAGTGCGCACCACTCACTCACTCACTCTCTCTCTGCAGTGCCTTCAGGTCGCGACGAATGTTACGGAGCAGAAGCACCATGTGACGCGGGAGATTCGAGGTCAGAATCTGGGCATTTGTAGGGGTTTCCGCGGATGCACTCTGTGGCTGACGGGACTGTCGGGCGCCGGCAAGACGTCCATTGCCTTCGAGTTGGAGGCCTATCTCGTGTCACGCGGCATTCCCTCCTACGGTCTCGATGGTGACAATGTGCGAACGGGACTGAACAAAGATCTGGGATTCTCACAGGCTGACCGCGAGGAGAACATTCGTCGTGTGGCTGAAGTGGCGAAGCTCTTCGCGGACAGCGGTGTTGTGGCAATCTGCAGCTTTGTGTCGCCGTTCGCCGATGACCGAGACATGGCTCGGAAGATCCACAAAGATTCAGATCTAAAGTAAATATATTTATATGTGAAATTTCTGCTTTCACAGCTACTACAGTTTGCCTCTCTTCTTCCCAGATTCTTCGAAGTGTTCATCGACACGCCGCTGGCAGTGTGTGAGTCGCGCGATGTGAAGGGACTGTACAAGAAGGCGCGCGAAGGTGCAATTCAGGGCTTCACGGGAGTGACTCAGGCCTACGAGCCGCCCGAGACGCCAGATCTGGTGGTGAAGACTGAAGGTCTCAGTATTAGACAATCCACGCAGCGGGTGATTGAGTTGCTGGAGCGTGAGCACGTGATTCCGCGCACACTGCGCGACAGCGAGCGCGTGCCGGAGTTGTTTCCGGTGGGCGCGAAGAAGGCAGCTTCGTGGGCGGAGGCGAACAATCTGCCCGCACTGGCGATCACCACAGTGGAGCTCCAGTGGCTGCAGATCCTCTCTGAAGGCTGGGCCAGTCCGCTCAAGGGATTCATGCGCGAGAAGGAGTACCTGCAGACGCTCCACTTCAACTGTGTCCTGAACAATGGCGAGACGGCGCGCAGCAATCAGTCGGTGCCCATTGTGCTGTCCATGAATGACTTGGACAGGGAGCGCCTAGATGGAGTGAGTGCTATCACGCTGTGCTATGACAGCAAACCCGTGGCCATTCTGCGATGTCCGGAGTTCTACTACCAAAGAAAGGAGGAGCGGTGTAGTCGTCAATTCGGCACAAACAACCCCAATCATCCCTACATTAGGATCATCCAAGAGTCTGGGCCGCACCTCGTGGGCGGCGAGGTGGAGGTGCTGGAGAGAATCCGCTGGAATGACGGACTGGACCAGTATCGCCTGACGCCCAATGAGCTGCGACAGAAGTTCAGCGAGATGAAGGCGGACGCTGTGTTTGCCTTCCAGCTGCGCAATCCCATTCACAATGGACACGCGCTGCTCATGCAGGACTGCCGGCGTCAGTTGCTGGAACGCGGCTTCAAGAATCCCGTGCTGCTGCTCCATCCGCTAGGCGGCTGGACTAAGGACGACGATGTGCCGCTGCCCGTGCGAATGGCACAACACCAGGCGGTGCTGGACGCCGGCGTGCTGTCCAGGGAGCACACGGTGCTGGCCATCTTCCCCTCGCCAATGATGTACGCCGGACCGACGGAGGTGCAGTGGCACGCGAAGGCGCGCATGAATGCCGGCGCCACGTTCTACATCGTGGGCCGAGATCCCGCGGGAATGCCCCATCCCGACGCCGACATGTATCCAGACAAGAACCTGTACGACGGCACACACGGAGCGCGCGTGCTGAAGATGGCACCGGGTCTCAATCAGATCGAGATTCTGCCCTTCAAGGTGGCGGCGTACGATAAAGTGGCACAAAAGATGGCCTTCTTCGATCCATCGCGCAAGGAGGACTTTCTCTTCATATCCGGCACAATGATGAGAGGTAAATTATGTTCAATAAATACAGTGATTCACGTTGATATCTGATGTACAAATGCGTGCTTTTCAGGATTCGCGAGGAACAACGAACTTCCGCCAACGGGCTTCATGGAGCCGAACGCATGGAGAATCCTAGCACAATACTACCAATCACTCCAGAAGAAATGAACTTGGACATTCTTGTAGGGTGATAGATGGTTAACCGTTGTATCTTCATCAATGTTTCGTATACTATTATACATATTTTTATTATTTTATGACCGCTAAATACATTGTTTTTCAATGGGGACACGAGACTTTGGCTTTTGCGGCAATCAGAAAAAGACACTCCACTCCATTGCCATCGTGACTTGAAGGACGAGATAGCGTCAGTCAAGCAACTTTAATTATCTTGTATAACCAGATTATTTAAGCGGATTGCCTGGTGACGAGTTAATCTTTGACGATAACAATCAGTTTACCTTAGAGACTAATAGTCCACGGACTTTATCAAACAATGAAAATTTTCCCAAATCAACCAGGACAAAAATCATCTCACTTTCGGAATTCAAATAAGATAGCGGAAAAGTCTCTTTAAACAGTTGTCAAAGCTGATGGTAAATAAAAAGTAAAATTATGAGTCATTCTGTCATGCGTGATCACAATTTTATTTCTCAAATTGTGCGATCAAAACATCACTTGGCTCGGCGGCCGTGTTTTCCCCCCATTAAGCTCTGCAAGAACGGCGACTTGGCGAGCCTCATCTTTGTCGCCGGATCGAGTGGAAAGACGGTGAGCGTGAAGGGCGTAATTGTTGATCCTGCGAAAAGCACACACTTCTCAATCACCTTTGCTGCAGCTCAACAATTGATTGCTGTCACCTGAGCCAAACAGTAAGCAAAAGAGCACCAACATCGCGAGATACCGCATGACCATCGCACGTCCAATCCACTCACTTGCACTCGAAGAACTGCATCTACTTCCAGTGTCTCTTCCCTTTTATATCGCAGAGAAGTCAGTGAAAATTCACTGTCTTTAATGGTCATTGAAGAAAGTGCTTCGTTTGCAAATGAGCAATTATAGTGATGCAACAGTTTTAAAGAGCAATGAAAATTAATCAAATTAAATTTTACTAATGCCGCAAGTTGATGTGTGAATTAGCAATACATTCAATTCTTTACGCGCACAGTAAATTTTTTACGCGCTAGACTTAAATTACATTGATACATCAGAATTGTATGAAACTCACGAAAGTTTGCTTGTTCTGAAGAAGTGATTGTATTGTATCACGATTTTCCTATTTAATTAGGAGGCCATAAATCAACGATGTTTTGTATTTTATTGAGCAAATTCAGTAACGTTTGAGATTGCAGAAATGAAAGTTCTTCTCTTCACACTTTTCTTGTACTGCTTCGTGTTCAGTAAGTATTTTATGAATTCACACACTTTATAAATTAATAGAACTAAATCATTTTCTATTCAATTAATCAGGGATGCCGTATAAGAATTTATTCTCGGCATTCGGCGCTCAATCAGATGTAGACAACAAGCAAAAGCAAACGCAAGAAGTTCAGGGAAATGTGAATGGACACGCAAAGATTACTCAGACACAAAATCAAATTCAACTTGCTGCAGTGTGAAAAAGTTACAAATGCATTTGAATAAAAAATATAAGTCTTCGAAAACTTAACAGTATGCAAAATTTTAAGAAATTTGAAAAGGAATTCAATTATTCCTTATTGTTGTATAGAATTTTGTATTTACATATTTAAATTGAAATTAACTTGCTAATGAAATTTCGAACCACATAAAAGACTTTCTGAGTTCTACAATGTGTTCAAAGTTATTTTGTTCTAAAGTTACTGCATTGAACTCTGAGAAAATGAAGACTCTTTTCGCAGTAATATTTGCTGTCCTGGATTTGTTCCTTCTAGGAGGTAACATGATGTTCACAATAATATTTATTTGTGCTAAAAATAATCCTTTGTAGCTGCAGTTGCTCAATCAGACGGATGGCGTGTTGGTGAGACACAACATTAAGTTTATCACATTAAATAATTTTTAAATGCTGTTATGGTGAGCAGACGAGTAAATTTTATGCATATTTTATTATTATAGAGAGTCGAGCACAAGCAAGTACATATCCTATGCATCATCCGGCATTTGATTTTCCACCCTGTTCACCGCAATAAACCTGCGCTAAACCAAGAGGCATCTTTTTTGCGAAAATACATTAAAAGGTTTTTAAAAACTTGCAATTCTTTATTTAATTGATCTCGCGGTTCTTTGCAAATGTCTTTTGGAAAACCTTCAGAGAGAAATGTTTGTCTAATAAGAAGTGAACTTGCGACGTTGGAAAGACATATTATAAAGAAATATAGTTTCAAAAGGTAAACCAATTATTTGCTTGAGTAAGTTAAATACCTTTTTTAATAGTCTATTAGAATTGAAAATTGAGTGAAAAAAAGCAATAATGCCAATGGCTGATATAAAAGCAGCAATATTTTCAGCAATTCACAAGTGAATTTTTCTCTACGTGGAAAGTTAAAAGGAGCTGAATTTTCAGAAAAATGAACTTAGTTTTCGCATCGTCGTTTGTCCTGTTGGCTTTGCTATTCTTTGGAGGTAACAAAATTTCTAATTTTTATTAATACACCAAAATTTTTTATAATTATTTCCATTACTTTTTTTTGTGTTTTTCAGTTGATTCATCGGAAAGTTTGACTAATTTCCGCGGTAAGACATAATATTAAATTCATTATTCTCTCACTTTGCTTTTAGCATTTCAAAAAATTTTTTCATAAATTATCTTTTGCAGAGAGACGCCAAAATCGCCAAGATCCTCCTCCATTTTATATACCTGATGGAAATTAAGGGAATAAATGTTAATTAGAAAGGCATACAAAAACTGTCAATTTTAGGGACGAATTGTAAAAAAAGAGACAATTTCTCAATGAATTAATTTTTCTTCTTTATTTAGAATATTTGCTGTCAATTTATTGCCCCACATCACGACTTAAAAGACGTAAAGTAGCAAATTTTAATGTTGTCTAAGTTCTATTTATGTTCAACAATTACATGTAAATGTAATTTGTAAATTATAAGGTCTTGTCACTGGACATTTCCCTGCATGTTAATTAAATCAATCATAAGTTATCACCTCTCGAGGATGAAACATATTGTGGAAATAATGAGGATGTCATAAGAAATAAAAAATGCTATGAGGATTTCCTTAAAAATTCCTAAAAATCCCTTGTAATTCCAGGGAATTCATATAAATTCCATGCATTCCTATAAATTCTTCAATACGTATCCGATTTCCGTTTTGGTTATGAACTGAAGCGAACATTAATCACATAAAAAATCGTAAGCTGACGAATAAATTTCAGCACAGCAAGTACATATCCTGTACAACATCAGACATTGGATTTTCCACCTTGTTTTTAAAAATATATTAAAAGGATTCAAAGCAAAAGCTTGAAAATTACTATATGACTCAATAGTGAAGTATTTATTTGTATTTTTTCGTGTGTAAAATGTAATTAAAAAAAAGATTTAAAGGCAAATCAATTATTTGCTTGAATAATTTAAATGTGTTTTTTTATAAGTCTATTAGAATAAAATATTGATTGTAAAAAGCAATAATGCCAACGGCTGATATAAAAGCAGCAATATTTTCAGCAACTCACAAGTGAATTTTTCTATACGTGGAAAGTTAAAAGGAACAGAATTTTCAGGAAAATGAAGTTACTTTTCGCAACATCGTTGGCCCTTTTGGCTTTGCTACTCTTCGGAGGTATAATAATAATAATACTCTAATATAATATTCTGAAATTTTCTTTTAATTACTCTTTTATTATGTTCTTCAGTTGCTCCATCGGACGCTTCAAATAGTGGTCGCGGTAAGACACATCAACAAATGAATCATCATTTCACTTTGCTTTCAGAATTTCAAAAAAATATACTCATTTTTAAATGTTTTTTTCCCCAGTGAAACGCGAAGAGCAAGAAACGACTGTATTTCGTCCTACACCACCAGCTTGGGTGCCGAACGAATAAAATTAAATTTTAAAAGCATCCAAAAAGTGTGTAAATTTGAATAAAATAGTGACATTCAATGAATTAAAATTTTTTCGCTATAGAGAGTTCAATACTCTCTTTCGCCTTTCGTTATCACTTAGTGAATGCACGCAGTCTTTTCCTTTTTGTTATGAATGCTATCTAATTTGCGAAACGTTTGCTCGCTGAATTGCGGGAAAATGTGCACAAATATACAAATGTGTGTATAAATGAATTCGCTTGGCGAATGACACAAAATGTGATAAAAGCACTTTAGGTCAATTGGAAACTTGATCAATTTCGCCACAAATAGAGTGGATTATCTGGAGGCACAAAGCAGTTTACGAAATGCGCAAAAATCCATCTCCGGCAGTTTGAACTGGATCGCCGAGAGGTTTGATGATGTCTCAGAAAACACATAGCGATTAGGGGCTGTTTTTGCTTGGCAAAATGCGAAACGTGCTGTTCGAGAATCACTTTAAGAGCGCACGCAAAAAATGCTGAGGCTATTTTGACGATACCAGAATTTGCGTTCATGCCAATATAAGAGAGCCCTTATCAGGCGCGCTATGGGATGTGCCCCCAACGAACTGGGATGCTTATTCGTCAGCCTGTTCTTGTGCATTGCTCACAAGCGTTACTGACTCAGGCGGAATATTGGCACGAGAAGCCGCGCGAGCACAATCAGTCCTTTTTTTAGGGAAGGTTATCACACAATTCAGGTCGAGTTCATCAGTATGGGAAATGATCGTGGCACCAGCGCCCCGTGTTACCCCACATCACCACACAGCCTACATGTATGTAGGTCTTGCGGATTGTAAAAGCATCAGGCACTCTTGCGATAGCTTCAGTAGGAGAATCATCGAAAAAGTGTAAAGTTGCTTCATCACTTCCTCGCGATTCTGCTAGTGGAAAATATATCAATAGAGAGTTTACAGTTGTTGGGTCAAATATGATCCGTTTCAGAGGATATTCCTTGGCAAAGAAGTTCTCCTTGAGTGCCGTGTCGCAGAGATTCTCCTCCACCAGCACCTCGTACGAGAGGAAGAATCACATCCTTCCGTACAGTGCAGATGTTGTTATAATCGGTAAATCCTTCATCGTGAACGAATCTCCCTTTTTCTGCTCACTGACACACTTGTGCATTATTAATCCTCTTCGAAAGGTGGAGGATCGGCGGGATGTCACGCCCTGTATCACCTCACTAAGCGCGGCATTAAGGCTGTCCTGGTGGAAAGGAGCAAAATAACGTCCGGCACAACATGGCACACGGCTGGACTTGTGTGGCGCCTGAGGCCGAACGACGTGGAGATTCAGTTGCTGGCCAGCTCGAGAAATCTGCTCTTGAGTCTCGAATCAGAGTCCGGACTTGATCCAGGGTTCATAATGAATGGTGGCATTTTCATAGCGCACAGCGATGTCCGAATGGATGAATATCGACGCTTGGCAACAATCGGCAAGTGTTTCGATGTTGAAAGTCACATTCTGGATCCGCATGAGACAAAGAAACTTTTCCCTCTGCTCGACGAGAAGGCCTTCACGGGCGCCCTGTATTCGCCCGGAGACGGTGTTGTTGATCCCGCCATGCTCTGCACGGCGCTCACGCGGCAGGCCGTTAAGAATGGCGGGCAAGTGTTTGAGGAGTGTCCAGTGCTGGATCTGGAGGTCGGCCAGGGATTTCTCGGGCCGCAGGACATCCGTGGAGTCGTCACGCCTTACGGCACCATCAAGACGAACACCGTGATTAATGCCACGGGCGTCTGGGGCAGAGATGTGATTGAGAAATACGGCGTGAATCTGCCTTTGGTGCCAATGCGTCACGCTTACATCGTGAGTGAGCCAATGGATGGAGTCAAGGGCCGTCCCAACATCCGCGATCATGACTTCTCAGTGTACTTTCGCATTCAAGGCGAATCAATCTGTCTCGGAGGCTACGAAAACTGTCCCATTCTCCTGGACAAAGTGCCCGCGGACTTCCAATTCGGCCTCTATGATCTCGACTGGACAGTGTTCGAGTCAAACTACCAGGGCGCCGCCCTGCTGTGTCCACCCTTTGAATCCGCCGGCGTCAAGAGCACCATCTGCGGCCCAGAATCCTTTACACCCGACCACAAGCCGCTGATGGGCTGGGATCCGAGACTCGACGGTCTCTTCCACACGTGTGGCTACAATTCGGCGGGAATGATGCTGGGCGGCGGCTGTGGAGAACAGGTGGCGGAGTGGATTATCAATGGCAGTCCCAGTCTTCACATGTTCCCCTACAGCATCACGCGCTTCCTGCCCAAGCAGACGCGCGATCACAACTGGGCCAGAGAGAGGAGTCACGAGAGCTACGCGAAGAACTACTCCATCGTCTTTCCCTACGATCAGCCCATGGCAGGCAGGAACTTCCTCCAGGACCCCTTCCACCGCCAAATGATTCAGTATTTCGCGGTGATGGAGGAGAAGCAGGGATGGGAGCGACCAGGCTACTTTCTCACTGACTCCTCCGCCAAAGTTCCTCTCTACGATTGGTACGGCAACTACGGCCACTCCAAGGCGCTCGACTCGTCGTACGAGGAGCAGCTGAAGAAGGACTACCACTTTGGCTTCTCAGAGAACCACGATCTGGTAAATCATCCGCAAAATCGCACTCTTCTTGCCCCTGCTGACCACTTTTCTCCAATCACAGATAGAAGAGGAGGCGACAGCGTGCCGAAATAACGTTGTTGTCTTCAATCTCAGCTACTTCTGCAAAATCTACCTCACAGGACGTGACGCCGACAAGGCGGCCGAGTACCTCTTCACGGGAGACACAGCCAAGCCCATAAACAAGTTAGAGAGGCAAGTGTGTTGAAAAGTGCCCCAAATGAATCTCTTCCTCCTCATTTTAAAGAACCATCTACACGTGTGCCCTCAACGATCGCGGCGGCGTTGAGGCTGACGTCACGGTGAGCATAATTGATTCGGGCATCGGTGAGCCTCACGCGCCCATCCTTAAGCGTCCAGGATACTACATTGTGGCCGGAGGCGCGTCAGCCTATCACTCTGTGAGCCATTTGAAGATGGCCATCCTGGACAAGGCATTCCGCGCACAAATCACCGATGTGACGAGAGACTTGGGAGTCCTTTCGCTCCAAGGAAGAAACAGGTGAGAAACTGTTTTGCCCCAAGTGGATTTTCCTCTGTTTTTGTATTTATTAAAATTTGCTGATAAGTTTATGTTTACGCGATAAGAAAGCGTCTCCGCAGAATTCATAATTCTTGATAAAGACAAGCGATGAATAGGAAAGTGATGTGTGATTGAGATATTTGTTGTAATTACTCTGTCGTTATTTATGAGGATGTTTATTTGTAGTAATTTTTGATTATTTTGTTTGATGTTTTGCAAACAACTGAACCAGCATTTTCACACACGGACTTTGAAATGAAATCACTTTTGCACTCCATTTCTCTCTTCCACAGTCGCGACATACTGGAAAAGCTCACAGATTACGATCTGAGCAATGACAATCTGCCACCGAATAGCACAGCCATCGTGAAGCTAAAACTTCCTTCCGGAGCGCAAAACGTGCGCGTTGTGCGCGTGAGTTTCGTGGGTGAATTAGGCTACGAATTGCACATTCCACAAGCAATCTGTGAGCAAGTCTTCAATGCCGTGATGGACGCAGGAGCGCCTTTGGGACTGAGAAATGCCGGCTATCGATCTCTCTATTCGCTGAGCAGTGAGAAAGGATATCACTTGTGGGGATTCGATCTGCGATCCGACGATTCGCCAATTGAGGCCAACTTGGGATTCACGTGTAGAAAAACTGGCAATTATAAGGGCAAAGCCGCCATTGACAAGCAACGCGCCGAAGGAATTCAGAAGAAATTGGCTTTCTTCACCCTTGAGGAGAAGGTAAACTCTCTCGTCTGCACACTGTAGGCATTCTGGTATCCAAAACTAAACCATTATTTTCACCCTTGCAGATTCCCGTCTACGGACTCGAAGCAATCTACAGAGATGGCGAAGTTGTGGGTCACTTGCGACGCGGCGAGTACGGATATACGCTGGGAAAGCCAATCGGACAAGGATATGTTCGCAAGCCGAGCGGAGAAAAGATGGATGATGAGTTCCTCAAGACGGGAAATTATGAGATCGACATAATGGGCCGTCGACACAAAGCCACGTGCCACTTGAGGAGTCCGTTTGATAAGAAGAACGCCCGAATTCAGGGCATTTACAAGTAACATTCCGAATGAAAAGCCGCCGTATTAAACACAAAAAAAATAAGCGACGATTTAATCATTTTTCTCTCTCACAAATAAATGTGCAAAAAATAAACACTCACCACGTTCACATAAAATCTTTCTCCGTCCTGATGATTGGTGTCTTGTTAAAAATATCCTCCACAGTACGCTTAATTGCTGATTTATCTGAGGGGAAAAAAGGCAAATGAAAACATTCAAGCAATGCGATAAAGAGTGGAGAAGACAAAACAAGTCATTTACCTGCACGTGCTTCGTAGAATTTGTGTGAAAGGTGCTTCGCGAGCTTCTTAAACACATCCTTGGATTGAAAGCGCTTCTCTCTGTAGTATGGCATCAAGTAGCTGACCACGAGTTCAGCTAATTTGCTCTTCTGCGCCTTCACGTACTTCTCATCCCGCGAAACTTTCTCCTCCTTGGCAGTTGACGGCGTTTGCACCACTTTCTTCTCAATCTTCTCCACCTGATCCAGATACTCCTGCGTCTGAGGCGATATCTCAATCGGCAGATCATACTTGTGTCGCTTCTCAGGCTTCACATCGCCAGCATCGTCCTCAAGAGGCCTCTTTTGCTGCATCTCTGGTGTCATCTCTTCACCACCCTTCGGCAATGGCTTGCTGATCTTCTCGAGCAACTCAGTCAGCGAAGGCACAACAGGTTTCTCATCTGCTTCCTCCTCATCTTCCGACACAAGTTCCATCTTCACCTCCTGCAGATCGTCTTCTGGCTCCTCTTCTGCCTCCTTTTCTCCACTCTTCTGACTGCTTTCGAAGAAATTCATCAGCGAAGTCTGCTTCATATAGTCTCTCTTGAGGGACTTTCGAGGTTTTCTCTTCTCCACACTTGTCTTCTTCTCCTTCTCCTCTATACTCTTGGCAATGTCCCCTGATTCACCACCGCGAGGTTCTCTCTTCTTTGGCTCATAGCTCCTAAATGACTGATAAAACTCACCGACAGCCGTTGATGCTTTGATACTCGCCATCAACTTGGCCGCAGATCTTCTGTACAACGTAATCACTTTGTTGGACGTGAATGCTTCGTACTCCAGCTCAACGCTGATATCCTCAAAGTCTCTGTAGACGAGCGTCTTGGGCACGGATTCATCCTCTTGGCCAGCTTCATAGTTCTTCTTCAACAGATCGGCAATCATGCTCAAATAGCTCTCCCTCAGCGTTATTGTCAGTCCCACGATCTTCGTCTCCGTGCTCATGGCGTGCTTCACGCGAGATATCCTCGCCGTGGGCTGTTCCTTCTCCAAGAACTTCGCCGCTGCCAACTTCCTGGCGGCAAATTGCTTCTGAATCAGACTAATTCGCTCCTTCTTCGCCTTCATTTCGCGATTCGCCGGCGAGGAATCACTGTCTGAGTACTCAGACTCCAACATCTTCTGCGCTTGTCGTCCTCCCTCGTACAAATCCTCACTGTAATTGTCGTAGTCATACGACAGGGAGCCCCCAATTCGCCCAGTGGCGGACAGAGAGTGAAATTTCTCCAGCGCAGCAGCAGCTTGCTTGGGATTCTTGCACACATCGCACCGATTGATGCACTTCGGAGGCTTGTCCCCAAAGAAATCGGCAAACAGTTTGTGTCTGCATTCAGTGGTTTCGCAGTATTTGATCATCTTCTCGAAATTCTTGAGGTTTTGCTTGGCCTTTTCGAGTCTATCGTCCGTCTTGGACTTCCCAATGTCCTGCTTCAGCAGAAACTCCACCGAATTCGTCTCACTGCGACAGTAATACAGTCGACAGAAGGACTTCTTGCCATCCCTTCCAGCCCTGCCGGACTCTTGGTAGTAGCCAGCGATGCTCTGCGGGATGTCCCAGTGCACGACAAAGCGAACAGCAGACTTATCCACGCCCATACCAAAGGAGATGGTGGCACAGATCACAGGATACTTTCCAGTCATCCACTCCTCCTGCGTGGTTATCCTGTCGGCCGGCTTCAGGCCCGCGTGGTAGGGAAATGTCACGAGTCCACAGTCAGTCAAGTTCTTGGCCACACGCTCCACCTGTTCGCGCGTGCGACAGTAGATGATCCCACAGGGAACAGCGTCACTATCGCCCTCCTTGCACTGCAGAATGAACTCCTTGAGGTGTTGGAAGTCGTTGTTGATGGAGTTCTTAAATATCACATCGTAGAAGAGATTCTCCCTGAAGCAGGGAGTCATGAACTTCGCCATGGGTTCCCTGAAGCGCAGATTCTTGATGATGTCCTTCACCACTTCTCGCGACGCCGTGGCCGTGAGAGCAATCCAGGGAATCTTCGGGAACTTCATCCTGATCTCGCCCAACTTCAGATAGTCCTTCCGGAAGTCGTGTCCCCACTGAGAGACACAGTGCGCCTCGTCCACCACAAAGTACGCCACTTTGTTGTACTTCACCATGTGCGTGATGAGCTCGGAAAAGGCTCCCGTGGCGGCGAACTCGGGCGTTATGTAGAGGAATTTGATGCTGGGCCTCATGGATTTGATGTCCGCATAGACATCGCTGCGCTCCTTCATCGTCATCTTCGAGTTGATCGACTCTGCGCGGATTCTCAACTTCGCCAAGTGATCCAATTGATCCTTGATGAGGGCCAAAAGTGGCGAAAACACCAGAGTGATCTTGTTCTCCTGCAGCACTCCTGGCATTTGGAAGCACAGAGACTTGCCAGATCCCGTGGGCATTGAGATATACACGTCGCATTTGCCTGAAAAGGGCAAAATTCAGCATCACGCAGAATTGACAAAACCATCGCGGATGCATTTTGTTTGCCTTTCAAAACTCACCCTTTAAAATAGTTTTTATCGCATCTCTCTGCAGCTTCGAACGAAAAGTCGTGTGATGAAAGTGTTCCTTCAGCTTTTCCTCCAAATCAAATTCACCTTCTGCCGATTTTTCGGTCATTTTATGCACTTTTCAAGAGATTTGTGGCACCAGAAAAGCGCATGCAAACAAGTTTTCAAGCGCTGATAAAAAATTGACAGATCGCCTACAGCGCCGCGGTGCATAATTGCACTAGTGTTTCTCTCATTCAAATCCGTGAAACATATAACGAATGCGTGGCTCTTTATTTATGACAAATGAGAAAAAGGTAAATGATATTCTTGAGAAAGTCATTTTTGCAAAGTAAGTTTTTGCTTTCAGCTGCTTAAACTTGTGCTTTAGTAATATTTTGGTAAATGTTTCGTTGCCGTTTCATGAAAGTCCGCCCCCGCCATTTAAACTCTCATAACCTCACTTTGTTGTTTACATTTTGTGATAATGTGCTGTTACACGTCTGCAATAAATTCATGATTTTCACTATTTCTCGGCCGGGAAAATGCCCCTGATTATTCTTTCTGGCATCCCAAGTAGTGGGAAAACCACGCGAGCGCAGCAGTTGGAGAAATTCTTCAGGGAAGAGAAGAATCTCACGGTGCACGTTGTGTCTGAAAACAAGTGCTGCCGGAAGCATAATTTCCTCAAGAACGACCTATTTTCCGACTCGCAGAAGGAAAAGATCATTCGTGCGTCTCTGAAATCGGAAGTGGGTCGCCTGCAGAACACCAAGGATGTGGTGATCTTGGACGCAAGCAACTACATCAAGGGCTATCGCTATGAACTGTATTGCCAGGCGAAGGGTGGCCGCGTGACTCAATGCACAATCCTGTGCAATCTGCCGGTGGTGCAGGCGAAGGCATTCAATCAGCAGCGGCCAGTGGTGTCGGAGGAGCTTCCTGACTCTTCAGAGCCCAGCGACAATTCCGATGTTCAGTACACGGAGGCCGTCTTCGATGCACTTTGCCAGAGATTTGAGGAGCCTCAGGGCACCAGTCGTTGGGATGCGCCGCTCTTCGTCACTCTGCCGGATCAGGAGTTGGATTTCAGTGGAATCTACCAGGTGCTGTTCGAAAATAAACTCCCCACGCCCAATCAATCGACACAGAACGTAAGTTACGCATTTTATTAGTAATTTTTTTGTGAAAATCTTACGCTTAGGTTCATGAAAATACTCTTCCGTTGGTCACTTTTTCTTTAGGCACCCGTTTGCCCGGCAAACTACCTCTGTGAATTGGACCAGATAAGTCGAGGGATCGTCATGGAAATTGTGGCGGCGAGAAAACACAATCCGGGCATTATATCAATTGCGCAGCACCAGAAGGGCGCTACGCCACTCACCGTGAACATCCCCGCGGAAATCGGAGTGGCTCAATTGCGACGGCTTCGCCAAATGTTCCTCAACTACATAAAAGTTCAACCGACGCCCCCGTCTTTGGATTCCCTGCCACAACTCTTTGTTCGCTACATTAACTCCAATTACGGCGATAGTTAAGTATTTTGACTTTGAGAGAAGTAAAAAAAATGAGAAGAAAAAAATCACACTCGTCCTTAAGAAACTAACTCCGGATCACTGCTGTCCTTCACTCTCCTCCGGCTCATCTGAGTTGCTTTCGCGCGGCTTCTGGCACACGAAGAAGACACTGAGGTATTCGCTTTGCTGCATAGATCGCGGGTTTTGGCTGTACTTTGTGCGCACTCCCGTTTCATTCCTGAGAAACTTAAAGCCCACCGTCTCAATCACCGACTGGAGGTCCTCGTACGTCGGCTCGATGCTCCCCTCGTTGAGTATATCACTGTAGTGATACAGCAGGGGCCCCAAATTCACCCAGATCCCCTCTGGCCGCAGAATTCTGCAAAACAAGTCATGCAATCAATCACTCAACTCCGCTGTGTGGGAATCAATAAGCCATAATCAATTTTTAAAGCCACTCTCGAGAGGCAATTTGCCAGACATCAGTGAGAGCCCGAAAGTTAATAAATGATAGTGTTTGGCAGTGAGCCAAATTTGGAACGGCGGCAATAGATAAGATGCTATATTACCTGTAAATTCTCTCCACAAACTCCACCACATTGTTGGCACAGTCGATGAAGAAGCACGTGGCGACGCAATCCCACGCATTCCAATCGTTGTACACTTGCAGGAAGTCCCCGGCCACCATATTGAACGTCCCACTGGGCGGCGCCTGAATGGGACTCACGTCCGGAAAGCGCACAGCCCTTATCTGATCATCGCGTCGCGAATTGTTGACGTACTGGTGAATCCAGGGGTGCAATTCGTACTGATCGGCATAGGTACATCTGCGGAAGGCGAGCAATTTCTCAGCAATCACGCTCATTCTTCAGCATTTCGTCAACTCACCTGTTCAGAATGAAATTCGAGGCGATGAGCATGAAGTAGGAGAACTCATTGCCCTCGCAAAAGTAGCCTCTGTAGGCCAGCTCGTACGCTAATCTGCCCAATCCGGCTCCGGGCACGAGAACGCGCACATTGCCGACGTCACTGTGAACGGGAAAGATTCTCATTTCACCAGCCGAATCATCTGAGAGGCGCGCAAACAACTCACACTTCTTTGGGGTTGAAAGCCTCCACGATGGCATCGATGATCGGCGTGTAGCACTGCTCGCGCTCCTCAACGCCCTCCGAACTCCAGTCACGCGCGAAGAGCTTCAGCGTGATTTCCACCTTGAGCGACTTATGGAGCTCCACCGGCGGCGGATCGTGATGATTGTGATCGCCAGTCGTGAGTGGAACATCACTGGGTTGCTCGAAGATCTTATTCACGTCCACGAGGAGCTGTCGAATGACTTTGTAGTTCCTCTCGATGCACTCACGGATGCTCCTCAGGTTCTGCGAGTACTTCTTCAGCATTGTCTGGTGATGAGGCGGTAATCTGCTCAAGTACACCTCGGTGGAATTGATCTTCTGCAGGCTATTCACCCTGAAAGTCACCGTTAAAAGAATCGTGAGAAGTGCCCTTGGCACGCCAAAAACACCCCCTTTGTTTACTTGTAGTTCAGGAAGGCTGCAATCACGCCTTGGAAGTTCTTCCGCTCCTCCTCTTCGGCGGTGAAGCTCTCGTCGTAGTCATCATGGTTCTCGTGATCCATGGTGTCACTGGGCGCAGCTGCACCGCGTAAATTCAGGCAGAGAAACTGATAAAAGCTGGAGCAAAGCACTCCGAAGAGCACCGTTGCCGCCGAGTATCAACAAAGTTGTGACTTGTTTCTACAAAACACCCCCACTCCGTGACCTTTCTCTGTAGTGCGCCGTCACGTACGCCACGCGGCGCTGCGGTTTGTTTCCCCACCACTTGACGGCCCGCCACGTGAAAGTGACAACAGGAAATTTTCTTCAGCCGCGCCGTGGATTGCAATATTTCCTGACCATGGATCCTTGTGGTGGCTTACTGAGCAAGCTGAAGGATCTGCATCCTGACTTGTGCGTGTACTTCCTGCAGAATTACTTCGAGAATGAGGTGAGCAAGAGGAAATTTCGCAATGAAAACAACACTCACGCTAACCGGCTTTTTTCCGCAGAAGTCCTCTCTGGGCTCTTTCCACACAATCCCCACGACTCTGCTGAGGGACGAGCAGACGTACTCAAAGGGTCTCCTGGTGCTCAACACATTCCTGGACTACTGCACTGCCGAGGATCTCAACAAGGCCGGTGCTTTGTGGCTCACGCCGCTCATGAAGCACATTTCACTGGACGTATCGAATCAAGTGTCGAACTCCTGCTCAGTTGAGCTGTCCTACAATCTGCTGGGGAAGATTATCGTCAAGTCCAGCGATGCGAAGGAACTGATGAAAGCCATTGGGATCACTTATCTCTCGCGTCTTGTCATGAATCTTGTGGATGCGCCGAAGAATTGCCACTTGTCAGCGCTTCTCTGTCTCCAGACGTGTTTGACTCACTACGGCGGCCAGTGCAGTCCTCTCCAGGGTCGCATTGAACGATTCATCCTTGCATTTGTCGACACTGAGGATGACAGACTTGCCCTGGAAGCGGGAAAATGTCTTTTGCTGATGCAGCAATTGTCTGGCGGCGGAGTTCAAGGTGTCAATCACCACAAAGCTTGGGGAAGGCTTCAGAATCGACTCCTGGTCAGCCTCTATGACACTCTGTCTGCCATCTTTGGCAGCAATGTGGCTGCAAGAGAGACGGCTGAGGCAACAGATGACAGTCTCACTCTGCCGGAGATCGACATGAGCGCTGGTCCACTGAAGAGGATTATGAACTTGATTCAGAGATTCAAGAATCTCACCACCTTCTTCAGCGTGGCTCTTGTTGGCGGCTACAAGACGAGGAAACCTGTGCAGCCGGTGAAGATTCTGAAGCTCATCTCGAACACTGTGGAAACACTCGGCAACACAGCGAGGAATAATCTGACTCTGGAGGACGTGGTCACTGTGCACCTTCTGCCGTTGATGCACGAAAGTGTGCTGGATTTGCTGAAGGCGCTTATTGGAATGTGAGTGAATTTCTTTAGATTGTCTTTCTGCTTTCCTAACACGTCATTTATTCTTGAAGATTGCGTGGAAACATGGTGCTTTTCAGCAGGAGCGTTTGCTCAATTTTGCTGTCGTCGCTGAAATGTGCAGCCAAATCAACGTGAGTTCGATTGTTACTCTTGTTGCTTTTCTTCCTCACGAATTTTCCCTTCCGTTTCAGTTCTCTCCGCATTGCCACTTATCAGCTCTTTGTCTTCTGGTGCAAGACTGTCAACACTTCCAGTTGTGTTGAAGACATCTCTGAAGTATTCTTCACGTCAATAGTGCGCGACACGAAGCCATTCGTTGTCAAAGTGCAGCTTCAGGTGAACGGAACGGGCGCCAAGAGCAAATCCAAGAGGCTCAAGAGGAAGCTTGGCGAGGACACGGTCAAGGATGATGGCGAAGAAGACTGCGAGAGGCACTTGAATGATGAGAAATACGAGCAACTGTGCTGCGAGGCTCTGACTTGCCTGCGCCAATTGATCAGATGTAGCTCGTGTTCCATCAAGCTCGACCAGATGAAGCTCATCTATGATCACGCGATGGCGCTTATTGTGCAGAATGTGGAGATCGACCCGAAGAAGCGTCCTCTGTACGCCAACAGGGAGTGTCGCAAGTGTCTCTTCCTGCTCCTGAAGGAGCTTCTGGTCACTGCCTTCGTCATCACTCTGCCGCAGAGTCAATTCCTCGTTCACGTGTTCAGTCAGGCTCAACATTCGGAGACTTGGCATGAAAACAGGGCGCTTTGCACAGAGATTCTCGGGGATCTGGACAAAATGATCCATCCGCAGAAGTTGGAGTTCCAGTTTCCTCTCAAGGAAGAGGTTCAGCCCATGAAATTGGCCACTGCCGATGCCAAGGAGGATGATTCGATGGTTATCAGTGATGAGGAAGAGAGAGAAGAAATTGAGGAAGTAGCAAAACCTGAAGAAAAAATCCCTTCTCCAGATGTTGAGAAGCTTGTTCAGAAGTCTGCAAACGTCGATGTGATCGAGAGCGAGGCGAAAGCAATAGAAGTGGAGAGTTATGTACCAGAGGAGCAACAGAAGGTGGAGGAAAAGGGTGGTATTTTAAAGGAGCAACGCGAAACCACACAGGATATCATCTTGGAGATAAATTCAAACGACAGCGATGAAGTGCAGGAGTTGTCGGACGAAGAGATCGTCTTCACGCCAGTCGAAGTGGTCCAGAAGAGCCCCAGTGTCAAGACCAATGCGGATTCTTCCCGAGCGAAGAGGAAGAAGATGGATTTGCTGCTCATGTCGTCAGATGACGAGGACACCGATGACTACACACACTTGATGGGCGATTTTACAGACGATGTTCACCCCTAAACTTTGTAATTTTCTAAGTAGCCAGTGAACTAATAAAAGAAACAAAGCACTGAAAAAACGACATAACAATTTTTTAATGTCCAACAAGTTCGTAAAAATTCGTTATATACTGAACTTTAGGAGATTACAAAAGAATTCCATTGTCCTAAGAGAGACACACCTATCTAAGCGATCTACACCGTCAATCTCATCATTAATAAATTATAGTTTAGTCTCGTGCCTGAAAATGCCAGACTTCCTGTCGTTGTACAGCTGTATTCGTAGCTGACGCAGGAGAGCGTTCGAATAGTTGCCACCGCTGCTGTCCGGCAGGCAATTCTCCTCCATGGCACTGCTCTCCGGATACGTGCTGGCACTCCTGTTGCGCATCACGTCGCCCGGCGTCATGTCCGCCTCCTTGGGCGCTCCGCCGCCACCCTTCATCATCGTGCGCGGCGACGCAGATTCCCTCAGTCGAATATCGTTCAGGTAATTCATGGCAGTGTCATTCACGTGCAGCAAATTGTTGCAGTTCAAATTGCGACACATATTCGGTGGAATATTGTAATTCTGCTCCGATTCCGTATCCTCGATGCTGTCCACGTCCCCTGAAGAAGCCAAAGAGAATACACATTTACAAAAATCATCAACAATTGCCCAAAACCACAAAAAACCACTCACCATCGCTGCTATTGTTGCTGGTGATGAAAATGTCCTCCTGCTTGAGCTTCTTCGACCGATTTCGTCGATAATACTTGAACTCCCGCGGCAAAGTGTACGATCGCGGCAAGGACACTTGACTATCAATGTCCGACGGACCATTTTGCTGCGCCAAGTGATTCAGGAAGCTATCATCGTTCCCATTGTACGGCGCAAAATTGCCACCATCGCCACATTTTCCCGCCCCCTTTGCCGGCCGCTCCAGATAGTGTGGCGAAAGCACGACTTCATTCTCATTCTCCTCCACAAATCTCTGACCCGACATTCCCGGCACAGCTCGACGATCGCGCTGCTGTTGCTGCTGCGGATCACGATTTCGTGGCGGCGGCACGACGTTGAAGGGAAAGGAGGCCTTATCGATGTACGACGCCTCGAGATTCGTGCAATACGTGCCGGTGATTTGTCTTGGACGCGGCATTTCCAGCGGCACGCCTCGGCTGTAATTGCGCGTGCGATTGAACACCGTCTCAGGGCTGTAGGCGCCCCTGTACGAGGGCGGCGGCATGCAGCGATTGCTCTGATTCTCACTCGAGTTCATAATCTTCAACTGTCGCTGCAGTGAATCCGTGATGTCTGAGTTGTCGCTCAACTTCTTCGATATCTTCTCAGGCTTCTGCTGCTGCTGCTGATGCAAATACGAACTCGGCGAGTCGACTTTTCGCTTGGACGCCAGTGAGAGAATGTGTGGCAAATTACTCTCCTTGATCATCGATGTTTCCGGATAGTTTTCCGCATAGTTTTGCTGCAAGTACGGCAAATCCGCCAATGATTCATTCACGTCTGTCATCATGGAATTCGGCCAGCCTAGCGGTGTGATGTTTCGGTGATTCTTCACCTTGGGAATGGGCTCCTTGGGCAGAGACACCTTTGTGCCACCATCACTGCCATTCAGTGGCACAGATTGCACTGGTCCACCCAATTTGCCCTGCTTAATCTCCTCCTCGATGATCTGCAACTCCGCCAGTTGCTTCTGCTTCTTCTCCTGCAGCTTCTGATGGATGTCAATGCGTGAACTCACGCTGCTCTCGTTCTCACTCGAGCCAGCATACTGCAGAGCTGCGATCTGCTTCTTCCAGAACGGCACCACCATCGGACCATTCTGTGGCTGTCCATTCTGCTGCGCAACGGCGGCCAGTTCTGTGATGGACAGCGAGAGTGGCACGAAGGAGGTCGGTTTCTTTTTCTTCCTCTTTGTCGCAGCCCTGAAAAGCGACATAGATTTTATTGACGCAATGTGTTCTCAAAACGCACCTTCTTTCACTCACATTCCAATGGGATTGATGAAGCGACAGCTGAACACTCCGGGAATGCCTTGATAGTAACTCTTGGAATTCACATCAATCTTGGGTGGGAATTTGTGCTCGTGCTCCTTTCCATTGCAATAGCAATTGCCACAGTTGATGGACGGCTTCGAGGGATAAATCCCATTGACTTCGTATCCCAAACGACGGATGTGGAAGAATCTGCAAAGGACAGACAGTCAGTGATCTTCACATTTAATCACAAACACAATTTCACATCAAATCATACCGATAGTAGAGAAACATGAAGAAGATTCCCGAGGCGAAGGTCAACAGCATGATCACCACAATCCAATACCATCCGTCCGGTCTCTCTGCCCAGATGCCAAAGATCCAGAGTCCAACAAGCAGCAGATTCTCCAGGAACATCACCGTGTAGAAGATCACCATCTTCTGGCGATGATTCACCTCTTGCAGATTGATGTACGCAAACACGTAGACGAAGGCGATCAGGGCGGCGAGGAGGCACTTGCGGAGGCGTGAGATCCGCTCGCCGTGGAACACATTCTTCGGGGAGATGATCCAGAGGAACATGGACACCCAGTGCAGGATGATCACCAGGAATGTCCAGTAGTAGTAGAACGAACCGTAGATAATCAGCGAGATCATGCGCGACGTTATGGTGCCCAGGCGCCACAGGAGCTGGAAGATCACGCCCAACCACGTGAGGATGAGCCGATGGACGTTCTGCAGGCGCACATTCTTGCTGAAGCTGGCCAGAGCCCAGCACACGCTGAACAGCGACAGCGCGGCCGACACAATGTTGAGCTCCCTGAAGGCGTGGCTGTTGATCGCCGGCGCTTCTGTGCCCTCCACCACGAGTCCGCTCACGGTCGTGGACTCGCGCAGGATCTTTGGCCGCAGCTCAGCCGAGGAGCCGGAGAGGAGGTCGCGTGCAGTGTGATCGGACACGAGGATGTGCAACTGCAGGAGGAGCATGGGGGCGCTTTCGCAGAAGGCGTGGATGAGGCGCAGCATGCACAGATCTCTCACTTCGTGCTTCACATTCTGCAGCTCCACGGGCGCCAGGAGCTTGGCGTACCGCCACACGATGCCCACCAGGACGCAATGCAGCAACACGACGATGTTCTTTGGAATGAAGCACCACCTCACGAGCTGAGCCACCGGCGGCCGCTCCTGTCCAGCACTCGCGGCCGTGATCGCTTGCTGCTTGCGTTGCGTGAGGCGCTCCTTGTTGAGGAACCATCGCAGCGATATGATCTGCGAGGGAGAGAGGAGAGAGAGAGTGAGAGACGGAGAGCGATTAGCCGCGTGCACGTAATCCCTTCGGGGGGCGAGAAGCGCAAGAATGCAAAAGAAGCAAAATGCATCTCATCATGACATGCCAGAGGTTCAATGATCTAGTACGCCATGATCACACATTTGGGGCACTTTGGCGCCGAAAGGGAGCCAACGATGGAATGCACCCCGCAGGGGAGGCGTGAGAAAATGGAACATGAGAGCATGATTACTTGGCACAATATCAGCGAGCATAGGACAATGGTGGCGGTGAGGACGAAATAGATGATCTTGCCACTCTCATACAGTGCATAACTGAAGACAACATTAAAAACAATATCACAAAAGTAGCCAGCAAGCGAGATAACATTGAACAGCAGATCACACAGTGGCAAAAACTCCGTCATGCTGAATACCAATTGCCACGCACGGCGGACACACTCCACTACAACTTCCTGCACACGAACAGCACGCAAAGTACACTCACGCGCTGCCAAATTGCAATTTATTCACCGAGATCAACAAGTGACTGTCGCCGCCATATTTCTCAAAGATGGCCACCACTTTGGAATGCCACCCAAACTGGAATTCCATTGTTTGCTCGGTGCACTTGGACGGTTTCCGCTCCCCTCTCTCGCTCGCGAGTGGGAGAAAAAGACGATGAGCTGAGCTTTAGCAGAACGCTCGATTGTCGATCAGGAAGTGAAAATAGTTGTTTTTTGCTTATTTTCATTTCTTTATTTCCCATCATTTCTTAAAACACCCTTAAGAGCTGCTCCTTGAGAGCGCATTTCTCTGAAAACAACAAAATCCCGTTCATTCTCTTCCTCTGCGCTGCGCTTCGTGATCATTTCCCCTCAAATACCGCATTAATTGCCGTACATTCCATGGACTCGATCGCAGAGTTGCCGCCACCTGAAAGCGCACAAACGAAAGAATGTCAGCAAAATTGTATCATGACAGAGAGAATGTGAGAAATTCTGCGAAATCTGCATCAGTTTTGTGTCTTTTCCACACGAATTTGTTCAGAGACGAAAAATACAACATCATAATTTGGTGGTCGGGAATGATTAAATGACATCAATTGTCTTTTACCTGTAAATTCCTCTCTCTCTCTCTCGCTGCAATTTCTCCAGACGCCCGTAAGATGATTTCCTTGTGGCGGAACACTGAAAAGATGTGAGAATTCTTTGTGAATTTTCTGTGCCGTTTGAGAAATTATGCGTTTGCAGAGTGAAATTTGTCAGAAATAAATAGATAACATATTTCGTTTCATTATGTATCAACGAGCTGGGTTTATGTTGTGCGTCATCATAAAAATAATTGTTAATTTTAGATAGAATTTTGTAGAAAATTACCTCTATTTGCGGTCAGAATAGGACAGCTTATCTCCTTTCTGTAAAGAAAATAACACAACTATTTAGAAGACATTCTCAAGATGATCAAAATCATTCTTTTAAGTGAATTCAGATCATGTTTGTTTATAGAGTTATTTTCACGTATGTTTCAAAGTGAGCTGAGTTAAAGAATCATCACGAATTTAAGCATTTATCAAAAGGCAAGAGAATTTTACTCACTTTCTCCAGGGATTTCTGTTATCTATCGACGAAACGCTGATAAACTGCAAAGAAAGACGAATTAGTTTCCAGAAGTGGCATATTTACCCAAAATTGTCCTCCGGAGAGCAGAAAAGGAAGGCCGAAGTCTCTGTTTCAAGCCGTTTATTTCGCCACCTCGAAGGGTAACACAAAAGAATGTGTTTAGACAGAAGCCTGGACTGGAGGCTCGTATCCTTCCGGCCTGTCGACCTTGGCTCCCTCGGCCACGGCGCCCTCGGTGCCCTTGCCGCCCCCATCGCCGTGCAGCTCCAGCAGCTTGGACAGGTCGAAGCGTGTCTTCTTCAGCACCTTCACCTTGCGGATGTACACATCGTGCAGAGGATAGATGCCCTGGCAGGACTTCTCGATGTCCTTGGCGATGGAGTCTGGGAGGAGCTTATTCACCACCTCCTTGAGGTCGCAGCTGGCCACGTCGCGCGTGATGATATCGCACATCTTCTTGCGGATCGCCTTCACCTGAGAATGCTGCGCGTAGCAAGTCTTGCGCTGTGACATGGAGTCCTTGGAGGTGAAGCCGATGCAGAACACACGGAGCACATAGCCGTCCGTGGTCTTCACGTCAATATTGGCCTCGATCAGAGTCTGCCACTTCTTCACCATGGACCTGTGTTCCGGAGGGGCGAAAACAAGCATGAGTGCGTGAGGTTATGTCAGTACGAACAACAAATCCCTACCGCAGTTTGTCTGTCGTCAGATCCATCCCGTGGAAATTAGTGAGCACGTTATTGCCCTGCACCTCCTCGGCGATCAGCCTGAACTTGCGGTAAGAGCGCTCGGCGTCATTGTCGTTCTGCAAATCGGCCAAAGACACTTCGAACACGCGGTTCTTCAGACCCTCGGAGGCAATACGGGTGCCCTGTGTGCGGTTCACGAGGGTCTTCCCGATGTTCCGCGTAGCAAACATGTTGGGGGCCTTCACATCGTACCAATCCTTGCGGGAAAAAGGGTCGATAACCTTCTTCTTCGACCCCTTTTTGCCACCTTTCGAAATCGCTTTGCTTTTACCGACCGCCATGATTACGTCGAGATGTTGAAAAGGACCGGAAACTCACTTGACAGCCCCACTGACACTCGCACTTGCATGCCATTATCCAACATCCGCCATACTTTTTATCCACACCAATGCGATATATCGAAAAGAAAAACCTCCCAAATTCCCTACAGGAAAAAATATTTTTATTTACACAAGTTTTTCCGCCTAAATATGCTATTTACTTATTCGTTTTGTCTAGGAGGTCCTTGGCTTCATTGATTTTGGCCGCAATGTACGGCGACCCGCCACGATCGGGATGATTGAGGAGCATTATCCTCTTGTGTGCATCCGATATTTTGTTCTTTGACGCCGTTGGACTCACGCCAAGGATCAGGGAGGCTTCCCGCTTGGTCATCTTCGGATCAAATCCACCTTTGTAGTATTTGGCATTCGCCAGTGATTCGGCATCTAACTTAGGCAAGGATTTCAAGGCCTCGTTCATCTTCTGGCTCATATTGGGCACTCTTCTAAGCAGATATCGACCGGCATAGCCAACAGCAGCCACTCCGATTCCAGTCAGAATGAGAGATGAGGCCTGAAGTAGCACGATAGAGGGAAAACTTAGTGGATTCCAATGCAATATTGAATATGAAAACTCACCATTTTTAAAGGTTAAAGTCTTGTTAGCACAGAAACTGGTTGAAGTTCAGATATTCACAGATATTTCCCTTCCTGCCAAATTGTATTCGCATCACAACTCATTTACAGGCGATAATTAGAGCAATTTCGGATTTTATTACGCAAAAAGCCTCTCCATCGCGTTACGAGATATTTTTATCCAAACTGTCGCGAAGCTTGTCAAAATTATCACGCGAACACGTGAGATTTTGAGAACGCTCAAACAACCGGTGAGGCGAGGACGCATTTTGCATTTTGCCCAGGAAAATCATATTGTGCAAGTGCCAGGATGTCTCAAGCGCAGCCGAAAGGCAGTGGGCAGGGCAGTGATTACTATGAGAGTGGCGGAGATTCCTCAGATGGTTGGGAGGAAATGGAGGATGAATCCGAGGCAGTAAAGTGTTTGTTTTGCGAAAATGTCTTCAAGTCCTTCGAACAAGCTCTTGATCACCTGCAAGAAGGCCACAAATTCAATCTGCTGGATCTGTCTGGAAGGTACGCCATGGATCAGTACTCATACATCAGGGTAAACAGAGATATTTGGCAGATGTTTAGATGTATTCGCTGAGGAGCAAATTCTTTGCAGATGGTCAACTTTGTCATCAGGGAGAAGCGTCGTCCGGAGGAGATAATGGGCAGCGCAAAGTGTCTCTGGAGTAATGACATAAATCTACGTCCTGTTGACGATGAGAGAAGGAACTGGCTGACTTTTGGTGAGATTCTATTGAAGCATTTCTGGAGAGATTTGATAGATTGATGTTCATTTCAGACTTTGAATACTACATAGAGGAAATGAAGAGGAAAAGATCCAACGAATCAGCCTCATTAGATGACAAAGACGTCATTCTCAGAGCGTCGGAACTTCAGACTCTTCAGGACACCCTGAAATCCGCTCTAAAGCGCAATCAGGAGATGGAAGAAGCCAACAAGCAGCTGCAAGAGATTGTGGAGAATCTCAGGAAGAGCGCTTTGGCGCATCTGGAGGACGAAAAGGAGCAGAACTCCAAGCCAGCGAGGCTGAGGGATGACGAGTCGTACTTCACGTCCTACTCTCACTACGGCATCCATCAAGAGATGCTGTGCGACGAAGTGCGGACGCTCAGTTACAGAGAAGCCATTGAGAAGAATCGGGCTTCCATTCAGGACAAAATCGTGATGGATTTGGGCTGTGGCACTGGGATTCTCTCCATGTTTGCCGCCCGAGCGCAGGCGAAGCACGTAATCTCCGTAGATCAGTCAGACATCATTTACCAGGCGATGGACATCGCGCGTAGGAACAACTTCGGCAACGTGAAGTTCCTCAAGGGACGCATTGAGGAAGTGTCGCTGCCGCACGAGAAGGTGGACGTGATTGTGTCAGAGTGGATGGGATACTTCCTGCTGTTCGAGGGGATGCTGGACAGTGTGATCTACGCGAGAGATCACTATCTCTCACCCGAGGGAATCATGCTGCCCAATCGCTGCACCATCAGTCTCATTGGGTCCGGCGATGTGGATCGCCATCGCGAAAGGATCAGCTTCTGGGAGAGTGTCTATGGCTTCGACATGTCGTCCATGAAGGACGATGTGCTGCGTGAGGCCAGCGTGGAGATCTGCCGTCCGGAGATGATCATCACGGAGCCCAACACGATTGCAGACTTCAATCTCATGACCGTGGACACGAGTTGCTACGCCTTCGCCTACGACTTCAGCCTCAGGGTGCTGCGCAGCGGTGTGCTGACGTCTCTCGTGGGCTACTTCGACACCTTCTTCGATCTGCCCACACAGCTCGTGAGCTTCTCCACGGGGCCCCACGCGGAGCCCACGCACTGGAAGCAGGTGGTATTCTTCCTGCCCACGCCACTGCCCGTCACGTCCGGAGATACTGTGTCCGGCAAGTTCCAGTGCCAGCGCAATCCGCAGGACACGCGCTCGCTGCTCATCTCAATTCACTTCCACGATCAGGTGTTGGAGTACAATTTCATGTAAAGCCACTCGCGTCTGCTAAAATAGAATTGTGATACACTTTATTTGTAATAATTATACACAATTTCTATGATACAATATAGTTTCTTTCGTCCTTAAAATACTACGAGCAAAATAATGAACTTGCAAAAAGTAACTTACACACTATTTTATTCACTAAATCCTCATCAAAAATTCTTAGCTAATTTAGTTGCCAACTCTGTTGCTCGACTTTTCCTGCATGAGCTTTTTCTTTCTCACTTACAATTACAAGGATTTTCTAGTGTCTCGGTGTTTTCAGGAAGATTTCTTTTTTTAGCTACATTAAATTCGAAATGGCTGGAATTCTGGGCGAAGTTTTGCTATTCATTATATAAAAAATTCTGTGATTGTAAATTCGCATACAAATTCATTTTTTTTACAACTGTTATAAAGACATATTTTGTTGAACAATTAAAATCATTGTATTAAGCAGAGGAAAATATCACAGGAAGGGTTCAACTATTTAAAAGAAAGGTCAATCGAAGAAGATTTCTCTTCCAAAAGATGCCAATTTTCCTTATCTTAAACAAATCGCGCAAATCATCTGATATCCTTAAAAAAACAAACAAATGTACAGCATAGAAATTTTCATGCTGTGGCGAGCGAGACACAGGAAAATCCCACCTAAAATCCCTCCTCTCGACTACAAGAGCAACTATCAGTTGTATCCCTGTTGGTTCTCTGGCTGCTGCTGGGTCGTCTGCTGCTGCAGCTGATAGTGCGGCATGGAGAGCAGCGAGGTGACTTCGAAGCTGGAGAAGATCTGCCCATTTGTACCATAACCCGCAGAATTGACCTGTATCCTCGCGATGGCCGGATTCAGTGGACTGGCCGGTCGATTCTGCACATCCTGCTGCGTCAGCGAATTCACCGGAATGACAATTGGATTCTGCACCTTCTCCGTCTTGATGTTGGCCAGCGTCGTGGCCTGAGTAGCGGGTGAAATGATCAGCGTCGTTCCCTGCGCCTGCGGCTGCTGCTGTTGCGTCTGATTGGGCGGCGGAATGCCAATCCTATTCACCCGATTGGCATTCGTGAAGCGATTGGGATTGTTCACGCTGATGCTGGAGAAGGGCGTGGGCTGATTCACCTCCTCATAGTGGCCCTGCATGCGTCGATGAGCCGCGAGCGCCGTGCCCTGGATGAAGCGATCGCCACAAATGCCGCAAACGTAGGGCTTATCGCCTGTGTGACGCCTGATGTGGAGCGTCAAGTCGTTGGACTGCGTGAACGCACGATCGCAATACGTACACTTGTACGGACGCACGCCTGGAAGAGACAAAAGAGATCAGAACTTTCACTCTAATTACCTCTCTAGCACGCTTCATTGATCAAGCATTGAGAGTTGACCAAGACTCACCAGTGTGAATGCGCATGTGACGAACGAGTTTATTTGACCTGGAAAATCCTTTTCCACAGATCGTGCACAGGCATGGCTTCTCACCAGTATGCGTCCGCCGGTGACACTGCAGATCAGACGATCTTGGGAAGCCCTTTTCGCACAAATCACACCGATAAGGCTTCTCTCCCGTGTGCCTTCGCATGTGGACAATCAGATTCGACGAGTTGGAGAAACTCCGTCCGCAGTAGACGCACAAGTGCTTATCCGTGTCCTCCTTGATGTCCTTGTGCACTCGCATGTGAGACCTTGAAAGAGAGACAGCACAAGTTGACGATGGAGAGAGATAACCTTAAAAATCATTCCATCCCGGAACTTACCTAAGATTGTCTTTTCTGTTGAACTTCTTCTGACACACGGTGCACTCGAACTTCTTCTCCGACGGCATGTGGATCTTCACGTGGCGATCCAGGTGCTCTTGACGATAGAAGGACTTCGTGCAGATGGAGCAGAGGAAGGACTTCTCTCGGGGCTTCTCCTTGGCGCCACGCTCGCGACGTCCTTTCGTGGCCAACTGCCGATTGGCGTGCACCGTCTGATGGTGCTTCTCGTGGCTGTTCTCCCACATGAACTTGATCTTGCAGATGCGACAGAAGTACATCTTCTCCTTGTTCAGGCACTGCAGACGCGAGTGCTTCGCCAGGAGGGCATCGTTGGGGAACACGCGTGAGCATTGCAGGCACTTTGCCGTGAAGTCCGACTCGATGTGATCGAGCTTCATGTGCGTGAGGATTTTGTACAGGCGATCAAACACCTGTTGACACGCCGAACACTGATGCTGCCGCTGATCGTCCGGCTGACACGCGGCATCCGACTCATCTGTGTCCGAGTCCGACAGCTCAAACTCGTGGCCATTGCTGTTGGTGATCTGGTAGAAGCGCGTGGCATTTCCCGTGCAAATCTCATTCATCACGTAGTTTATCAGGCTCTCGTTGGTCTCCATATCCGGCATAATCTTCGTATTGTCAAACAAGTAGCACTTTGTTGTGAGATTGACGTCCTCGAAGGAGTCCAGGGACTTGTGTTTGTTCAGGTGATTCCGCAAATGGGAGATTTTGCTGAATGTAACATCACAAATACGACACAGAGCCACTTTTCCCTCTGACGAATACTCATAAATTGTCTCGAGGATTTTGTTCTGCTTCTCCTCGCGATCCTTCAAGTTGGACAGTTGATTCCTGATTTCGAGATCCTTCAGCGATGGACGTCCTCGTCTTCTGGAAGAGGACAAATGTACAGAAAACCATACACAAATCATCGAACACAATCTCACTTACCTTTGCTTCTTGTGTGTCGCCATGTGAGTCTTGAGAGCTTCGTCCGACTTGAACTTCTTATCGCATTGCGAACAGGACTCCTTGTCGTTCAGCTCTCCCTCTGCCTCTTCACCCATCACTTCCTGCTCAATCACCTCCTTGGGTTGTGCCTTCAGCCTGAATTGAGCTCTGCACATCCGGCATTGCTTCACTTTGTGATCCGCGTGACTGCTTTCAAAGTGCTCTTTGAGGACTTTCGCATCTGACGCCTCTGCACCGCACAGATGACATTCTAGGCCGGCCTTGTCTTCGTCACTCACTTTGCTCTGCTTCACCTCCTCGGCGTTCATCTCCTCGTCCTCCTCTTCCGCTTGGCTCTGCAAATACTCAACCACGTCGCTCTCCGTCACTCCGGCGTCCACGTCAACTTCAAACGACACATCTGGCTCCATTGATAGCGAAAACTCAACATTCTGGAAGTCCTGATCTGACTTTATGTCCAGCAAGCTCTCCTTGAACTTGTCCGGATACTTCGCCACCATGTACGCACGCAGCGAGATGTCATTCTCTTCGGTTCGCTTCCGGAAGGCAAATGCACTTTGCACCTGCACTTTGCACATCCCACACACTTGATTGGGCATCCCGTCGTTCTCTTGCACCTGAAACAGCACCGAATTTTGCAAAATGTGGCCAACATTCGAGCTTAATAGAGGAATTTACCTGAATCTGGGCACAGGTCATAATGATCTCATTGAATGTTTGGCCATTTTCATCAGCGAATATTGAGCGCACGTCGTCGTCCTCCTTGAGGCAGAGTCTGCACAGCTTCTCCAGGTTGTACTCAGCAATCATTTCACCCACCACATCCATCTTCGGCGGTGGTCAAAGACACTAAAAACACGATTAATCCTACCCAAACAAACCCTAAAAAACAAAATGGCACGCCATCTTTAATTGTTTTGACAGCCACACTGACAGACGTTATCCCGGGTTTGGATAATCGCAACGTGGGTTTTTTTGGAATTTGAAATCTGTTATACAGTATCGGTTGGTATAACGAATGGTTTTCGGTGAATATAAGATTTTCTAATTGGAATTCAAACTCTGTGAGTATCTGATAAGATGAACTTATCTTTCAGGGAATGTGCAGAAGTTGGTGTGTTAAAATGAACAACGAACAATCCAACAATCCTGGCTGTTGATGTGCGCATGTCGCAGTTTGTTGAACAGTTTGCCGATGAGAAGAGTAATCCTTGTGTGCAGTTAAAATGTCTTTTGAGGATAAGGATATTAAATTCGATGTCCCAAATCAGTAAGTATGCAATTTCCGCTGATAATACTCTATATTCACGTTCTGCAATCTGTGCTGAGCAGACAAGATCGCCTCCGCGGCGGCGAGACGATTCTCGACATAATAAGCAACATTGAGGACACGAAGGGCAACATTGGAGACGTAGGACGACTGATGATTACCAATTTGCGGATCATTTGGTACTCAGTGACGACGACAAAATTCAATTTATGTAAGTTTTCGCTCGGTGCGCTTGCAAAATCATAATAAGTCCTTCTTGCAGCTGTTGGTTGGTCATGCGTGTTAACCATGACAACCAAGACAGTGGCCAGCAGAGGCAGAGGCAACACGCAAGCACTCTATATCCTCAGCATCAGCCGTAATTCGAGATTTGAGTTCATTTTCACGAGTCTCTCCAATTCGCAGTCCAAATTTTCGTCCGCTTTTGATATCTACAGGTGTGTTAGATGATTATCTCAAGAAGATTTCCTATCTTATCTCTATTCTCTCTCACTCTTTAGACTCTACCAAGCATCGACACTCTATCGCGAAATGAAGCTGAGATCTTCCATTCTTCACGAAGGATCTCTCAATGTGCTGCCGATGGAGAAGGTTTTCAACACACTCAATGGTGTTTGGAATCTCTCGAGTGATCAGGGAAACTTGGGCACATTTATCATCACCAATATCCGACTGGTTTGGTTCGCCAACATCAATGAGACCTTCAACATGTCTCTGCCCTACATTCAGATAGCCGGCATTCAAATTCGCGACTCAAAGTACGGCCTGGCGCTGGTGATAAACACGTTGAAGATGTCTGGAGGATATATTCTCGGATTCCGCATTGATCCGCCGGAGAAGCTGCATGAGATCTACAAGGAGCTCACGTCGCTTCACACTGTCTACTCCGACACGCCAATCTTTGGGGTGGATTACAAGCCGAAGTCGGATTTGGAGCAGAGCGGAACAGATCAAGTGTCTATTGATGATATCGAAGAGATTGATGAGTCGAAGAGCAGGGAAATCAATCACAATTTCTCCGCTTATCTCTCCGCTGAGGACTCTGGCGAAGTGAGAAGACCGTCGTACTGCAAGGAGCTGGGATTCGCGATGGAGAAGCTGAAGGAGGGCTTCAAGATCAAGGATTTGTGGGAAATCATACCGTCATAGTGAAGACTTTGTGCTGATGAACAATTGAGTCGCCAAGTCGCGCGAAAGTGATTTGTCCTGATATATCTTTACAAGATATCATAAAGAGCAAATGATAAGTAATAAGCGACTTGAAAACGGTGGAACGATGACCTCATAAATGTCTTAATAAAGTGAAATAATTCACACAAAAATAAGATGATTTCCTATTATCTTCCTATTATCACCATAAATTCAGCGACTACAATGGTTTGAGAGCGGCAGTAAAAGACGAATATGTGGTCCCAAAAGGCAAAAAAACACACCACCAGAGCCCAATAACTGGATGTCTGCCCGAATCAGATTATTCACGTGAAGTCTTTACTGTTTATTACTCCTAGAGATAAGGTAACACATGTCTTATGGCTAAAGAAGTCTCTGTGGCATTTTCTTGTGTGGGTTTTTTCACATTCGCTGATATTGTGGCTCTGCACTAGAGCTGTTTTCCCTGGAGAGCCAGGACGATCTCCTCGAAGTTCTTCCCTTTCGTCTCTGGCAGGTAGAAGTAGACGAAGATCAGCTCGAAGATGCACCAGCCGGCGAAGCACCACATTGGCGTGTACATTCCGCACACCTCGGCGAAGAGCAGGAAGAAGTTGACGATGAAGAATGTGAGAATCCAGTAGAACATGAGGAAGCTCGTGCACACGACGCCGCGCAGCTTCGGCGGCAGGACTTCGGCGGAGACGCTGAAGGGAATGGCCACAATCCCGATGGCGGCCAGTGTCATCTGGCCTGAGAAAGCTGCCACGGAGAGCCAGCCGAAGGATGACATGTCCAAGCCAATGGAGCGCAGGAGGAACAGAATGCCCATCACGCTCAGGCACAGTGCTGATCCCAGACTGGAGACAATCAGGATCTTGCGACGACCCCAGCGCTCCACAAACACAATGGCCAAGTTGCTGCCGATGAGCTCGAAGAGACCCACAATGATGGCGCCCAGATTGGCGTCCCACGTGGAGCCTGACTCCCTCAAGACGCTGGCCGTGTAGTTGTCCAGCGGCAGGACGCCGCAGATGCTGCGCCCAGAGATCAGGACGAGGCTGATGAGGATCGCTTTGCGCGTCGTGGCGGGTTCTGTGTGGATGGGAAGTGATTAGCTGGGGAAATGGTTGTGCAAAGTGATAACTCACTGAAATCATCCCATCCCACGGACGATGATTGATTTGACAGGGTTGGGGAGTTCTTCAGTGCCTCGAATTCCGTCTCAAATTTCTCCGGCATCTTCCCATTGGCGTCTCTCTTGGCGCCACGAAAGCGCTTCAGGGATTTCTCCGCCTTCGATTCGCGGCGCTTCAGCAGAAGATACTGCGGCGTCTCGGGGAAGAAGGGAAAGGTGAGCACGAAGACAGCCAGGAGGCCCAGAACTACGTAGGGAACGACATAGAAGTCCAGATAGCTGCCGAGACAGCGTCCGATGACGATGCCCACGGACACCATGTTGCAGAAAATGGCTCCCAACGTTCCGCGCACCCTGGAAGATTAGTTGCCAAGGTTTAGATAAGCGGCCTGTGGAGTGGCAAGATTAGGTGTCTACGCACTTGTCTTCGGAAATCTCAGAGACGTAGATGGGCAGCACGACGAATAGGGCGCCACAGCCCAGACCGCTGAACACGCGCGAGACGTAGAGGAAGTTCACGTCCTGGGCGAAGATGATGAGCAGGTGGGCGATGATGTGTGGACAGGTGCCGAGGAAGAGGGCCCACTTGCGTCCGATGCGATCCGCCAGCCAGCCGAAGGACAACGATCCCACCATGCCGGCCATGTACAGGAGCGCGCTGGTGAGCGACGCCTCGCGCCTGGACAGCGGCCCCGAGGGCAGCGGGGTGTCGTCGGACATGAGCAAGGGAATGGAGGGTGAGACCCACCCCACGGAGATGCCATACATCATCGTGGCTAAGTTAGCTGCAATGATTGAAAGGATTGAGATACGTTTCAGGCCATTTCGCCTCGCGCACGATAAAATCCACATGGGCGACGCGCGCGAAAGGGTGGGTGGGTGGCGAGTGCGTAGAAATGACTATATTATTACCACTCGATGCCGCTATAAACTGACGAGCTTTTCCACCCAGAGTCATTTTGCCACCCCCTCTTTAAACTGTGTACTGATGTGCTGAAGTCTCTCCTTCCCAAGAGATCCTCCGTGTTGGGTGAATATCGCGAGACGACTAAATCTCCCCGGCTCTGTCGCGTGAGAGTAGTTCACTCTGGTCAGGTTCCCTCACCATCTCCATCCCACCACAGACACGGCTGAGAAAATTATTACCCTTTTTTCTGCCTCTCTCTCTCCATGTGTTAAGGCGAACTGATAAAGGAGCTGACACAGTGTTTGCGTCCATCGAGACTCCGAAGAGATACAGATATAACCATAGAGAGCACTCAATCGCCGAGCAAAAATTCTATCATTACCATCTTTTATTGCACAATGGCGTACATACATATCTAGTCTAGTGATTCTCACTCCCTCTCCGGCAATATAAATCTATATTGCCAACCTTTATTGGGGAGATTACACTTGCTATTCACGGTTCCAAAGCCAAACAATTGCTCGCCGTCTTATTCCTGAAACACTCTCCACACGCCTCGCGCTTTTGCATGTGCATCTCACGTGGATTAAGCAAAGATGTGCCCAAGAATGGCGCAAGAGTTCACTCTAGAGAGGCTCTAGAGTAGATTTTATAGCGAAATTTTGGTGTGAATTTCCTGGATTTCGACCAGGAACAATTCCTCCGCAATCTATATTAAGTGATAATCACTATAAGTGTCTTATCATAAGAGCCGAAATTATAGTGATATTGCGACTTTCAATTGTTATAGTAGCGATAATTACTGGAAGGTTAAATGTTTGCCAATCTGCATATCTTGTAATAACTATGCCATTATCACTTCACTTCCTTTTTTCCTGTCCTTCAAGTTTCTGTGGCTTCATTAGAGATAACAACACCTCACCAGGAGGTAATTCGACAAGATGATAACACTATCCAGAGAAGTTTCAAGTGTTCATTGAGTTTGACAGAGCCACAGTCCTTCTATAGTCATGTCAAATATTGATATTTCATAGTGAAATTTTACTCTTGAGTTAATCATCTCACCTCAATTCCATCAAATCCATTGAGAAAAGCAGGATTCACAGCCAAACAAAAAAAAAACTGTATTTCGCCCAATGGTCCGAAAAAACGCCAATGAATTCTTTTCCGCCTCGCAACAGCAGAAATCACAATGGAATTAAAACATTTTAATAGGTCGTATTTTCTCCTTTCATTTAATGTTCATTTACATTTAGTTTGCAAATTGAGTTCTTATCATGTTTTCTGTCACTGATATTCTTTGTCATCATCATTTAAGACATTTTATTTTACGATAACATCAAATACGAAGATTGCCTTTAATTTTCATTTTTTATACTTGTATTTTTTTTTAATGTAATATTCAACAAATTTATGTCGATATTCTCCATCTTTGCCTTTTGCTTTCATTTTATCAATTAGTTCACACTTTTTTCTTCCATCTATATTCCTATCGCCACAGTTAAATGGAGATAAAATCTTTATAAAGAATTCTTACATGTCAATATACTTGTTTTTCTTTTCCATAGTAAATTCATCATGTATTTCTCCGTTTTTCCCAATTTCTTTTATTTTTTCTTGCAAAGTGTGATTTGTCTGTAAAATTTTGGGAAATAAAATCACTCGCAAATGAATTGCTCTTGATTTATCAAAAAGAAAAATATAATTTATTAGGATATCATTATTATTGTGTTAAAATTTTCAGAGAATTTCCCATTTGAAATAGTTGATTTGCTTTTTATTCCTATGCACATTTATCTTAAATAAATCAGTGTTTTCTCTTTTCTCTCTTCACTTCACCAGAATCCATGATATTTTCTATTTTCTCACTTTCTTTTTTCTTTACCTTACAATGTGAATCAATTTCATTGAATACTATCCCATACTTTTTTTTATTGGCTAATCATTAAATCATTTCGAAGATCAATTCAACAGCAAAATATAAAGCTCTGTCACACTCGAAATGGATCTTACAAAGAATTGAAATGTGACCATAAATTCCACTCTCAATCTCCACTCTATAGTAAGTAAAAACATCTTTTTCTTCTTTTTAAATAAATTCAGTCCTTTGATTTACCTCGTTCTCGTCTTTTTTTACTAATAATTTAAGAAATAATTTAATTTTAATAGTAACTTATAATGCATTCAGAAATATCTCTCTCTCTCTCTCTCTATCTTATGCCTTTCATTTCTATAGACTACATTGAAACATTTAATATTAATATCTTTATGTACACATAAGAGAAATCATCAATATTCTACTGGATTTGCCGCCAATCTCTGGCTTCTAATGTCTTACATTCTCATTTGCTTTTCTTTATACACTGTGTGGATTGTATGCATTGCATCTCTGTGCACAGAACTCGCTGGTGGTGAGTTAGAAGGAGTCTCCCACGAACCACGGGTGCACCCATGGCGCCGACGGTGGGGGTGTTGGGGGATAGATTGTGGGCGATGGAAGGGCACACGAGCGTGCCGCCCCGGTGTCGTGAACAGATCCGGCCACATTTGGCACTTGGAGGTGATAGGAATTGCTTCCCACGCCACCCGCACCGCTGGACACACCACCGCCCGATGCGCCCGCACCGGCCGGGAAGTGCGACGCCGCGGCGGCCACAGCCGCCGCATAAATCGCACTCTGCTGATGCTGCTGCATCTGCTGCTGGTGGTCATTCAGCGATGAGAATGGGGACGGTGGCGGAATGTACGACGAGCCTCTGTTCACTGACGATGCAACTGTTTCCGTATTCGGGTAGCCCATGGCATTGTAGCCGGCCGCGACGGCCAGCGCCGATGGTGAGTAGTAATCGAGCTTCTCATTCTGATAGCGACACGCCGAGTACTGCTTCTTACCACCGTGATGGTAGTTACTCGGCGGCACTGGCGGCGATGGAAATTGTGTCAATTGCGCGAGATTGTGCGCCTTCTCGGCCGTCTCCAGTGCCAGACTTGTTCTCACACTTGGGTACTGGGTCGAGAAGTCTGACAGGATATTCCTCCACGAATTCTCACTTCCGCCACTCTCGCTCGCACCTCGATTGCCACCAACACTACTGGCACTGGTGCCACTGCTGCTGCCATTATTATTGTCATTGCTACTGCTGATATTTGTGTGATTTTCCCCGGAAACAATTGCATTCTGGGGGCTTGGAGCTACCCCCCACCCCGTCTCCTAGCTGATCCTCGCCCGCTTGTGCGCAGGCTGCTCCTGAGGTTGACTCCGCACCATGTACTTGAGCTGCGGCATGAAGTTCACAATGTCTCGCACCAACACCAGCGCCATGTTCTCCATGCCGTGATGTCCGTACTCCTGGAACACTTTCAATTGACTCCTGGCGAAGGGAGAAAGGACAAATCATACCGTTAGTGCCACAAAGCGACTAATCTTCTTAACTCTAAAGCTCTCTCTCTCTCTCTTTGTGTGTGTGTGAAGACAACGTGGCCTTGAGATTGAATTCATTCCGCAAATTGATCATTTGTGTGTCAAGGATCTTTCGATTTTTTTTTCTCACACTATTTCCACCGAATGTGTGTACTCTCTATACTCAATAATAACAGCCAAATCCCAATTGAACATTCATATCTGTTTCAAAATATTCTTGTGGGAAAAACAAACCATAACATTTTGTAGCAGTACAAAAGGTGTTTTTCTTTTCAGCCATTTAGCAGTCACACACCTGATTGAGACACAGTAAAAAAAACCCTCCGCATGTGCACAGGGCATTTAAATATGTTGTTTGTATTGTTGAACACATTGGAAATATGTATATTGGAGGAAAAGTCATAAATTTGCAATTTCAAGTTATGATTCATCAACCTGTACTTATTTAAATTAGTCTCTAAAAAGCAAATATTTGCTCTGCACATTAAATATTCCCATCAATCATTTATTTCCCACCTTTGGCGTGAATTCACGCTGTATTTATTTATCATGTGGACAAATGAGAGCTAATCTCTCTCTCTCCCTCTCTCTCTCTTCATCCACAGAGAGTGCCAGAGGAGAACTGGATGCTCACCTGTTTCCTTTGTACAACTCCACATTGAGGACATCGAGCACCTTTCGGCAGTTCTCGAGTGTCATGTGGGGAAAGAAAATATCTTTGAGATCTGCCAGCGTCATGAGCAAATCACTGTGCGAGTAGGCTTTCATATTGATGCATGGCACTGTGCAGCCATCAATTTGCGCCTTTTGCATTCTATACGGCACATTCCCATTGTGGGACGCCATCTCGGGTATGGCCGAGAGGCGGGACGCGTCAACCGACGATTGCCTCTGATGCTGCTGCATCGCCGCCACTTGGGCGGCAGCGGCGGCGCTCGTGGCCGACGGCACGCCGCCGTGCATCATACTCTGTGCACTGGCGGCGCTGCTGCAGCGGCCGTTGGTCAGCATTTGCTGACTGCGCTGCTGTTGCTGGTGCAACTGTTGTTGCTGATGCTGCTGTTGCTGGTGGTGGAGTAAACTGGCGGCCGACCTTGGAGGGGAAGACAGATCGATTACATCCGTGGCTGACATAGTTACGCTTTTCGTTTGTCTGTTTGCGAGGGATGCGGCGGGGTTGCTGATGGGATTGGCCGCCGGCGCCATGGACAGCGGATGGTGGGAGAAGGGCGAGGTGGCGCCGGCGACGTGGGACGGCGAGGGGCTGCCATAGGGATCGGGAATGGGGATATTCTGTGGCAAGAACGTCGTTGTCAAGGATTTCAGATTGCGCAATTGCTGCAGCGTGTCGCGAATGCTGCTGAACGCATCAGCGCTATTCGTGCCTGGCATTGGAATCAACGGCGGCGGGGGATGCTTTGTCTGGCCATTGTTAACCATCGCCGTGGCCATGGCGCTGCTCTGATTCGGCGACGCCCTCGCCGGCGATCCCACCGGCAGATTCGCCGTTGACGTTATGGGCGTTTTCGAGTATATTGCACTCAGAATATTGTTGTCCAGCAGAAAGTCGCTGTTGTTGTTATTGAACGCCGCCGCTGCGCTGTACGACGGCTTGACGCCCGCGCCGCCGCCGCCGCCACTGCCATACGGGCTGCTCTTTGGTGATGACGCCAACGATACGTTCGCCAGCAGATATTCGTGGAGGTGGTTGCTGGACGCGTTGTAGGGTGGTGGAGGAGGCAAGAGGTGGGAAGGAGTGGCAACAGGATTTATCGTCAGACTATTACTAGAGCGTAATGACGGTGGACCAGTAACACAACTAGACCTAGAAACATTATAATGCTTTCGCTGTTTATGGTATAGACGCCAATATCGTATAAAATAATTATAAACAACTTAATATTAACTTTAAAACTAAAAAAAAAATCACTTTAGCCACATAAATGTGAGAAAACTTAACACAAAATGCCAATTAAATCGTTTGAAAATTTATTGCTCAATGTAAAATTAAATTAGCAAAGTAAATCGTGAAACTACTGTTTTTCCACAAAAATTATATAACTTTGTCAGTTTAAAAAATCAAAGATGAGTCATTAAGAAATAAATGAAGTATCTTTTGCGCATTGTTAGTCATGTCTTTAGTTGTTGCATTAGTAATCTCAGGAAATGGTCCGATATTATTATGTATAATTATTATTGAATTAAGAACTTTCGCATGGATGTATTTGAAGTAATCAAACCATCTAATCTCTCTAATCGCACTTTTATTTCACATGCACAGTACTACAATATATTAAAGAAAGGAAGAAAGAAAGAGTTTATTGTAGCACTTTAACTAAAATAATACAATACAGAAAAATTGGATTGAAATGAGTTTAAACTTTTCGCCAATGTAGAGAGAAAAATATCAATTTTTAATAAGCAAAAACTTTCAAACTCCCAAAAATTCGATTCAAGCTCGTATCATAAACAAAAGTTCAATGAAAATATTAAAGTTTGATTCTAATGATTAATACAATAAAAACCATATCACAATCATTTCATTTGTTCGTAAGAAAAGAGAAATGCATAAACGAGAAATTGAGTGACAAAAGAGAAGAAGATTCTTGACAAAATGCCCATATTTTGGAGAGTTTATTGAAGTACATAAGTGTGTCATTAAACCGCAAAACCTCTATTTAAAGAAAAAAACAACAAGTGAGAGATACAAGATTACCCTCAATACTTATATTGTGATACAATTTTTACAGAGAAAAGTCCCTACAAAGCAATGAGATTCTACAGTGATTCGAGGACATGCAAAGTAGCTTTTACATCTTATACATATCTTGCAAATTAAACTAGTCAAATAGGATAGTAACTGAGAGTGACACTTACATGTGGTGACTAGTGGGTGCTTGCTGTGCTCCTCTAATGAGGGGCGGCGGCACCTGATTTGCGGTTGAGGTGAGACCAGTCATTGCAGACATCGCTGTCGCAACAGGAGGAAAGTTCACGTTGTAGGGTTGGCGTTGCATGATATTCTGAACCTGGGATCTCGTTGTTGGATATCCCCTTTGCGACTGCACCTGCTGCTGTAGAGGAAACATCCATTAGTGCATCCCTTAGCAACACACACACACACACACACGCGCGGAGACGAGAGGACTTCGTCTGTGATACTTACTTGAGCGGCCTGAGCCATTCGCAGCATCTGTTCCTGCCCTGGCGTGAGATTGAGTCCTGACACACCGGCCAAATTGGGCCACACATTGGACACCACCGGATTATTGGTGTTGCCCATCTGTCCGGGTAGTCGCTGTTGCATGTTCACTTGCTGCTGCATGGCGGCGGCATTTCCGTACGACACCGCCGACGCGGCTTGCTTCCGCGCCGGAGCAGATTTGGCTTGAGCAGTGGCTGCTGACTTGGGCGGTGGGGCTGATGGTTGGCGTGTCCAGTGAACGGAACTGTTGGCATTTGACTTCTGCACGAGCAATTGGGTGTCCACCACCTTGCTGGGCCAGTAATCCTCAAACTGCGTGCCAGGTGGGAAGTAGCTCTTGATGTCCGTCAAACTGATCACCGCGACTTTATCGCTGGCGAACAGCTCATTGCGAATCCCCTGAACTTTGCAGCAGAACTTCAAGTAGGAAAGATCCCAGCCGGAAAGATTATCGGCTTTCAACTTGAGATTCTCCGTCTCACCCTCGAAATAGAACAATGGAACAAACTTTTGCCCATCACGAACCTGTGTGCAAGTGAGGAGAGTGTGAGAGAGAGAGAAAGAAATATAAATCAGCGCACATAAAATCACAGCAATAAAAGAAGCTTTTCTTGTAAAAGTAAACTGAGAAGTGTGTGGTGGGTGAAAACACCCACATTTTACTCAATTACTTCTGCAAGAAGAAATACAGAGAAAAGCTATAGAAGCTAAGGGAAAAATTGTGTTTAACTCACAGTGTATGGAACAACAGATTCCTTATTAATCCTAATAAATCCACACTTCTCCGACTGTCCCTGATTGTTGTTGCCCATGAGGAGCTTCTTGTAGCACACATCGAGGAATGTCCAGAACTTGCTGACATCAGACAGCCGCACCACCAGATCCTTCACCGTGAACATGTCCCGGCCATAGTGGGACTCACTGTGCTTGTGATTAATCTCATTTAGGAGTCGCCCCTCGGCCTCCGTGATGTAGTAACTGCGGACGCATGTGCAACTGTAGATGTCATGGTGGAGATAGTTGAGATACTTGTTGAGGAGTTTGCTCTCCACAATACGCACAGCGCAGTACTTTTCGCCCGATCTCAGGATGTATGGGATGTAGATGGACTTATTGAACGTGTGCCACCCAAAGTGGCCCTTCTGGCTCTCCTCATCGCACGCCTTCTTCTCACCATCGGGACTCGCGGACGCCGTCGAGTCCCCATTCGCTTGCTTCCCATTGGCATATGAGCCACCGTTTGTCGTCGCGACGGCTGCCGTCGCCGGTGTGCTCGCTGGAACAATTGATGCACTACTTGTTCCGGCTGCGTGTAATGACGATGACCCTTGTTGTGAGGATTTTCTTTGAAAGTAACTTAATATGTTGGTCTGACCTGTGCTATTGATCACATTCACAGAACGCATTTGCTGTTGCATTGCTTGCTGTTGAGCCGCTTTGGTCATTTGCGCCTTGTGGCTCTCCATCATTTTGGCAGCCAACTCCAAAATCTCCGCTTCGTCGTGTCTCTCTTGCTTCACGCTAAAAAGCTGTCGGTTGGTATCTGGCGGGCCTCCTGCTACAGACGATGTTGACGGCATGGACATTGGAGGTGCTGTTGTTGTTGCTGCTGCTGGAATTACATTTACAACCAGTCACTTCAAAAGTTCACCTCCAACATTTCATCTACTATATCTATCTTATACACTACACATCATGAAGAGAGAGAGGGACTACAATGCTCCTTTTATCGCTCTCGCTCGTTCTCTTTCACTCCGTGATCATAAAAAACCGAAAATGTACATAGCGAGTATATAGGAGAGCTTATGTGCACACTCACACTGTCATGGGTAGAAAACAACACTATGTAAATAGAGTTTTCTCCCCTTTCGAGCACTACCCAAACCTCCTTCTTCTTCAGCTCCCGACAATAGCCTCTGCGCCCTTCTCTATCACTCGCTGATAACTCTATCCTCCTGATCCGCCTAAATTAAGTCTTTTATGCAAGGAGGACACTCTCTTGTTATTAAATGTGCTTCTCAACTACACTATTGCCCACAAGTGTAGACTCACGAGCTTTCAACCAAACTATATACACATTCAACTACTTCAGCGGGGAACACACAAACAAGCAAAAAAATGAGGTCTTTGAATCCACATAATTCTTCTTCAACTCAAGAAAACATCCATTACTTTGACATCCTCAACAGCAAAAAGCATAAAACTCTCCAAAAGTATCTCCGCGAAATGCGCAAAACTAAGAAAAGCAACTTGAGAGCAAAAAAAAACAACTTGTGCATCCGCGGATCTATAAATGTTCACGGTAGTGTAATTTATGAAAAGTATGCGACTACAGAGCCACCATGTCGAAAGCGGACGCCCAGATAAATAGTAGTATTCTCCATCGTGGTAGTCAATGGCTTCATGTGATTTTTCTCCCCCTTTCAGCCCCAAGGCAGCGCCCCAACATGCAAATGCTGCTGCCCCAGGGTGTCCACGGACAGCCAACAACACACTCAAGCATGCAAAGTCTCACGGGGAAGGGCTACCGAGGGGGATACATTGAGGGTCACTTGTGCAGCAGAGTCTCTCTTTGGGTGATTTGGTAGTGATTTTGAGTCACGAATTGGGGCCTGTTTTCACGTTCTCACATGCACACACAATAGAGGGAAATTGCGAGTGTTTCATATTGACCTGTTTCTGAAGGAACTCAAGCCCAGCTCTTCAGATTCTGCGACGGTAAATGCCACCAACATAAATTTGCGATAATTCCATCAAATTTGTCTAATTGTCTGCCTTGCAGAAGGTGGTGTCATTTGATGTCATAGATACAGCACTGAGACACATCAACAATTGAGAAATTTTCATCAATCTCTCCCCCTCACACTTCACTTGCACTGTCGCCGCAAGCCCGTCGCCTCCCGTGCCTCGTCTCACTCACGAACAACACACTCTCGCGTGACTCACTACTGCGTGGGCCCAGTGCGATTCACGAGCCGTGGTAGCAGCGCCTCAAAAAGTACTGGGGAAAAAGAGAGGAAAGTTCACAGAGAGAACCGTGTTTGATAGCCTCCAAATTCAAATAGACAGCAGCAGCTCCGAAGGAAATATCCCAACCACACACAAATTGTAGCCTCGACGCGGGCTCCGCTTTAGTGCACCATTCCCATTTTCCTCTGGCCGCGATGTGACTCACTCACACTCGCATGTGTTCGCTGGCCGGACCGCTGTGTGAGTGGATGAGATTCGTGTGTGAACCGCTCGCCACCCCCCCTCGCCCCGTCCAGAGTCGCTCCGCTCTGGCTATGTACAGGCGTTTTCGGCTCGGCGCTGCTGCTCTCTCTCACCGCCGCTTCCCGATGCTCTTTCTCTTGCTGCCATTTCACAACACACTGCAGGTACGCACACACGCCCGTGCACTCCACGCCACTTGCACGCCCGTGTACGTACACGCGACAATCAAAATGGCTGTCCCGTTTGTGCGGTGGACCAGCCAATCGGCGGACGGCAGTAGGATTGAAAAAAAGCTACGCAATCGTTTCAAAGTTAAGACGTTGTGTGTGGCCTCGCCAGAGACTACCACATTTCGTGGAGTCTCTGTTTTTTTCCTCCCATCCACACTATTCTCACACTCGCGCGCTTCTTTCATTTCATCGCATCTTTTCCGAAATTTCATGCACGCACCAATCTTTTAATTTACATGCATCCCTCCATATGAAAGCCAATCACACGCCTGAGATTTTTTTCTCTGTTGAAATTTTCACATTGGAAATTCCCTCTCAGTGTTTTGATTGATATTTCAATGCATTTTGCAAAATGAGGTGTTGAAATCTAGCAGCGATTTTTTTTTACCATTATACAGAATTCTCAATTCGACGGCTTTGGTGAAATTAACTCGCGCACACCAATTTTTTATTCAGCTCTCCTCTCTCGCTCGCCCCGCCGCTCGAGCACTAAACTGGGGCCTGCTGCGATTTTTTCTGTCGCTTGCAACGAATATTTCAGCTCTCTTGGGCGCTGCAATATTTCTCTCCGTGCCACTTTAAGCCGCCGCACTTCTTCCAGCGCATTTTCCAAGGGCCTCGCGTGAAAAGTTTAAGCTCGGCGGATATTGTTGGTGTGGAGGAAAAAAAAATAGAAGGGAAAAGAGATACAAATGATGGCATATTCTATAAGTAAAGTCTCCAAGGTTATTTTCGAGGAGAGGCAGCTTAGGCTTTACATTTCTATAGCTTCGCTCTTATATATGTGCCTCGGCGCGCTGTGTTTATACATGCCAAAATGCGAGATTGCACTTAACCGGGGCCCGCTTGTAGCCTCAAGAAAAACGATGACAGCGCGTATGCTCTCTCTTTTTCGAGGGAGAAAGAAGTAAATAGAGAAAAAAAACACAATTGGAGGTTAAGCGTGTACAAAGTGTGCGTGAAGACCGAAATGATCGTCAATACAAGGACAATATGCTTCTACATAGGCATTCATTATCGTAAAAATGTATAAACCATTTTTTTCCATTCCATTGTTTGATCAAAGTTCACTTCTACAAGAGCTTATGTACATGTGGGATTAGTATTTGAGATTTAAATCTACTCTGGGCTGAGAGCACTTTGATTGGCTACATTTCATATATTCCCAAAAAATTTGCGAGGCTCGTAAATCCGAGCCAAGTAATAAAATGTGTGCCAAATTACTACCGCGATGTCTTTTGCCTCTCGCTCTCTCTCTCTCTCTCTTTCCCTCTCTGTCACTCGCTGTCCGCCTCCACTCACTTCCTCTCCCATCGGAGCCTACTACACACATCGTTGCTATGTTGCGAGAGGCGCGCAAAAAAGAGCTCGATCAGAAGCTCTGCGAGAGGGTGCAAATGGGGCGGAATTGTGCATTTGGCGAGAAACCCAATACGACGCTTTTCTCGCTCGAAGCGTCTCCATTTCGTGAAATGGCAGGAGATAATTCGATGTTACACTTCTTCCTGTTACTACACAGCATTGGGAGTTTCTAAACACGAAAATTTTGCACATGTGTACGAAATGCACGTACAGGGAGTTGCAATAGTGTTCGTTCGGTGGAACAAGCTCCTCTAAAATGAAACATGAAATCGATAAAACATACCATTAAAGTATGGCACAGTATGTGTATGTAACGTGCTATCGAATTTTCTCTCTATGTTCCCCTGTGTAACATGTGTACATAGGAGCATGTACATAGTCAAATAGCTATCTACATTATATTTTTAACTGTAATCCAAAATACATATCTCGCCCATTGGCCATCAAAATGAATTGCTTCTGCCAGAAATTAATGTCCAAAAGTCTTGCCTTCTCAATTCGCGGTGTAATTACAGAAGAAGAAGAAAAATAACGGATATCATCTCAATTCTGCTCTCAAGCTGCGACCGAGGGAAAATTGCAATTTGTGTGCGCGCGAGAACTGTGAGAACGCCGTGGAAAGCTTGAGAAATAAAAAGTAACTTTTCGCAAAGTTACTTCAACATCTCGCGCCCAGCGAATGTGTAGAAGAGCGAGATAGTCTCGTGAGAGGCTCCTTTGCACCCATATAGTTTGCTAGGTCGACTCGGGGGTTCGCTGTGTGCCGATGACGTTGTAATGTCGACTACACCGACCGAAAAAGCCAATGCTGAATGTGTAGCCGAAAGAAATGTCCCCATTATCTCTTCAATGCTGCCTTTTGTATCAATCAATTCGTTTTGGGAAAATATAATCTCACTCATCGATACATAAGTGTACATATGTGCACATATGTAATGTACTTTGCAGAAGCTCTCAATACACACACACACACAGAATTCTTTTTATAATCTTGGATTACCAAGAGAACGAGCATTTATGATCGCCCTGACTCCAGCAGAGTAATATTGTATGGTGAAGATTATTACAGCGATAGTGCTGCGAAGGAAGCATTCGAAGTTTGGAAGTTTTTTCCTGTTTACAAAATATCTTTTGAGCACACATTATCAGACAAAGTCTTATGAACAACCTAGAAAAAAAACATTGCAAAAATGTTGAGCAGTTTAGTAATTATATTGTCTATTCCACCTCTGCTATATTTTTTTTTCTTTATCTCTAAGCACAATCAATTTTATGAGAATTCAATTTGATTTCATTACTTGTAAATATGTGGCAAATTACAAAACATAATAGATTTTCACTTTTGCGAGCACTGTGCGAATTCTTCTACACTTTGCACACAAAAAGCTTATCATGTCAACGACATCTTCACCCAATATTCCGCTGTGTGCTCAAAAACAAATTCATCTCAATCATGGCTAAGTTGGCTGAGTTGCTATTTCTCCGCGGAAAAAGGAGTTTTGGGAAGGGATTACAAGACATTTGATAAAAATAACTTTTTTTTGCATAAACACTGTTAGAAATACAAACTTTCGAGCACATTCGAAAGATGTTTATTTTTCGAAATTGCTGGTGGCGCTGTAATTTTTTCGTCTTGCAGTTAAGTTCAGTTGATTGCTTGCTGCTGCATGGGAAAAAGTGTATTTCGTGGTGTTTTTACTGTAAAATCTTAGGGAAGGAGCTCCCTTGATCCTATTTTGGCACCTAAAGTTGATCCATCTGGAGGGTGATTTGCGAAAAGTAAGTGGAAAGTGTGTTTGGGATGTGAAATGAAAAGTTCAAGGAAAAATGCGTCATTGAAGTTATAGTAGGAAGAAAAGGTGGAAAAGTAGATCATTCTCGGGACAAAGAAATGCCTCAATTGCTCAAGTATTTTCAATCTCCTTCTCCTAAATCTGCAGTATTTGCTGGTGGCGTTGATAAAGGAAGTGGGGCATCGCGTGGAAAATTTCTGCTTTGATGAGATATCCAAACAAATGATGGAGGAATCTTTGCATGAACTTTTGTCTAGCGTCACGTCCGTCAGTCTGCGAAATTGTATTGTGACGTCAGACGATGGAGAAAATTCTCTAATTTTTCACCTTTCTTCAAAACAATAAGGTTAAAAGCAAAGTGGAGCAGTGAGAGAGCGAATTGAAGCAAGTAAATTGGCATGTGTTCAGGGTGGAAATGGCAGAGCTTTTGGGAAAATGTGCAAGATTGCATGAGGCCTTGATGCTTTTCTTACCTGTTTCTCCTTTTATTGCAGATTACGGTCCTCTGCGGCATACGATTTACCTGAGATGGACTCAGACGAGGAATCCTTCGACAATGAAAATGTCGATTCTGGGAATGTGTCCAGTGGCGATGATGACTTTGCCATGGAGGTGGACATGAATAGCTCTAAGGATAGGCAATCGGAGCAGGAGGAATACCCTTATGAGGTGCTGACGACCGAGGAGATTGTGCAGCACATGGTGGACTGCATCCGGGACGTGAATACGGTGGTGGAGGTGAGCAGAATGTGCGCCGTGAGAAGCGCGCCAGAGAAGGAATTTCATTGTGTTTCTGTGACAGATTCCCGGAACGACGACGCGCATTCTCCTGAATCACTTCAAGTGGGACAAGGAGAAGCTGATGGAGCGATTCTATGATGGGGACCAGGAGAAGTTCTTCCGCGATGCCCATGTAATAAATCCATTCAACAAGCCCAACACAATCAACAAGCCAAAGGTGAAGCGATCCGGAACTGAGGAGTGCGAAGTGTGTTTCTCACAATTTCCACCAAGTGTGAGTATATGCTGTCCCATAAATTCCTTGAGAAATCAGTGCCTTACGCAATTCATTGGCTGTTGTGCTGTTTTTTTTCGGCAGATGATGACAGGCTTGGAGTGCGGCCACCGATTCTGCACGACTTGCTGGAGCGAATACTTGACCACAAAGATCATGGAGGAGGGATTGGGGCAGTCGATCGCTTGTGCGGCGCATGGTTGTGATATTTTGGTTGACGATGAAACTGTTATGCGACTTGTGGCGGATTCACGTGTGAAACTGAAGTATCAACACCTGATAACAAATAGTTTTGTCGAGGTGAGAAAAAAAGGCGCGACGACGATTATTGAGGCGCAGAAGAGAAGCTCGCTCTCTCTCTAATGCCAATTATTTGTCTCATCCACAGTGCAATCGTCTTCTTCGCTGGTGTCCATCTGCCGACTGCACGTATGCCATTAAAGTGAACTATGTCGATCCGCGACCAGTTTGCTGCAAGTGCAAGCATGTCTTCTGTTTCGAGTGTGGCGAGAATTGGCATGATCCAGTTCAGTGTCGTCTGCTGAAGAAGTGGATCAAGAAGTGCGACGATGACTCGGAGACGTCCAATTGGATTGCGGCGAACACGAAGGAGTGTCCAAAATGCAATGTGACGATCGAAAAGGACGGCGGCTGCAATCATATGATATGTAAGAACCAGAACTGCAAGCACGATTTTTGCTGGGTGTGCCTGGGGTCCTGGGAGCCGCACGGATCGTCCTGGTACAACTGCAACAGGTATGACGAGGATGAGGCGCGTGCAGCTCGCGATGCTCAGGAGAAGCTGCGATCATCGCTTGCCAGATATCTGCACTACTACAATCGATACATGAATCACATGCAGTCGCTGAAGTTCGAGAACAAACTCTACGCCAGTGTCAAGGCGAAGATGGAGGAGATGCAGCAGCACAACATGTCGTGGATCGAGGTGGGTTTTTTGGAATGCAATCAATGCTGCTGGAAGTCTGCTAAGTGTGTAAAATGCGTGTCATTTTTGCCCTTCTGCAGGTTCAGTTCTTGAAGAAAGCCGTGGACATTCTGTGTCAATGCCGACAGACGTTGATGTACACTTATGTGTTTGCGTACTACTTACGAAAGAACAATCAATCCCAAATATTCGAGGAGAATCAAAAGGACCTGGAAACTGCCACAGAGAAGTTGTCCGAGTATTTAGAGCGTGATATAACGTCGGAAAATTTAGCTGATATAAAACAAAAAGTTCAGGACAAGTATCGGTGAGTAAGAAGCAATTAATTTTTGACTGATTGATTGACTTTTTCCATCCTTCATTGTAGATATTGCGAAAAGCGACGCAAAGTGCTTCTGGATCATGTTCACGAAGGATACGAGAAGGATTGGTGGGACTACACAGATTGATTTTGTTAAATTCGTGAGTAAGTGAAAGAGAGAGAGAGAGAGATATTCAGCGTAAAATTTGCTAGTGAAATTCTAATGTTTCCAAATGATATGAAGAGAAAATTTTGGAGGAGAGAAATTCTGTATAAAAAAAATACCATTTAACTCTCTTTTATTAGATTGTGCCGTAATAAGTAAAGGATAAAAGAAGAAAAAAATTGAACCAATAACATTAGACGAGTAATGCAGAAATAGGAGTAAAATGCTTCTATATTTTCAGATTTTAGGGATATTTAAAAAAGTTATCAGTTTCAAAGTTTGTAAAATTCTAATCACAAGTATTTGCCCTCAATTTAGAGATACGTTTTTTTCCTGTCCAAACAACATCAAGAACTTTTCTCACACCAAAATTCTTCAGCTTTATAAAATATAAAGGATGAGCGCATAAAGGATGAGAATGAAAAGAGATAATATTGAATCGTTATATATTATTGTTTAATAGAGAAAAGAGTCCTGAACTAAGAATGAAAATAAAAAGAAAATATAAATGAGTGATATAAGCTAAAGTGTTAATGTAGAATGTTTTTTGCCCTACTTTTTTTATTATTATTATTATGAAATTACTTGTATTCACTCAATGGAACAAATCGTTATAATAATTAATCCAGAGAATAGTTCGGTATGTCTTCTATTGCAATTTACACCATGGTTTACGCAATTTCGATTTGATTTAAATGACATTTTAGTGAGACAGCGAGAACCGAAGTGCGCGGACATGAACAATAAAGAGGTATGAAAATGCCATAGGATCTGTTTTTAAAGTGTGAAAATATGCATCACGTAATATTCCTTTCGCAAATCTTGATCTTCGGTTGTTTGTGGCGAACGTCTTTCGTCAAATAGCAGCAGAACATTATAAATAAATTATAAATAGACATGATTAGGAGACAGGTGAGCTGGCGATGGACACTATTGATGCGGTTGACGACTGGTGAATAAGGATCGGAATGCTGTCATGATGTTGAAATTTATTGAGAGGATGCGAAGTGGGAGAAATTTTAAGCAAAATTATTGCATTGAATGTAACCAAACAGAAGATGATTAGATGAGAGATTTAAACTTATTTAAAAGCTAATATTTGTGTATTAAATTAGAAATAACAATACACGGTTTATTTTTCAACAAAATCCACCACAGAGTTTCATTTTTGAGTCCACTTTGAAGGAGTTTTAAAGGGATAGATAAGACGATGCTTCAGATAATCCAATCCATCCAATCCATTAGTGTTTATCTGTAAAGGCTTGAATGAAATTTGATGAATGAATTTATAGTGTCCGTTACGTTTCGATTTCCGCCACAACCTCACTTTTTGATCAGCTGATGATGATGACGATAGTTTTGCCGCGAAATGCAAGTGACGGCTGTGGAGGATTTTCACGGTGTTTATCTGCTGGTCAGTCGCAGTGAGAATCGCAGTTTCTGCGGGAGAACCTATGTGGGCTACACAGTGGATCCTAACAGACGGATATCGCAGCATAACAGAGGGAAGGATGGCGGAGGAGCCAAGAGGACGAACGCCAGAGGTCCGTGGCAGATGGTGCTCATTGTTCACGGCTTTCCCAACAGTCTCTCGGCTCTGAGGGTGAGAAGATTGTTCCTGAAGCCATCCAGGATCGCATCTGAGTCTCTGTTTTTGCAGTTCGAGTGGGCTTGGCAGAAGCCGGAAATCTCGCGACGCCTGAAAAACATTCCCGGATTGGGTAAGAAGTCCTCGCTGCGGCGCTTCGACTTGCAATTCCGTATTCTCACAGAAATGCTACGGATTGGCCCCTGGAGTCGATTACCGCTGGTGATACGATGGCTGGCTGATGATTTCGTCCGTGACTTTCCGGCAAGTGAACAATCTCTTGACATCAACAGCTGTAATTGCCACGCTCTTCTCTCTTCTCTTCTCTTCTCCGGCACAGCCAGAAAAGATGCCACCAGTTCACATGGAGATCTGCTTTGGGCGCGTGAAGCGGAAGAAGAAACCCGAAAAGGCAGCGGAGGAGCACCCGGATGATGGCCCTTCGTGCAGCCTCTGCGCGAGTCGCATTGGGAATCCGTGCCAATCTCTCTTGACCTGCATTAATCCAAGATGTACTCTCCAGTGCCACATTATTTGTCTGGCGCGAGTGTGCATCACGGAGGCCAATCAATACATTCCAACGGAAGGTGATTGTCCCATTTGCTTCACCCACTTTCTGTGGGGCGATCTGATAAGGAAGAAGAATGGGTGCAGCGATCTCGTGCCCACGAGTGATGATGCAACCGATATGGAGAATAATAGCCACGATCTGTCCCTTGATTCCACCTCTGATGGAGACTCCGCTGATGACTCTTGATGGGATTCCATTGTCGTTGCGAGCGCGCGAGGAGAGAAAAGAACTATGAAATTTCACATTAATGTGTGACTTTTCTTCGCATGGTGAATTAATGGTCGTTTTTTTGAGCTCCTCCAGTATAACGTTGATTTGACCATTTAGCAAATTATCTCTTTAAACGGTTGTTAATCAGAGATGTAAACCTGTAAAAGATCGCTTAGGAGGAAATCAATTGACGCCTCACGTCCTAAAAGTCAATCACTTGTCGACATACTGGCCAATATTCTACACAATTTGACTATAAGTAATTTTACATACAATCCCACAAAGTGCATGCAAAGAATAGCAATCAAACGTAATTGAGCCGAATAGATAATGAGATTGAATAAAGAAAGTTTGTTTTTCCACTCAAATATTTGCTTAACCAGAAAAGATCTTTAGGCGAAAGTGGCGATTCTAATTGAGTGGAATTATCGTTGATTTAGCATATTGCCTTTATCTCATATTCAAATCGACATAAACACTTATGATTTTACTGGAATTTCTCTCAAAAAGTGCCCTGCAAATGTGTTAACGATTGAATGGCCTTATTTCAAAGTTTAGTTTAGGAATGGTGTTACTCAAGTGTTGACACGGTTTCTAATGCAAATCCTTTTGGCTTCTTCGTGATGCCACGAAGACTTCTTCAATGATGTGCAACCCTCGCCGGCGTGTGTGATGCCTAAGAACACTTTCTCTCCTGCTCTAGATAATTGCAAAATAAAGGGGAAATTAAATTGATTCACACACAAACACAAATGTGAAGAGTATCGTGATCTAGAACTTATGCATTGTTGCACGTGCCACAAAGAATTTTGCAATGAATTTACCGTGTCCGTTGAAATTTATGGTCATTCTCTAATTAGAGTAGAATAGCAATTTCTTGCCTAGTGATTTCCATACTCACACACCTTTTTTTCTTAGGCTCGTGCAGATTAATGTTGAGTGAAGACGGAGGAAAACGCTATGTCTTAAAAAGTTTAACGAGAACAAGCAGGAGCATCTTCTGTCATATTATAAATCCCAACATTCAGCACTTACTAGAAATTGTAGATTTTTCTGCTTGATCTTCATGAAATTGCATTACAAATGAGAGATGGAAATAATCTGAATTATTTGTTGCGCTAGCGCACAGCAGCAAAACAACTCTTTCTCCTCTCTCTCTGTCTTGTGGATGCCAAAACGATGAAGGTGAAAATGATGATTTTTCATGTACAGCTAAGCAAGAATTTTAGCAAAAGTTCTTTTTTCTCTCTGCGCGCCATAACATATGGGCATTTTATATGGCAGATTTGCATCTGTTATATGGAGAATGAACTTTTAATCAGCGAGAGAAAGAGGTTCATCAACCGATACATTTGAGTGTCTTTCTCTCATGTTAAATGGAAGTTCTCAATTTTGCCTTAACGCTAATGAGATTGCAAAAGACAGGATGCTGTAAAGCTGAAAGATCTAATTGTTTATTTGGGGTAATTTGCATATCGCCAAGTGTGACCACAGTATATTTATGTATTCCTCTTTACTGTTACCAGTTGCAAAAGAAGGCAACAAGCAGAGGCAACATCCGATAGAATACACACTAAATTATTCAGTAAACTTCGCCATATGAGCAGTGTTAGGCACACAAATCGGCGCGCAGAGAGATAGAGAGGGAAAATCACGTGAAATATCACCGAAAAAAAAATTCCTTTTATCCCCGACGTCACACATGTGAGAAAGACAAATTGAGGCGCACAGAATTTAACTGTAAAATCATTGTTTCGCTCCCAGAACATTGATGGGCATTTTGTTATTGAACACAATTCCTCCAGCAATGCATTGGATATGCTGAAGAAATCTCCATAATATGCGCGCGCGCGAGCGCTATGAGATGCGAACAAAACGCCTATATAGTTTAACATTTCACGGATCAATTTTCCTCACACATCGTCGATTGGGATTCTAATGCGTGTTCTATAACTGTTGTCCGATTCACATTCTGGACTTATGGGTTAGTTGCAGCATTAAAACAGGCCAATTAATTACAAAATAATCTCTAATACGATGTACCTCAACAGAGAACATTATTGCATTGTTACAGAGTAAAGAGAGTTAACAGTGGTGTGTGTGATTTGCGTGATGAATCTGGGGTGGAGAAGTGATGAATCGTCTTCACAGCACATCGAGGAAGCCGCCGCCTTCGTCGTCAAAGTCACCAAAGCCCCCAAAGTCACCGTAGTCGTCATCCTCGGCGCCCGGCGGAACGAATATGCCGCCCAGGAAGCCCGACAGGCGCTCCTCCATCCCGAACGACGACGCAATGCCGTAGATCAGCCTCATGATGACCAGCCGCACGAAGTTCGGCGGCGACGTCTCGCGCAACTGGTACTCCTTGTACTTCTTCCGCGTCCGCCGATTCAGGGACTTCCGGGCATCACACAGCGCCCCGAGGAGCATCACAATCACGAGGCAACACATCACTCTCCTGAGTCCACTCATCTTTCTCATCTGTCTATCGCGAATCTGTCCAAATGCCAACACTCTCTTTGCAGATTATTTATATTATCACTTTCACGTGTTCATAGCGTTCTTCGGGCGCACTGGGATCCGGTTCTTCTTCACCCAGCCACTCTGAGACCTTCCATCACCGTCGAGTGGTGAATATGAAATGAAATTGCGAGTTGCTTGGCTGTTGGATTTCTTGAATTCTCTCTCTCTCCACTCTTCGCTGGATTCCCAGCTTTTTTCGTGCTTTCCTCCAACTTGAGCGCCGTGAATCTTCACTTCCACACCACAACTCCCGTTATGCTCCATTCCCGAGTGGGACACCCGATGTTGACGCTGGTGGTTCAATAGGAATTGCAAGAGCGCCACAACATCGATTAAATCTCGCCTACCTTAAGAAAGAAAAACACTTCATTCCTCATCAGCACGCGAAAACGCGCGACTCTGAAAGTCATTCCCATATTTTTCTCGCATGTTTGGCGAGAGCAAAATATATCCAGAAACAAAACATCATTACAACTAATCAAACAAACAAATCATCAATTCTGCACAGAGAGTTTTGCTGTGGTGAATCTGTGAATTCAAGAAGGGAAATCCCACTTAAAGGTAATTTAATTACTTAATGAGCACCTTTGGGATCCCCGCGAGAGTCCGAGAAAGTCGTGAGATTCTCCACTTGATGCCCAGAGAGACAAGCTCTTTCTTCAGGCGCTGAAAAACGATTTATTCTAAAGAAATTAACTAGCCTGACCTGAAAACACAGTGCCCGTTTTCCTCTCTGAATTTCGCTTTTTCCCCGTCCATTAGCTGTCCGGCCCGACATTCTTACGCATGTGAAAATTTTGGTATTCAACGCTCAATTATAGTCAAATTGTGGACTTCTTCTTCCACTTCTCGGCAGAAAAGAGGTTCAGCAAGACTATTTGTTGACACTCAATGCAAGCTTGCTGGAACTTCGATTTAATCATTTATTATTATTTTCAGTATTTTCACTTTAAATTACTGCTAATTATTATAAATCGATCTAAGCTCTAAACATAAGTACAGTTAATTTTATCTTAACGAAAATCATATATTGAAAAATTCTCATTCAATTGCAATAAATAGCAAAAAATTTTCTACAACTCTTCCACATTTTTCTTCTTTTTCTTCTTTCTGTATAAAAACTAATCAATATCTTTCTCTTCTCCTGTCTAGATACGATATTTCTTTCGCCTATGGCTAATTAACTACGATTACAAAAATTCTATTTACAGTGGTTGGATTTTAACGTGGTTTGAGAAGACATTTCTTTGACAATACGGTTAACCCCTTTGGTACCAACTTTATACAAATTGATTTCTTTCTACGAAGTGTTACACCCAGAAAATCGTATTACAAAAAAAAACCAGAGAATTTCATTTATTATTACAATGCAGTTTGAATTTAAATGCTTCATTCAGCCGAATTTTTCACCTGTTCTTTTTTTCTTCTTCTTTCCCTTCTTTCTCTCTACACAGAAAAATTGATACACTTTTTTTGTGAGTCGTGTGATCCGTTTCACGGACAGAATGCGCCATTCTTGGCTCTCTGGCTTTTTTTTCAATGTGTGATCTTATGGTGTGTTTTGTTCGCGAGGAGGAAAAATTATGTCTTAAGAGCTCTTTCTCTCGTCGTGTGAATTGATTGGAAAATTATGAATTAAAGTTGTAATAATGAAGTCAATGGCATTGTGATGTTTAGAATTGGTGGTGTACTTCATAATTGGCTCGAGAGTGTCTATAAAACCATCAATTTGCATTTAATGCACACTTCTTTCCTCTCATGCTTTTCTGCCCTCCGCGCAACTTTAGTGCTAACGGATTTCTGGACACTGAGTGGATTCTTCGAGTGCATCTCGCAACTCCGGCACTTTCAGCTCCATCAGTCTCGTGAGGACAGACGCAAGAAGTATTTACCATAATTGACAATCTTTTCTTCAATTTCTTCAATTCAATTCTATGCGCTATATTTGAGAGAGAAGAGGTGAAAAACTGTCACAGATGTTATTAGAGGAAAGAGGTATAATTCAATTATTTCTCACTCTATCACACCATATAAATAGGTGAAAATTGTGTCATGTATTAATAACTATTCACATCATTTTCCGCTATGTAAATACACTTTGTCTCTACGCAAAATTACGTGAATTGCGTGGACAATATATATATATGATAAATCCGTTAGAGCGTGACCAAAATCAGTTGGGAGATTGTATTCACGGTACCTTTGCTGGAAGATGTCTCTGTCGCCGCCTTCTCCGCCGCCCAGACGCCGCCGCCGCCGCTTTCGGAGAAGCTCATTGCACCTCTTGTGGGCATCATGTGACCTTCTGTCCCATGCCATTGGCGGCACCGTTCTGGCCGCCCGCCTGGTCGCTCTGACTGGCGGCGCCGTTGCCGATGCTGAGCAATTTGGTTCTTCGGCGCGTGTGATGCTGCCACAGCAGGATGGCCTGGTCGTCGATGAACTTGCAGCACTGCAGATTCACGATCTCGCGCCGGAAGTGCTCGTACTGCAGCAGATCGAGGAAGTAGAGACACATGGGGTATTTCAGGTATCGCGCATACTCAGGCTCCTTCCAATAGAGAAGGTATTTGAGGTAATTGATGAACGATTGATCCTTGAAGTAGCCTCTCTGAGCTAGAACTGCAAAGATAGACAGACAGAGAAGCTGAAGCGTCGCCCTTTTGGGGGGTAATTAAATGCTGCTGTGCTTACAGTGTAGGTAATTGGGATTCGCCAGGCACTGTACAAACTCCAGTTCCACTTGGAATCTCAGTCTCTGTTGGTCCTCCGTTTCAGCAGGTACTGCAAAAGGGTCGCAGAGAGAGGCGAATATCAGTGAAAGAGGCTCAGGAGGCGCGACTGCGATCTCATGCATTTTGTTCTCGTGTTAATCGAAAGGGTGCTCAATGTGTGGATTATGTTTAAAGAATACAAAAAGGCAGAGAGACACATGGTGGAAATGAGGAGATAAAGTGCAAAAATAGGATGTAATAAAAGGTGTTACTTACTCTTACCTTTCCCGACCATTTTAGCCATTGTATGGCAGGGAAAGGATTGCCAGAGAATGCAGTATGTTTTCTTTTATTTACACAAAATTATAACTTGCTCTTGAGTGTAAATAAAAGTATATAAATTAATTGCAGGCTGGTGAATCGTGTGAGGGGTGTGTTTGTGTGTGTGTGGTAAACAATAATGCTCTGATAAGAGGTGGAGAAAATGTGAGATTCCTTTTCTAATATCAAGAATATAAAAAAACGGAGAAGTAAAAGGCGGATATGCGATTGTTTGCTTTTGCAGGATATTCTCCACCCGATCTTTGGCGCTTTGCAGGCAGAGAGGAGGCCAAACATCAATCAGTTATATGGACAATTACACCACATATATGTACAGAAAGTCCAATTGAGCTCATAATTAGAAGCGCACAGCACGATTTGTGACAAAATAAAATCCATCAAGTCTGGAGGAAGAAAGTATGAGAAGACTTTGCCGTCTTGTGCCCAAATACCAATAATTCCTACTCACAGCCAAACGTATTCATCTGAAGCTGTGTCTGAGGGAACTATTAATGCAAGTTTTGGCCAATTTGTGCACCCTTTTCGTCTGTTTTTCAACAAATTTATGCCTTTTTCTCTGCACGCGAAACACGCAGAACAGCAACTTTTTGACAACTGCATTGACGCGCGATGTTTTCGATGTTTTTATCCAAGATTTGTGAGTCGGAGAATTTCGAGTGGCGCCACAAAAGAATGTAAACATTTAATTTACTGCAATGATTGCAATATTCTCAACGATATTTATTGTATGTTGTATATAAATTCTCTGTAAAAAGACTGCAAATTCTCCCTGCACAGCAGGAATAATGGTTTAGAGTGTCCGTTGCGAAATATTTTGCGACTCCTCTTATCCATGGATAAGATGTGTCATAGAAGGTGTGAGTCGAAAACTTCTGTGGCAAATTGAGTGAATATTTTTCACCCAATTTCCTGCATTTTATGGAGTTTTCAGTGCAAGTGGCAAGTGAAATCACATCCCAAGTGTCTGGAGAAGAGGGTGCCAGTGCAGAGTGACCGACAAGTTGGCTGTTAATGCCGAAGGAAGAGTCTCAAGGTGGGGGTCAATAACTTCATGGTGGATGTTTTTGTCCTCGAGACACCCTTTATTTCCCTTTATTGTGTGTTGTGTGATGTTTTCAGCAAAAACTTCAAAATGCACCGCAGAATCTCGAATAATTTCACCTACGTGAGCTCGTGCGTGAAGTACATGATCTTCCTGCTCAACTTCGTGTTCTGGCTGTTCGGGGGCCTCCTGATCGGGGTGGGCTTCTACGCCTTCGTGGACAAGTGGCAGGTGACGGGATGGCTGAAGGTGGACAACTTCTACGACGTCATCCTCAACATCTCGCTGGTGATGATCATTGCTGGCGGGGTGGTGTTCGTGGTGAGTTTCGCTGGCTGCCTGGGGGCGCTGCGCGAGAACACCTGCCTCCTCAAGTTCTACTCCATGTGTCTCCTGATGTTCTTCCTGCTCGAGATGGCCGTGGCCATCGTGGGCTTCGTCTTTCCGCACAACATGAACTCCTTCCTCGAGGACTCCTTCACCGACAAGATCATCACCACGTATCGCGACGATCCGGACCTGCAGAACCTCATCGACTTCGCGCAGCAGGAGTTCAAGTGCTGCGGCCTCAGCAACGCCGGCTACCTGGATTGGGGTAAGAATGAGTACTTCAACTGCTCCTCGCCGAGCGTGGAGCGCTGCGGCGTGCCGTACAGCTGCTGCATCAACGCCACGGACATCTCCTCTGGCCTCGTGAACATCATGTGCGGCTACGGGGCGCAGAACGCCTCCGTGGCGGCGGCCAGCAAGAAGATCTGGACCAGCGGCTGCATCGAGATCGTGCGCGTGTGGGCGGAGAGGAATCTCTACACGATCGCCGGCGTGGCGCTTGGCGCGGCGCTCAGTCAGCTCTTCGTCATCTACCTGGCCAAGACGCTCGAGGGCCAAATCGACCTGCAGAAGAGCCGCTGGTCGTCGTGAGTGGTTATCGGGTGGGGTGGTGGACGCCGCGTTTGAATTACATTTCCGTCTCGACTTCCTGGACAACAAAAAAAAGGCACCACGCGAAAACAATAATTTTAATCATAAATATTCTAATGGTAAATCCTTCCCAGTGAATCTCTCGCGACAGAGATTTTCTTGACTGTGTGAAAAATTGCTCCGATTTACCCATGACAGGTGAGAATTGAGGCATTTATGTTTTTGGCCATAACGAGAAATGAGGCATTTTTTTCGATGAGCACACTCACCTCGAGTGTGAAGTATTGTTTTGTTGATCACAGAAGTGTTACGTGAATAATTTGCTGCCCAATTTAATTGGCGTTCTTCGTTGGAAGCAGAAAAATATGCTCTGTGAGGAAATTGGTATTTCGTATTTAGGAGAGATGTGTAATAGAGGAGTCCCCATCCCCCCCGCTAACTGAATTCATGGCATAAGTGTGAAGTTTTATTATAAATTGCGTAGATTTTTAGTCAGACTACACAATGTATTAAGTAAGTTAAGAATCACATTTTATTCAGAATAAGATTATAAAGAAAGAAAAAAAACGTGAAAGGCGTAGAGAAAACGTGTCCCTGTCGATGAGATTGTGACATCATTTTATGATTATGTGTGAATTTGTGGCTCAATTATCGAGAAGAGGAGAAAATGAGAGAGAGAGAAAGAGATGTTTAACTGTATTATTGGAAGTGACAATTTGACAATGTAACAAAAATATGACTAACAAAATGAGAATAATTGAATTCCATCCAAAGGACCGCAAAATCAAAAGAAACAAGTTGAACAAGAGAAAAAAAAAACTTGATACCAAATGAAACCAAATAATAATACTCACATTTTACTCATGTTTCTATCTATCGACAATAACATGTAATGGTCATTTTCCTTTAGATTTCTTCCGCAATACCAATTTTTTTTCCATTCGCAAATTATTATACTGTCTTTTTTGCTCTTTGACTCGCAAATATGGTGAGAATATTTGTGCCAAAGGCGATAAGTCGCCACACTTTCACTTTTTAAGTCTTTAATCTCTGTTTTTTCCCCCTTTTCGTTCTCTCTTTATGTTGAAAGCGTTCGTCGTATGCATTTTGTTTCTATATTTGCAATATAATTTTTTATATTTGCCATTGCAGCGAAGGTGGCTGAAGAAAAAAAGGGCAGATTAGATGTCAATGAGTGAATATTGTTAGATGAAGAAATGGAACAAAAATTTTGTGATTAACCAATGAATTTGAGAATGTTTTTAGGAGTCCGTGTGAGGGTGAAAGAGTCCTGAGAAAATTGATGAAGTCTCATGCAAAAGAGCTGAAATTATACCTATTAATGGATATTTGATAAATTTACAATTATTCTAAGTGAGAGTAAATACTAGAAATAAATGTTAAGCCATCCGAAGTCTTCCGCCTTTTCCCGCTTGCTCTCAGTGATCGCTTTTCAATTCTTTCGTGTGAAGAAAATCCCTCCATTAGTGCTTGTTGCCTCCGCTAGAGGTCGCGCGCACGCAGTGAGGATTCGTCGATTTCGGCCGCTTCCCATTGTTGCCCGCGCGATGCGATGTTGATGGCATGGCGCTGCCGTCGTGGCTTCTGACATTTTTGCTATTTTTCTGGAGGATAAATAAAATATTTTACGCGGTGCTTTGTGTACAAAATATTGTGGTCTATTGTGGCGGAAAATCGCAAATTGTGCGCTAAATAGTCACTGTGGAGTGCTGACAAGGTGTTGAGCATTGTGGCAATAGTGCGAAAATGGAGATAAAGAATCTCGATTTGGACAAAATCTGTCGTGTTTGTCTCACGGTGAAGAAGGATATGCGCCCCCTTTTCGGCGAAATGGTGGCGGATATGCTGATGGACTTCGCGCGGGTACAGGTAAGGGGGCCCTCGGGGGTGGCGATTGGGGCCGGGAAAGTGGGCTGCGGAGGCTGCGAATGAGGAAATGAATGAGGGATTGGATATGGCGTTTTGGTGGGGGGAGCTCTATTTGGTTGCAATCCCCGCACTGTGTGTCCCAGCTAACTGGGAAAAGCGCGGACTCTCGGGCGCCCTTTCTCATTGCACTTCCTTTCGCGGGGCAGATTGAGAACACCGACGGCTGGCCGGACAAGATATGCGTGCAGTGCGTGCATCAGGTGAGTCGCTGTCATGCGTTCAAGAATCGCGTGGAGAAGTCGGACCAGCAGCTGCGGCAGTACATCAAGGGCATCACGGTGATCGTGGAGGAGGCGCTGCCCAAGGAGATGACCATCACACAGATCGAGCTGCAGCGCGGCGACATACAGCGCGGCGAGGTGCAGTCGCACACGCTCCAGTCGCCGCAGCGGCAGGAGTTCCAGATCGTCAAGTCGTCAGATCTGCACTCCGTGACCGCCAGCGAGGCGCAGCCGCAGCAGATGATCATCACGAATGGCCAGATACACAATGCCCAGCTGCTGAACGCCGCCGGGCAAATCGTCACGTCGCACGGGCAGCCGATGACGGTGCAGACGGGCGCGCAGATCGTGCAGGCTGGCCAGATCATCCACCAGGGCCCCATCGTGGCCGGCAACACGCTGCAGATGATCAACCAGAACGGGCAGACGCAAGTGGTGCAGATTCAGCGGACCAGTGACGATCGCTGCGAGATTATCGTGCAGCCCGAGATGACGGGCGGCGGCGAGACGCACTATTACGAGGATGGCATGAGTAAGAGAAGTGTTTTGTCCTGTACCAAATCCCTGCCGTCTCACACTTCCCTTCCTTTTCAGTCACCATCAGCACACAAGCCATAGAAGCCGAGGATGAGTCACAGATCATCGAGGAGGTGGAGGAGGACGAGGAGGAGCAGCAGGAGACGTACACACTGGCGGTGTCGGATACGGAGGAGCAGGAGGACAAGGAATACCTCGCGGAGTTCATCAGTCTGCAGACATCGTGTCCCACGCCCGGGCGATACGTGTGCAATCTCTGCCGGAAAGAGTTCAGGCACAGCAAGTGGCTCCACACTCACATGAAGCAGCACTCAAATTGGATAAAGGTGAATCCTCTTTCTCCCACTTTTCCCTGTGTCCATCCTAACGGGCTGTCTTGGGCTCGTTGCAGGCCAACTGCAAGAAACAGCCGCAGTGTCAGGTGTGCGGCAGGAGCTTCAAGGGACCCGGCATGCTGAAAATGCACATGAAAACACACGAAGTGGTGAGTTAAAGGGGAGGAGAGGGTGAGTTTTGTCTTCTCTTGCTGAGCTTTGGCGCTCTTTTCGCAGAAACCAGCCGATAAGATACCAACGTGCTCCATCTGCAACAAGGAGTTCAAGTCAAAGACCATCCTGTACAGGCACAGGCAGACGCACTTTGAGGTGAGATGAGAAATTGTACAATAAGGAGTGGACATTATTAACATTTTTTTTCGCTTGGTCATCCAGAAAACCTTCCAATGTGAGCTGTGTACAAAGAGTTTCGTCTCGAATTACCATCTAAAAACACACATGGCCAAACACAACAAATCCGCTGCGGAGAACAAATTGAAATGCTATCCGTGTGATAAAACATTCGCGAGTGCAAGTGAATTAAAGGTAAGTGAATGAAGGGGTGTTTTTTGTGTACTTGGTGGAAAAGTTTCTCTTATGCTACAACACTCTCTCTCTCTCTCTTGTGCGGCTATTTATCTCGGCAGTCTCATGTCCAGCAGCATCTCTCCAACAATGTAAAACTTGAGTAAGCATAGAGTGTAAGAACAAGAACTTGTCATAAGTAATTCAAGCTATAAACTTGTAGAAATGTAATAGCTCTTGGATGTTGTGTGGACGACGTTTCGAGAGGTATTATTGTGTTTTAGGTAAATGAAGAGAATAAGGAGGTGAAGAGTGTTGATATCAAAACAAAAAAAGAAGGGGAAGAAGATGATGAAAAAAAGTGTAGAACTTGCGAGAGAAACATAGTGTTAAGAGAAAATTGTTTAAGCATTGAATCAATGGTTAAGAAGTGACGAGTAAGAATTACACGATCGAGCACCTGATTTGTCAAATTATTATCAAGTTTTTTACATTTTATTACCTATTCTTATGTAATATAGCGAGGAGACATTACAAAAAAAACACACACACAAGAAAAGTGGAAAATCTACAACGGTAATTAGGAATTTTTTTTTGGTTTAACTTCTTGAATGTTGTAGAACTGTCGATTCTCAGAAAGATGATATTTTTGAACGCAGGTATATGAGCAAACTGAGGCCACGCAGGGCGAAAAGCGGCTCAAGCAATAATTGTACAATATTTGACTCCTTATGATAGATGAATGATGATTTTATTTGTCTGATTTTTTTTATCCAATCAAACCTTTGTGTCATATTTGTTTTATGATAATTCTTTAAGAGTGAGAACAGATCATTTTAAGGAGGGGAATTTTAATTGTGAACAAAACTTTGATATTCATATTGAGATGGTGAAGAAATTTATTTTTTAATTTAAATTCTTGCAAAGAATTCACTAAAAGTGCACAATTCAAGTGTTTTATTATTAATTCTCAAATGTGACTGAGAGAAAAGTTTTTCGTAATTCGAAATATTTCGGGAAATATTTCATTTCACTTCTTTTGCATTTATGAATATAATTATTGCGTCATGTGGAAAAAAAGTGTTTGCAATGCGCTATTGTCGAGAAAAAATGTGTTATTTTCAACACTATGCAAATCATGTTTTATTTTTTTTTAATAGGGTTCCTTTTGTGAATGCACTGATAAAAAAAGAGATCCTTTTGACACCCAAAACATATCACTAGAAATTGGATTTACAGCAAAGAGTATTCCAGTGAAGAAAGAAAGCCAGTTGTAGCAAATATAATTTACTGAAGAGCGCGGAATTGGGGATTTGCGAGAGGAACAATGCCGATTTTGGTCCGCTAATAATGAAGGGAGCATGAAAAGTTTGCCACATGCCTGTCTCAACGTTGATTCACAAAGGAGCACAATATTGATCTGTAGACACACAAAAAGAGCAAAGTTTCTTTAAATCTCATTAAAAAGTATCAAATTGGTATATGGAGATGTGGATGGGAAGGAGTGTTGGAGTCTTTATATAGGCGGAGATATAGATATATAAGATACTATAAAGCATAACAGTGACTACACTACATAGAAAGAGAGAGGGACAGAGCGAGAGAGAGAGAGGATAACATTTTAAGTCTTTGTTCATTTGAAAGTTAATGAAGGGACTATAAATTGGATAAGCGGAAAGGAGAGAGAGGAGTACATCTGTATTTCAGCATTGGACGCTGCAAGGATAATTTTGGTCTTTTCATCATGAAATGAGGACACGCGGATATATTGCTTTTGGAGGTACGGTTTGGTTTTTTGCCATGGCAGTATACATAATTACACTTTTTTGTGCAATTTCGAGGACAATTACAAGGGAAAGATGTCACATTGTAAATAGTATGATAATTAAATTATGATGAAGATGATGAGGGAAAATCTGATAAATGTATAGCAAGGAAAAAAGAAAGAGAGATTCTGGCGGAGCATTAATGAGGGTGACACATTGAAGGCTGGAAAAGAGATGGATTGGAATGCGAGGAGAAATTGCTATCTAAATTGTAAAGAATTAAATAATAATAATAATAAATACAAAATAGGTGACAAAATGTAGTAGTAATGACCATCTTTTTAAAAAAAAAATTTATTGATTAACTGATAAATGAAAGGATCCATAAATGCATAAAAATAATATAAATTTCATCAAAAAAAAGCTATCTTTATTCTGCATATAATTAAAAGAAGAAGAAGAGAAGAAACGTGGAAATGATGAAGAGATTGTCTTTTAGTGAATTAGACATGATTTAAATTAATTGAAAATAAATCGTAAATGTTAAATGTGCATAAATGAGAAGAAATTGTGTGTTTGATTTTTGGTGTTTAGGCGAGCGCAAATGGGATTTATTTTAGTCACATTCTTATTGATCTTGTGCTGATTTTCCACCCCCCAGTGGCGCTTGGATGGCGATATATTTTCGACGCTACAAATGGGTGTCGATAAGACACGTGGCAAGACATGTCGTTCATAAAGAATGAGTCCATCAGGTTTGTCAGTGAATCAAGAATTGAGGAATTTCTTTTCTGCCGAAGAGCTTTAAGCCCAGATAAAGGTGGAATTTTCACACTCACACTTCAGTGGCTATTTTTGGCTCAGACCCATTTTCCATGGAAATTCTGCACGCTTATCAATTAATGGCATAGCTGTGTCTGATAGCGCGGCGATGTGGGTTGGCGAAAAGGGTTCCGTTGGGTTACATAGCAATTTATTGGCTGCTTCCTTTCTCACCACAAATGAATGGATGGGAATCCTATCGAGTCACAAGAGTGTTTGCACTCAGGGTGGAAGTATGTTGGCTGGGCAATAATATAATATTGGTTGGTATCGATTTGCGGGCTGTTTTTTCCTTCCCCAAGACAATGGGGGGTTTCCATGGGAGAATGTTGTGTGGAAACACGCAAATAGTAGTGACTTTCCAGCGGCGGGTGGAAAATACTCATGCCCACGCTGCAATAGTGTGGAAAAAATCGAATTTCCCTGTGGCTTTTCACTCACTCCGGCAGAGCCACTCATAGTTTTAGTAGCGCTGCGACTGTTGGATTGAATACCCGGGAATATTCCTTCAGCAGTTCAATTGTCCTGGATGTAATTTACACTGAGCCAGAGGGACATTTTGGCAGGGATTCGCGCGAGGGTTGAGAGTGCGGGGGTGGAAAAGTGAAAAGTCGAGTTTTCCCTCTCTTGGACGATTGTCAAGAAAATTACCATGTGAATGGCTGAGATACGGCTGACGACAGACTGCGTGAAGTTCTTGTGAAAAGTTTTCCTTCAACTCTTGAAATAACAAATGACTGTGACACTGATGGGGATGGAATATAAGGGAAACAGCGAAGATGTCTCTTCAATTGCAATAATTTCTCACAAGTTGTATTTTTAAAACTATTATGTGGATTTCATAGAAACTTTTCCCTTGCCGACTTTCACATTCTCGGGCAGCTTTATTGCATTTTCTGGGCGCACACACACACACACACACAGCGACTGTGGGGAGGAAAGTGTGTGGCAAAAGGGGGAGGGAATAATTCAGAGGAACAGCACAGCATTCGCCACCCCGTGAACAAGAAAAAGGTATCATCGTAAAAGGAGAGAAAGCTGGCGTGAGAGGGTCAATGACAAGTTTAATATATTTTTTGACTCATTGATTTTCATGCCGCTTTCTTTGCGTCCAGTGAAGGGTGTAAAATATACATAGGATTTGTGGGGCGAAGGGAAGGCGCCTCACACCCACTGCGCGACGCCCACGGCGGCTGAAATCACGGCGGACAGTGGTGGAAAAGGAGGGAAAATGCAGCAGCAAGGACAAATGAAGAGTATTGCGGGTGACACGAGACCATTACCGAATAATAAGAGGCCGTACCGGAAGACGAGCGCCGAGATTGTGAGTGAGGCAAAAAGCATTTTAGCAGGAGGCGGAACTGGTGAGTAAAATCATCATTCCATAATTTCATTACTCTCTCTCCGCTTTTTCCCCATTACACTGACTCTCAATTTTCACTCGGGCCTCCGTGAGTGCATGAGGACGTTGCTCCTCGAGCACGATTATAATTATGGTGGAAAAATTATCGCTAGACTTGAAAATGAAGGCAATTTTTAGTCCTCAAAGAAGTTTTCCAACTTGCTTCTTTTCTCTTTGAAGTTATCGACACTTAACGATAGTTATCGATACTAATTGGGTGCAAATTTCCTTCCTAAGATCAATTTCAGGGGAAAAAATAGTTAAAATCAACTTTAAAAGACTAATTAGTCCCTAAACAGCGGGATCCACGTGTAAAGATTGGAAGTCTATCTTGGAGTTTATTAAAGGTCTGATAACTTTTCTCAACTTAGGGTAGTTTTTGAACGGGCGGTTCTTATCTTAAGGCTCATTTGATTTTGCCAGTTTGACCCAACTGAAGGACAAAATTCCAGTTTAAAGGAACATCTCAGGATTGTGTATAGTTTGGCTGATGAAGTTATTCCAAAGGTCAAATGGTTATCGATTCAAAATAGGGGTTAACTCTTTTGGGTATCGTTGGAGATTTCAAGTCAAGATATTTCGTCTACGTGACAAACATTATGACTCTCTTTGCTTTTTTCCTGACAATATTCTCGGCAAATTTAACGTGTTTTCTCAAGCTTTATTGATACGCCAATCGCCTTAGGACAATATTTGATGTTTATATGAGGCATTAAAATTGAAATACAATACCTACAATATCGTTTCGGCTTAAATATTTAGTGTCTCTGCTTGTGTAGTGATTCAGTTGGTGGCATGAAAAATAAAACGTGTCCTTGTCAATGGCTTGTTCACTCCGTCAATCAACTTTAAATGCCACGCCGAATTAAGTATCTCCTTCCGTGATTCAAATGCAGTGCTTCTGAGAAACGAGGATGTATTATTGAAATTCCTTTAAATATAGCTTCTTAATTGCGTGAAAGGAAAGCAATTACGTTCGGAAAATTAACATTAAGTCTTGTATTGAATGCTTATAGATAGCGAAGTGCTTCAAGGATGATCGATTCCCGCTCAATTTCACGCTTCACTCCTTCCGCGTTGAGACAGGTTGAGCCGCGGCGTGTGGGGGAAGGGAGGGGGAATTTTGAAATTTCCGCGGATGAGCGGGAATTGCTGGGCGTCTGCAGAGGCGATGGGAAAAGGCAACGGCCTCATTTGCATGTAGGCAGAGTGTGAATGCGCGTCAGGACGGAGAAAAGGGTGCGCCGGGCGAGTGTGGGAGGCTTTAATATCCCTCCGAAGATGGGAAAAAATAATAGCTCTCGTGGCACTTGAGTGGCAGAATGGAGAGATGCCACCCAATATCCAATTGTGACCATCAGACTACGACACGACGAAAATCCCATTCAATTATAATTTCAAATGAGGCCGGGCCACATTTTTTCGGCACTCGTGAAACATATTTTAATGAAATTTCTCCAGACGACACTTCATTAATAAATAACTTTTTATGGGGCACAGGCTGAGCGATGTCCGGGGCGGAAGAGGGGGCGGCGTGAGTAATTTAATATCGGTGAAATTGGGGTGGGTGGTTGAAAAAATGGGGATAGATTTAATGCATACGTCTGGTAAAAAATGGCATTGAAATTTCGATTTCCGCTTACATTTCATATTCATTTGATTGATGTGGCATTGATAAATTCACCCTCACTCTTGGAGAATATCTTGCTTTAACACGTCGAATTGTAGACATTCATTTCAAGTGAGGGTGGCAAGCAATGAATATACAGAGGGGTTTGTTTTTGTGTGAGTCATCAAAAGTTTGTGCTGATAAAAAGCTTTCTTCGCTATTTGTTTCTTGTGTACCAAATATTTCATCGTGCTTTTGTATTCACACAGAAAATTCACACGTTGTTCTAGCGAAATAAATTCACAGAATATCACGGAGAATAAAGCTAAGCGATTGGTTTAAGTTCCTTTCATGCACAATATAATAAATTTGAGTTCTTTCCCTTGACTTGTTGTTGGAGATAAAGCTCCTTTTGATTGCTTTCATTTTCAAATATTTGCGAAATTTTTCTCTGCCGTTAAGACGGCAAAGCATACAAAGAGGGATTCCAATGAAAAATTGCGAAGAAATTGCAGCTGTGCTGTAAAGGATTCTCCATAAATATTGAATACCGAAAATATTGCTTCATCTGAAACAATAGAGATGAGAAAGTGCAGGAGGAAAAATACTTTCAATATCGCCTTTGGGTGTGAGAAAATTACAATTTTGCACGCTTTATGGCGCACAGGATGAGAGCATAAGTAATTCCTGACGTTGCAATTGATGTCCCTGCGAACACCTGCACATTTTAATTTTCCACCTCGACTATTCAACCTCGCAGGCGCGGAGGATGAGGCGCCTTTGGGGGTGGGAGAAAATCTGAGTCAGCGCCTCATTGAGCTCTTTTCACATGACATCTGATCACTTTTGCAGGCGCTCGATTAGTTGTGACGCGTCGCCCCATAACGCCACGCGAGCCGAGGCCAGGACGACACTTGTACGGACGCGTGGCGCCCGAAGGACGACCGCCCAGCGCCTTCAGCCTGCGCTACCTGCAGTTCGAGAGTCGCGCTCTGCCCTCGCTGGAGCCCATTCCCCAGATCACGCAGTCCTTCGACGATGTGCCCTCGTCGCCAACCCAGAGTGCGGCGGTGCAGAGGAGTGAGTCCACGGGATCCCTACACGGTAGCCTCGAGAGCGCGGAGGACAGCAACAACAATAGTCAGAAGCGAGGAAAATTGCCGGCTCTGCTGCAACCGCCCAAGATTACAGCGTCCCTTGACAATTGTGAGGAAATCAATTCACGAAATTGGCATCGTCAGAAATAGCTGTGATTCCCATTCCAGTGCTGGAGGAGATGCCACCGCGCAAGGATCACCCACTGAGGAAGATGCAGACCAAGTCCTGCGAGGGAAGCTTGCGAGGCGACAAGCCAGTGAAGAATTCCCCGGCTGGGACGCCCCAGCAATCGCATGTGGCGGTCAGGGGGATAAAATTGAATCGTGCCAATGATTTATTGACACAATCCTCCACGGAGACGCTGCTGGAGATGTTGAAAGCTCACACGGGAGTCAAGGAGTGCACAGATGAATCAGTTCAACATATCACAGGGGTAAAAGAGTGTCTTCTGGCCTCTGTTTCCTCCCATTACAATCTATCTTTAGCGGTCGCATCGTGCCGGAGAATTCCCAATTTGGCTCTTATGATTAAATATATATGAAATGGGTGATTTTCTCGTGCGCCACACAGTGCAAATGGCAAATATTTTTGATCCTAACGCCACAGTCACGGATGGCGAAATGTCTGTGAATATTTGATGTGTTTGATTGTCGAAGAAGTCACGTGAATTTTTCCTCACTATCATGAATTTTGCAATTTTTGTCGAGCTATTTTGGGTTGAGCGAGAACATTTCACTCATGAAGAACGATAAATTATGTCGTTATCAATTTTTTACACTATCACATTTTTATTGATGCTAAATCCAAACTTTTCCGACTCAATATTTTCCATTCCCCTCTCAAATAAACATGTTTAATGTTTCTCTACGCTACAATTAATCTGCAATCTTCGAACAAACGTCCAACTCTTGAATTATTAATAGTGTTGCAAACTCGGGATGTTCTATTTATAGTCGAATTTCTCCGCAAATTCCGTTTGACCATTTCTCCCGCTGAGAGAGAGATAAACTTTCGAAGAGCTCAGATTGAATTTTCCACCCACAACACTTGAGGGAATCCCAGCTGAGGCGCTGGGACAATCACGAACTCTTCCTCTCCGCAGATCCTCACTGAGCTGTACTCGCGGGTGAAGGGGGCGCGCGGCGGCTGGCGCGGAGCAGTCCTCACAGCCCTCTACGGTCTGGTTGAGTGTGCTTCGCCGAAAGTTCTGCTCGCTGTGGCTCGAGTTGTTCTGGCGGTAAGATTAATTCAATTTCTCATCTCTCACGGGGTGTCTTAGCAGTGGAATGAACTTCTGAGGGCAATTAATAAAATTGTTGCAGCTTCGCGTGACTGGCAGCAACTTGACGGGTGCCTGCAAGTTAATCTTCAAAGTGGCGAGGAACGAGTCTAACGATAATTTGTTCATTGACTGCGATGTGGCGGGTAAATTGAGTTTCATCCTTATCGCACAAGTGTTGCCGCAGACGCTGATTTGCACCCTGAGATTACGTGTGTAATCTGCTCACCGTTGTGACCCACTTTCAGAGCTCCTCATTGAGGGACTGGGACGCGCCTCGCCGCTGGAGGAGCCTGAGGCGTGCATCTATGGTTACGGCGCTGTGCGCTTCCTGGCGTCCGCCAATCAGCACCACAACTCGGGGAAGGGCGCGAAGAGGGAATGCACGATGAGGTACAAGTCACTGGCCTACAGGCTGGCTCGTCACGGAGCCATTGATCTCATGGTGCTCCACTTGCAAATGCTCAACGAAGCCGGCGCTCGGGCGAAGCTCGCCGGGCCACCGCTTCATGCGCTCTACCAACTCTCGGGCGCACTGCGTGCCTTGGCCGGCGCCCCCATTGTTATTCAGGCCATCAATAATCCCACGGCTAAAGGGCTCACGACCACACAAACGACGCAATTTGGCCAGATCAAGGAGACTCTCGAGGGGGAGGAAATCCAACTTGAGCTGGCGGGACCGCACCTGGTGCGCGCCGCTGAGATCTGTATCGACGAGACGGAGACGCAGGCCAACGTCATTCGTACGCTTAGCGTCCTGTCCGAGTTGGACGTCTGCTGTGGCGTGATGGTGGATTCTGCGGCGAAATTGGCCATCCTGCTGGGACCGTGGCCCGAGGGAAGCGCCCAGGAGATGCCCAAGAAGTCCCTCGGGATCGTCAGTCGGCTCGGCTACATTCTGGGCAACATTGTGGCCAGTTGGGACGCAGCAAGGACCCTTGTAAGTCATTTTCCTAATAGTCTTCAGTGTTCTGCACTTCACGATAGCAATTCTCATTCCACACAAATTAAACTGAGTGTTCTTGAGATAATTACTAATGACTTGTTCAGAGGAAAGCCATATGTGATTAAGACAAATGTAATTTAAATGTCTTACAATTATCAAAATTAATCACCTCTTCTTGTGGGGTTTATCTGCTCACTTCCGCTCCGCTTTCGCAATAATACAAATCATTTCTCTTGCATGTAGATTTATGAAAATGACGTGTCCATGGAGCATCTCATAACTGCCCTGGAATACTACTCCGGCCAGGATTTGCAAGCCAGAGGCCAGGGAGAGGACTCGGTCGTGGACGTGATTGTGAAGCTGGTGCGAGTCGTGGCCAACATGTGCGTGAACAGCGATGTGGGAACGGGGATGTGTCGAAGGCCCTTCTTGGGAAGCACTCTGCTTAGTCTCATCAGGACGACAAATCGCATTCCAGTTGATCAGATGACGGATGAGCTCGAGGAGATGCTGCTCGCCATCCTGGGCGCCCTGCACAACTTGTCCTTCTACCAGGAGGAGGCCGAGGAGCCGCTGAGCAGCGTGAATGGGAAGATTCAGCAACTCAGCTCTGCTCTCGTGGACACGCTGAAGAGCCAGTCGATTGCCTCTCAAGCGGAGGCCGCTCGAGTGCTGGGCAACATGACGAGGAATTTCGAGGCACGCGAGGCCATTTGCTCGGTCGGCGGCCTGAAAGTGCTGGTGCGGAATCTGGAGTCGGAGGACTTCGAGCTGGTGTCCTCGTCGTGTGGCGTTCTCGTGAACTTGCTGGGCGATTGGGAGCGCAGGGCGCCGTTCAAGGAGCTGAAGGGGCCCCTCCTCCTGCGTGACGTCCTTCAGCGCAGCGCCATGGAGGAGGACTGGCTGCTGGCGGGCATTGTGTGCCAGGCCCTGTGGAATTTCCTCATTGACACGGAAAATGTGGTGGCGGCGCTGGGTGGCGAGGAGGCGGAGTGCATAATGCAGGATCTGGTGGAGTGTCTGGGTGAGTGTGAATCCATTGAATTGAATTTAATTAACATTCCCCATCCTGAGGCGCACGGCGCATTTTCTCCGGCAGGCGATGAGGAGAAAAAGAAGATTCAACGTGCTGACGAGTTGTGGGAACAATTCTCCTTTGTGGCCGGCGACTTGTTGGATCGCATTCAGGCCGCCCCCATTTCAATTACAAACTCACCGTGCATCTCATCGGAATCAGATGATAACGACGCCGTCGGGGAGAAGGTGGGTCAGGCCTGGGGCACTGGCTTCCGGCAGTGGCTTGATGAATGAGCGGGCGACGCGGGAAATTTCATTAAATAATCAGCAAGTAAATGCAATAAGGGACAAAAATATTCAACCCTCACTGCGGCATGGCGAAAAAATAAGAGAGAGAGAGCGAATCGTCAAGACGAGCAACGAAATTAGACTTTCGTCACTCACTGGGAGATAATATTTATTCCAGTAGCGTTTACCCTCTTCAATTTTGTAGTTCCTAATTCAATTCCTTCCCTTTTTTCCTTCTCGGTATACACAGAGGATTGGATCCAGTTCTGGTAGAGATGTATGTTACGAAAATACCTCACTCATCCACAATAAATTTACCCCAGGAAGTAATGTTATAATGTAGAGAAGGAGCAAATAAATTCTGTTTCAGTGGTACTTTTGGAGTCACATAATTATGCTCTCACATACAAATATCCCCACTTTTTCCCCTGGTACATATCATCAAAATTCAAGAAGAACCTCCAGATTATTTCAAGTCACTCCATTTTCTCGATGAATTATGAATGACCTCTCGTGACTGTCACGAAAATGTACTGACACTTGAAAGAGAAGTGGAATCATCTCATATTCGTAATATCCTAAATAAAAATTCATACAATATTCTCAGGCTCTTCACTTGTGCCATTCATTCGCTTTACGTGTTGCTGAGTTGCAAAAAAGCATTTCGGCGCTTTTGTAGATGCGATAAAAACACTTTTATCGATTCAACATCATAAATTAGTAATACACACAATCTTTTCCCCAGATAATCATTGCATATATCACTTGTGATACACAGCTGACAAAGGGACAAAACAGTCTCTTAATCCCTGCATCAATTGAAACTATTATGCTTGTAAATTGTAGCATTTAAATCATATTCATGTCGGCCTGAGTCTTGAGAGGATTCCCTGCATTTCAATTGGACGCTGAGCGATATTCCATTTCTCTCTATGTCACTTGTAAATCTGTTCCTAAGTCACAGTCAATGTTATTTTCCGCACATAATTTCCATGCTGTGAGCATGTGATGAATGGGGGCGAAGTGCCCTTCCTGACCCACCCTTTGCCACCGTCGTTAATTCCATTTTGGACTCGAGTCAATGAATTTATATCCATCAAGCCGAAAGATTTGATATGGGAGAGATTCCATCTGCATTGGATTTAGCCCTGGCAGACAATACAGGTCTCCTCCGCCCCCGGAGAGCTCCAGCCAAGAGTGACGGATGGAGTTCTGCTCGCCTGGCATCCCCAGCTCAGTGGGTGACGAATAGTGAGGCGCTGGAGTGAAAAAAAAGGAAGAAGAAATATCTAATGAAATTCCTGCTATGTGAGAAGATGGAAGTTCAATGGTGAACAAACAGAAGCACAATTTTAATTATTTCGGCGACTGTGGCGGGATTGTTTTTTCCTCGCCGAATGGGTGGCACGAGGGAGGGGTGGTATTTGTGGTTGAAATATCAAGTGCCATGACTGGGTAATCAGTTGTTTCTGACAACAACAGAATAATTATATTTCGAAACCGACATTGTGGAGAGGAGGTGACTCACATTAAGCCTCCACTCTGATTCTCGCTCAATTGTGCCGCCCTAATGAGGGTGCAAGAGATGCCACAGAGTAAACATAGAGAGGAAATGCCTAAAACAATTCGACCTGAATTACTTTTGCCCTCAATATTCCCCGAATAGCGGTGTCGTGGATTTTAACACCCCGGAAATTCTGTGGGGGTGGTGGCAATAAAAAGGCTGAGTTAACACCAACACACAGAGAGTGATTGGAAATCAATTTCCTGTCCGGTCGTGAATCGCCACAAGGTGGGAAAGGAACAATGGTGGTCATATGGCACTTTATGGCCATAAAATGTGACCTGGGAACGCAATTAAAACTTATTTCACTATTAATTAATCAATCGACGCAATATTAGCTCGTGTCGCCAAATAAGTCCCTCGGCGTAAATATTTACGGAGCGACGCTCATAATTGTATTGAAATAAATTAAACAATTATTGTGCGTGATTAATTGAGTTATAAAGCACAGAATAAACTGTACGACACAATCTCCCAACATTCTGGTCCATTTGGCGAAAAAGCACACACCATGTTTCCCGCGCCAATCAGGATACACTTCTTCGGCGAGGTTCTGCGTGTTTTCCCAGCAGATTATGCAATTAAAGATGTACTCCATGTGGATACGTCGCTCGGTGCAGAGCACAGAGAAGCCGAATGTTCGCTGTGCAAATGACGTGAAAATCATGAAAACTAACATTCACCGCTCCTAAGCGGCAGAGGAAAGCATGAGAAGCAGCCAAGTGTGTATTCTCTGGTTAAATATTTCACCAATCTATATATACACCAGTGTACTTCATAAACTTTCATTGTTATTCGACAGACACTATCATTCTGTATCTGCAATTTACATAAATCTATTGAGATGAGTTTCTGCATGAGTAACACTTTGATTCAGCTCTTGTGACACTCGCTGTGTGCGTCCTATTTTTGCGTATTAGGCTTTAAATGGGGTGCATTAAAGTGATTGATGTTGATTGCAGAGCATAAACTTTTCTCAATTGCATTGGACAATTCATTTGCAACCCCTGTTGAAAATTATATGAGCTCCACTTGAATGAGCTTTTTTTTATCAAATACTCCAACTTATTAATCATTTTCCCGTCTAATATATCACGACTGGTTTTAGAGTTGCCATAAAAATAAATATTCTCTTGAATTTTTTATTTTATTCTGAATATGTGTGTGTTTTTTTCCGCCTCTCAGCGCGGCTTCTATCGACAAAAACAGATCGCGCGGGAAAATTTATTGGGGTTAGCATTGGAAAGGGTATAAATTGTGTTTTAACATGAAGTGTATTTTTTTATCACCGCAAATGATAAACAGTGCGTTTAGTTTTTCAAAGAACTGGAAAATGTGCATTTGTTTGGAAAAAAACAACCTGCGTCTGATATAATCAGCGATATTTTTCAGTGCAGCCAAAGGGATATAAAAGTCGAGCTTTGCTAGAGTTGTCTCTCAGTCTGTTTTATGTGGTTGTGGAAAATTTAGTGCGGTGGAGGTCTAATGTGTGAAGCAGAGTGTTGAGAAAATCTCGGGGGAATTGTGCACTTGAATTATAGACAAGGAGAGTGAAAAGGGTGAAAGAATTTGAATGGGAACCTCTGACGGATAACAATGATTTTTTATTCAACACTCCAAACTGTGAGGAATAACCATGGAGATCTCTAAAACAACGACACCCATTTTTTACGTGAGCCGACTCTTCGGCTTGGCTCCATATCAAATCATTCGCAGCTCCAAGGGGCGCATTATTGACTACAGAGAGGGAAGAACGTGGTTCATATACACCGTTCTTGTTATCCTTGCAGCAGGTAAAATATTCTCGCCCTCTCTGGTGTTTGGTTGGAGAATGTCCTTACGATGAGAGGACGAAGAGGAGGGCAAAAAAACACGATTTTGGCAGAATTGTATTTGAGATGCCACACAATTGACATCATTTTCTCTCTGACAGATATTTTAACATTCTATGGAATTTATTATGATATCACTTCGAAGATTCCTGTTCGGTAAGTTGCCACACACACACATACACCCACTCTCGTTGCCACCCTGACTATTATCATCCCGACATCGTCTTATGGCACGATATAATAAAGTGCTCGATGAAGCTCTTCCCCATTAACGTGTGCCAGAGTGAATCTTAATATTCGGAAATGACTTCATTTCCCAAGACTTTCTCAAGACAGAACCAGCGAGATAACTTTTATTATTCTCCCTCGTCATGCCTCGCCCATCTCAACTATGTTGGGGTGTATGAAAATCATGGAAAAAATCCGTCATTAACAGTATGAAGACGGTAACTTCGAGGGTGGTGACTGTTGTGGATATCTGTATTATTGCGGGCGTCGCAACGTCCGGCGCGACCGGTGCTTTCTTCGGCATGGCAAGAATAAGGAAATTCAACCACATTCTCCGTGACGTAAGTTGCGCCTACCATCCTTCCTGTCTAAGGGTTGCATAGCAATTTGCAGAGCTCCTCCGGAATCTGCTGCTGGATTCTTTCGCTCATTTCATTCATTTAATTAGAACGGCAAGAATGAAAATGATATAGTGCCACGGAAATTCCTTTGTGCTCTCTAACATGCAACTTATTAAGTGAACGGAGACAGGAGAAAAATTCACTCTTGTCTCTGTGGGAATTTGAGAGATTGCGAGATTAGATGGTAACAAAGGACGATGGGAATAGTTGTGATGATGAAATTAAATTGAAGGGATTTTGCTCAAACAAAATTACCTACACATTCATATTAATTCATTAGAGAGGCTTTTGCCAAATTGTATTCAGAAATTCTGCAAGAGCACCAATTAATCGATCATGTCTGTGATAACAATTCATCACGAACAGGCAGACGACTACCTTACCAGCTACACGGAAGGAATAAAGAAGAGGCGTCGAGGTCTCATCTGTCTTATCTTCATTCTCATTACTATTTCAACCGCAATTGTTGTGGACATAATTGTGTGGATGCAGGCGGCTGATAAATTAGCCACCCCAGATACGAATACGCGTAAGTTTCTTCTCCTCATGACATCCCCAATTATTCTGCCTCCCACGATAATTAGAGAGTGAGTGTAGCGAAATGAGGCACAAACATTCAGCATCGATATTCATCCATTACGGCTGATACTAATGAATGATTTACCATTTGGATAGGACGCAATGTATGCCATTATATGACGATTTACGCTCTCTACTACGTTATAATGGTATTCCATGTGGTTTTCTCGCAATCTGCGTTCGGCATCGCAGATAGATTCCGCTGCATGAATAAGGTGCTGCTGACTGTGTATCCCGAGAGCGCATTACATCTCACTCAGCCCATCCGAGTCATTAAACTCCCCTCGGTGCGGAATTTGAGCCAGGCCGTGGATGATCTAGGCAATAAAACAAAGAATGCGGCCACAGCACCAATTACCACCCTCACTGGCAGTAAGTACCCACCGTGCGCGGGGGAGGGAAAATTGTCAGGGATGCTGCGGAGTCACAGGAGAGATCTCCCGGGGGATGTTCAAGTTGGGACTCAATTGAGCTTTGTATCGTGGAAATTATGCTTTACCGAGCTGAACCTGTGGGAAAGTGGAGAATTTATTGTGGTATTTTAAGGCGGGAGGGTCATTTAGCTTTTTCCCAGACTGATTTAATTTGACTCAAGAGTGTGGTATTTGCACCGTCTGGGCGGAGGATTAAATCCCGAGTATGTTGGGTTTGTGTAAATTCCCTGCTTAACGGCGTGTGTGATTATAATGGGGAGAGGATATTTGGGAAATTATGAAAAATATCTCAGTCAGCGAACGAGATAGTTATAATGCGCAATACTTAATTGTTTTCCGAAACAATCTTTCACGGAAAATTATGTTGTGAATTTCTCGGGGGAGCTTTGAACAGCCTCCCCAGAAACAATTCGTTGTTTGCTGAACTGAAGTGGGTTTCAAGACTATTTATGACAGTGATAAATCAGCGCCCACTTCCGGGGACGTAAACAACACAGGGAGAAATTTTCCCTTTAACCAGATTAACTGTCAAAGTGAATTCCTGTGAAATTGTTCCCATCCTTCCGGTCAAATTGGGCGTGGGCGATAAATAAGAGGGGAAAGAAGTACATATCTCTGATCCCAAACTTCTTTCATCTCTCGTGCAGTGACAATCAACCAAATGAACCCAATTAAGTCAGCCGAATTGCTGGAGCGCTTCATTGATATTCACTCATCTCTGGGTCAGGCGGTGCACATAATGTCGACAGTGTATGGCTTTGCAATCCTCATGAGTTTAATCTCATGTCTTCTGCACATCTTGGCGACAGCTTATTTCCTATTTCTGGAGGTTCTCGATGACGGCAACGGTCTCTTCATCACAGCTCAGTTCCTCTGGCTCATCGTGCACAATGCCAGATTGTTTATGGTGGTGGAGCCATGTCACTGTATCGTCTACGAGGCGATGAGAACAACAAAAATCGTGTGTGACATCCAGAGATATTGCAAAGATCCATCCATAAGGGAAAAAGTTTGTACCATTCATTTTTCATCCTCACACTCACATCGAAAATGTGAAGGAGAAGAAAATCTATCCCATTTCGCTGGGGTGACGGCACGAGAATTCATTAAAGTTTTCCCTCTATATATTTGTAGCTGGCGGTATTTTGGAGTCAGATCATTGTGCAGAAATCATATTTCACTTTTAGTCCACTGGGAATGTGCAAAATTGATCGGGAAATTATCACATCGGTAAGTTCATAAAACTTTCCATCAAAATTCCATCATTTATTAAAGTTTCTCAATAAATGTCTACCAATTTTTCGCCATTGATTGCCATCATCACAAAGTTTTACGGCGCAACAGCAACCTACCTTGTAATTTTGATTCAATTTCAACGCTCAGACAATATGGGCTGAACAACGCCCATTGAGGAGAAATAGGCGGAATAATGTACAAAGTGTTTTCTATATGATCAATTTTCCAGTGATAATGGAGTCAATAAATAATTGTGTTATCATTATAGAGTGAGCATTTGATTGACAAGTTCCTTTGAGTGTGATAATAGGCATGGAGAATTCGCATTTTTTAAGGACACGAGCGGGGCGGAAAGGGACTCACTTTGTGAGTCAATAAGCTGTGTAAGTTCTGCTGCGTTCACAGGAACACAACTCTCCGTTCGTCTGCACAGTGTTGGATCCCTTGTCTAGACATAATGACAAATATGTTCTTCAACTTGTGTAAATTTTATTATTATTAAGCACGACAGGAGGTTGGAAGGAAAATTAAACTGCCGGAAAGAAAAATGAGCTGGGAAAAACCGATGACAAATTAACAAAACATTAACACTTCAGGAAGAAAACACACAGTAGATAGAATGTAAATTTATTCACAAAATAAAATGAATGTGTTTATTTAATTTGTACGATGCATACAATTTATTGTGATTAATTAATACGGTGGGGTAAATAAAATACATAATTCAAACTATTTCCGTATTTTATCGTATAGTGTGGATGTTATTTGACGGGAAACTGAAAGCATTATTATTGAATAATTGCGAAAGTTTCAGTGTTAATCAAAGTTTTAAATTGATATACAGTGAATTTGAAAGTTGCGAAGGGTTCACTCAGGGTTTTGTGGGTATCGTGTGGAAAATAAGCAATTGACTCTTCTGTGACAATGTTGCGAGAGAAAATATTGTGAAAAGCTCTCAGAAGTCAATTTGGGTGTGTTTATTGAAGCTGTGCGCACATGTTAAATCGAACAGTGATTGAGTTTTGATATGAAACAAGGAGTGAAGCACGAGAGTTTGTGAATTTTTTTTGCTCCACAATCAGCGAAAAACCCCAATTTGGTGCTCAAACACAAGTGGATATATGTATCACACATTTGGTTCGGAATTTCCAATTAAAATGGGTGAAATGGATCCCACCAACAATCTCCAGTTTCCCACCTTTTCCCGTTCGGTCACTTGTGGTGATTTTTGCCGGGCAAACATTGTGGCTTTCTCTGCTTTCTCTGCATGTCAGCATCGAATGTCCTCCGCCAAGGAGGAGCAGAGAAGCGCCAGCAGCAAGGTAGAATCAATAAATTTGTTTATAACGGGCGTCATGCCATCACATTGTTTCTTGCTGGGTGCCCCTCGTGGCCCCAAAATGTTTCAACTTTTTATTTGCACATCAGGCATTCCCAGCTCTCATGCTGGGCCACAACTTTCTGCACACACACACACCCCCACTCGCACTGGGAGGAGGGTGGTTGGGGTACATTATGTTTTGGATGTGACTAATGCCAGAGTTTTTCATTACTCCACTTTCCATCCACCCACTTTACTTCCCCGATAGATTGCTTCCTATGTTTTCCTCTGGTGCAACGACACCGACTGTGAAATTCAATTTTGGTGCTTCGCAAAATTAAGTTTCAATTTTCCCCGGATGTGGTTTTGAGGTGGTTTCATTTATCATTAAAACACTGGGATATATCTAAGCTCGTTGCCATCTCGCTTTAGCACAACTGCCAGCAATTCCTTTGAGAAATAGGAAATGGACTGGCGTTTTTTGGCCATAATTTCCCCTTCTCACCCTTGCAAAAGAAAAAAACCCCTTTTCCGCTGTATTTATAATTTAGTGCCATTTCGGGAAATGTCCAGAGCATGTTATGGGTGAAAGTGAGGCGGAAAAATGGTGAGAAAATGTCACACATTCACGACAGTGAGAAATATCTGTGAGATGGGTATAAATGAATGGACGGGTAAATGATCAGAAAGAGCTCCGGTAGATGTATGTCATATTTTCCTTCTCCTCCTGTTCGATGGACACATTTTGGATGTGGTGGAGCTGGAAGGGGGTGCGCATGTCCCTTTCCGGAGGAGAAATTCCCCCCAAACTTTGGCCATGTCTTCATGAATGTATTAAAAGCAAATTTGAGCACATGAAGCTTATGTGAATTGCTATTAATTATGATAGTCATAATAGTTACGGGCTTGACTAATGAATAATGAATGATTTTTTTGTGATTTTTCTAGCGTTTTGGGATTAATTGACGAAGAGAGCTTGAATTTGCTTTGGAAGCTCGCGTATTTCTGCCAAAGCAACAAATCATCGTGTGTGCTTTGAGTTCGACTCTGTGCAGGAGAATTTCCACTCCATTTTCCTCCCCTTCGGCACAGACGGGTGAAATTCTAGTCGGTGGTGGAAGCAAGAGCAAGTGCAATCAGTCGCAGTTGAACCTTCGGTTGGGTTACATCACCATCGGGAGCCAATAGGAGGGACTTGTGTCTCCTCTAGAGGACCCCCTTTTCTCACAGTGTATTTATATAACACTCTCTTGTGCCAGTCTCGAAAGGTTTTTCTGTGAATAATTTTCCATCCGGTGCTGTTGTTCTTTCACCCAATTGTGGACACTCTAGTTGGCACCGTAGTTTTTGAGAAATTGTGCGGCTCCAACTGCCGAGACACCATTGCGGCAGCGTATTGAATTGTGCAGTGCCCGGAAGAAATTGGTGGAACATCAAATTGAGGTCAAATTGAACGAATCAACCGACCGGCTTCTCATCGAACTTTATGTAATATTTTCACCTTGAACACATTTTTATTATTCAGCCCCATTCATACCTTGTCTCCCACTTCAAATCCGCTCCGGCAGTTCCTCGTGTGTCTCCTGTTGTGGTGTATCGTCCTGCGGCACAATATGAAGTTTTCTCATATGGCGAAGGAGAGATCCTTTTATGTACGGCACCTCATTCCTCCTGCAAATCGTGCGAAATGCTCCTCTTTTCGACTTTTCTTTCCTATCTGTTTATTTTTCCTCCGCTTCAAAGTGCTTTCTGTGAACACAAAACACTTCACTGGGTGTTGTTCTGTTTAAACATTTTCGTGTACATGTACATATATTGCCCAGGGAAGCAGCCCTTTTCTCCACTGTCGCCTCTGCAGATGTTTCTTCCTTTTCCCGAGCTTCGCATCCTTTGCCTCATATTCCTTCATCCTGTTTTTTTGCTTTGCTCTGCTTTCATCACTCTGTGTGTTGGCAATTTAATCTGACTCTTCGTCATACTAATACTTGTCTATTCAGACGCCAAGTTCTTCGTCGCCGTCGTTCCTTGATGCCCCCACTCCATCCGCTTCCCGGCAAATATAGCAATTTTGCTGCCGGCTCATTTCTTTCTCATTCCTTCTGCCATCGAGGACTGTGTGACGCTTATGTATTCAATTCTGTGAAATCCTGATATGGGATTCTCAATGCTCGGGCTCCGTGCGAGCGAGAGTTGGGGCGGGAGAAAGTGGGAGTCTTGTTGTTCAACATCTGTCCGCATATGCCAGACTGCGGCATTTCCCATTAGACAGGAAGAGAGCCTCAGCGAGCGAAAAGTGCTTATCAAATGACTAACGATATGAGGAGAGATTGCACAGGAAGTGTGCAAAAAATATAGAGGGTACCTCCGGTAAATAGCTTTCCGTCGGTTTGGGGGCGCACACGGACGGGTTCCTCGTGATGGGAGCGTATCAAGAGCCAGGCTAAGAGATGCGAAAATTTTCTATTCATTTTCCTCCCTTCCCAACCACTCAACCACCCCCTCCATCTAATACATCGTGTAATATGTATGTGTGTGTTTGTAGTACATAAAATGAATGTACCTAGCTTATGTACGTCGAAGCGAGCTATCATCATAATCTTACTCATCTTCTACTTCCTTCAACTCCAGCACGTCTCTTGGAAAATTGCTGTAAATTTGTATTTTTTTTCCACCCTATCTATATACATATTTCCTCCTCCTTGGCGCTCATCTGAGTCGGATACGAAACACCTCCAATTCTTAAATTCACTTGTGAGAGAAGTCCTGTTCCAATTGATTTTCATTCGCGTGATTTTGTAGCGATGCTCAAAGGTAGAGTTCATTTGGGGGACCTTTTAAATAAATACCAAATGTGAGCATTTAGTGACTGAACATACAACATGGTCAAGTTGAAATGGTTTGTTGATCAATGAGTGCACACATAAAATGCCCAACTGGCCAAGGGGTTGAACCAGACACTGAATACAAACGTATTATGTATTAATTACACAAAGCTCAGCCCTGATTGACGTCTCGTGTCTATCACTGTCTTGCTCGCTTATTAAAATATGAGGTTTCATAGAAATGAAAACATTAGAAACTTCAAATCGATACTCCAATGTTACATTTAGAGCGTGTAAAGTACATTCTGGTGAATAATTCCAGAAGGATATAATTTAATAGAGGTGTTTTGTGGCTCGGAGAATTAACTGCTATGATATATAATTTCTACACGAGAAAATTCACACAAAATAATTCATTGGGGTTTGTACGGAGGTACAAAAGCCTTTGAATCTGGTTCACTGGCGGTTCGTTGTGCTGAGTAAATGCATTACTCCATTTGGTGTTATGAGGTAAGTTTATCACTTTATGAGATGAGAACATTGTGCGTCAGATAAGTTAGTCAATTAGGACGCTACCCAATAATTGTATCCATTCTGCAATAAAGATTGCCATCAAGATTGAAATTTAAAGCAGTCTTGTGAAAGCATATTATGCTCATAAATAGAGCTCTTCTGCGGCATATAAGCTTGACTTGTTTCTTTACAAAAAAAAATGGAGAAGAGTCAGGAAATTGAATTTCTGTAGCCTTAATAAAATGCCAAGTGAAATGCTGAAGCAAATATTTCCTAACGTATAAAGCCTTATCTTATATCGAGGAGAGCTCGGAGAACCGCACTTTCAATTTGTCAAGCAATAGGCGCATCCCAAACTTTATCACTCTCGATGTACGGCGAGTGTGTGTTAAAAGATTAATTGAATTGGATACGCTTTGACTGTCGGGTTGTTTCACAGCAATCAATATGAATTGCCAAAACCACGAGAGCGTTTGAAGCTCCAAATTTGAGAATTTATCGTTCGGGGAGGGAAAAAAAGCAGACTGTGTGTCGACAAATAGTGGCGCGGATGAGGAGAATGCTCTGCTACATATATTCGATGTGAATTAAAATTATTTATTTTAAATGCTCGTCCGGCGTAGAAAATGGAGTGCAAATAAATTGGCCGGAGTGTGTACAGAAATTATATGAATAAACCTCCCCAACAATAATTGGGATTATGCAGCCACGAGCTTTTCGTGCGGTCTCACTCCTCATCCGCCGCCGCCGCTGTCGTCTGCCAGTGCCATGGAAATCTCTATAAACCATATATAGTTATGCAAATATAATTTCAAAATTTCATAAATGGGGTTCGCGTATTTCTGCAAATCCGAATTCCTCCCCCGAAAAGCGTGAGGTTGACGCGTGTGGTGAATGGCATTGAGATGGTAACAAGTCTCTGTGTTGTAAGAGTTTCTCGCCCAGTGATTTTATTGTAATGCAGAGAGTTGGAAAATTTAAACCACAATCTGACGCGTCACATGAATATTTAATTAAGACACATTCTTCTTTTGTGCACAATGAGTGGGAATTATTCAGGCTCTTATTCCTTCAGCAATTCCCAGCGTCAGTGACTAATAAATGAGGACAAAAGAGACACATAGAATTTCATTTACATTCATTCATGGGCCCACGAACGCACTTACTTCAGGTGTTGGCTTTGCGCTTCACCCAAAATGTTTGCACGTCCATTATGACAATGAGTTGCACCATCGCAATGGTGGAAACTCTGTAAGACTCACTAATCGGATTTTCGCGCTGCCGTTGTCTTATAATTGGGTTGTTAAGTTGAAACCACCAGGCATTTTTCATACGAGCAATAATAATAGTCGAAATGCATTAAAATATCGAGAGAGGACATTATTGAAAATAAATCTTTTTCAAGCAGAACTAGAAATATGAAGAAAAAAACTATTTTCTTGCTAAACAACAAGGAAGACGGAAAAGTTCCGATTGTTCGTTCCGTCATAAAAGTAAATAGCTTTTTCGTTTGTACAAGAAATTTAAACTTTTGCCACGCCAGAAAATATAATGAAACTTTCTCCAATTTGCCATTCCTTTGCCACACTACAAGACTCTTTCCCAGTTCCACACAATATTTCCCACGGCTTGAGTGAGGGCGGAGGTTCTTCAGGATCATTAGCGTATCTCGATGCAATTTTCCAGCAATTGCCCCTGTTTCTGCCAACCCATCTATTTGTTAATTTGGAGAAGTGCGCTTTTTTCTGTGCACCGCCTCGCCCTAGTAATTTTTGATTGGGAAGGAATAATGGCTCCATTCATTTGTGCTGTCTGAGCGTCCTGTGCATGCTGGGGAAAGGGAGATATTTGAAAATTTCAAATTCCATCCGTGTAGCAGAGTATTTTCATTTTGCATTTAATAATGCTCGCTTTAGTCGTTCCAACTATAAATTTCCTCTGTATGCATTTCCAGGCCGCCTCATGCTCGCTTGGCCGTGTTGCAAGCTCATATCATCTGGATGAATATGGGACTTGTACATGGGATCTCTGTTTGCCCAGAGATTACTTGGGTGACGGTGCGAGTTCACACTGAAATTTCATTACCCTCGGGATTATACACTTGCTCTCCCTTTTACAGCAACCCCTTCCACGTCGCCCCCACATTATCGTCCCGATGAATATGTAATTCTATGTATGTCGCAAGGACAAAACTGAACTTCTGCTTATCAAATGCCCTGCGACTAGTCACCAAACCAGTCGTATTTGAACTGGAAAGACAAAGTCCCACCACCCCCGCATTACGTTACATAATTCAAAGTTAAAACAACTTTCTCGCATGAATCGTTTTTCACTTTCACACAACACACCTCAATTTTTTACCCCTTCACTTTCCCACTTCTCTCACTTGTGTACCATAGTCAACTTTCTGCACAGACATGAATCACGAAGCGATACTTTTCTCACCCACCGAAGGAACCTTCCAGGGTGGCCCACCCTCAAATCTCTCCTCATTCAAAACATTTAACACGAAGAACTCGGTGATTTCCTGAAAGGATACACCTGGAAACTGCTGCTAAGTGTTTATGCTCTCTCTCGGCATCCGCCTCTCGTCATTCGACGAGGCATTATGTTAAAATATTAATCATTTAATGGGGTGTACTTTCCAGATCGTCATCAATTAGAAATCCTCTTCCAGCAATTAAATCTGCTAGAGTGCGAAATTGCGTTTAATTGTCGGCCCGCTTGTTTATGGCCACCAGTGAAAAGTGTCACGACACTTGGGTGAAATGTAATTAATTTATACCTGGAATTTCGATAAGGAAAATATTCAGTCAGACACGATAAAAATGCACTTTCGCGCATTTCCGGCCGATGAAACAAAAGTTTCATCAGTGGAAATTGAATTAATTTGAATTTTACACCATCGATCTATGAATAGCAGCGAAAATTAAATATACGGTTTAATTTGAGAGATTTTTTGTGCGCAACCAAATTCCCATTTGCATAGTTATACTCGTCTTCGGTGAATGAATACCTGATCCCTCCGCAGATTGCAGGAGGAATTTAAATTCGTGATAAGTTAATTCCATTATCTACATATCGCAGGGAAAATTCTGATGCAGAAAGGAAACAAATTGAATTACAATTGAGGGAATTATAGAATTGATGTCT